AAAACCCTAGCTTACGCGAGTAGAATGATTGTAGTCATTGTTTTTATTCAATGTGAAGTTCCATTCTGCAACCGGGTGCTGTACCGGTTGGGTAGTTTAGATGGATAGTTGGAGATGGATAGTTTAGATCAGATCATTTTCCAATGCATCACTATCTATTGTAGCCTCTTTTCATTGTGATTGCAAGTTAATTTGATTAGCTGAATAAAATTTAGAATAATTCATTTTAGATTGATTATTAGAGATAACCATATTTATATATGAGATATAGAAATCAATAATGAAGAACGATTTTGCCCTCTACTTAATTTATATTAATATAGTTTGTTAGTTGACTTTTAGTTTTTAGTTGGTTAGTTCAGTCTACACAACAAAACAGACTAGTTTTAGTCTTTCACTTGCAAGTATTCCGTGTTACTGACAATTTCAATCAAATTTAATATATTTAGGTAATAAATTTTTAATACATTTCACTTTATATATATTTATGTTCATATAAATACTTTGGGCATAGTACAATAGTTAAAATAAGTAGAATACGATTAAAAACTATAATGACAGAAGTTAGATTAGTTTAAGATGGAACTTATTAATACAAATATCAATTTCTCTCGGAGATATCTATTGTCTGAAGAGCATCACTTCAAGTTGATAGAAGGTGGTGTGCTAGATTAATAATTATTTTTGTTATAACTCCATATGTGTGCTTGACAATATGATCTTCTAAATTAAGACTGTTCCGACCAGATACGACCGCCGACCAATCAGTGTAGATTGGAGGGTCACAGAAACAAGTACGTACGTCCATGATTTTTTTGAAAAAAAATAAAAATATAAATTGGTGATAATTTTAAATTTGGTTTTATGAGTTATTCTTTTGAATTCAGTATTTTGGGATAACATTAAAATAAAATATTTTGATTTTACCAAAATATATATAAAGGAAAGTTTGGGTAATTGTGGTAGATTAGTAACATGTCGCGGGCCGCATGTGGCCCGTGGTTCGTGCTTTACACATACCTGTTCTAAATCAAATTAAGGAGAACCGATAAATCTATCTAGGTTACCTCAGTAACCTTATAGATCTTGCAACTAAACCAGAAGTCATTCGTCATTGCAATAATGAATTGTTTTCTTTTTTATCTGAGTCATAGCATTTCACGACCTCATAGCTCTTGCTACTAGGCCATACATCATTCGTCAATATAATTGTAAATACACCAATGCTCCTAAACAGTTAACATATCAACAGATTGTATTGAGATATTGCTCTCAATTATGTCGAACTCAGCACCTATTCTCTATTGTTATCATATCTGTTTGAAATAAAGTAAAGTAAAGGTAGTTAAGAAATATTTATTGAATTACTGGAGACGATAGCTGCAGACTTTGTTGCGAAAAAGAGGAAACAGCAGAACACATTTTGTGTCACTGTGATAGTCTTGCAAGACTCAGACTTCGCTACTTATCCACTGCCTATCCGCTTATAACGGAATTAGGCAACATCTCTCCAAAGGACATATTGGCATTCTTAACTGCTACTCGTCTATGGAACTGAAGTGGGTATGTCACAATAATCCTCGAGGATGGAGTGAATCGGAGAAAATTTAAAAAAATGAAATTCAACAATGGCATCAGTTCACAAGGCTACCACTCTACCCTAAATTAACCAATTGAGTTTAGATAATTAAGCAAAATAAAAACGTTTCCTCTTTGTGGATTTCACAAATTTATGTGGAATATTTGTAAAAACTATAAACTAATATTTATTACAGATTTTAAAAAACGATTTAAATTCACTGCAAATGAATTATTTTTAATTACACAATTTACTAAATTGCTTTACAATTTTAAATTCCTGAATTAAATTCGCTAATTCCAATTGAAATAACTGCAATCTTTCCATTATGAGCACTTGTAATAAAACAGCATTTAGTTCGGCTTAATAGACAAATACACCCTAGTAATCTAGATAGTCACTTCTATTAAACAGTTTATCATTTAAACTACATTACAATTATTTAATGTGCGTTGGAGCAATTTTCCGATGAAGAAAAGAAAACGATTTGCTTGAATAAAAATTTAAGATTTGCGCTGTCGTGATAAATTGTAGAAAATTTAGTTTATTGTGATAGTTTGAGATAATAAAATTTTTACATCTTTACAGAAGCTTAAAAGTTCTAAATGGCGGATAATTTAAAATAAAAAAGAAACAATCGAATATACTTAATGTCTTTCGTGTAAAACACACAAGTTTATGTTCGTTTAATTATTTAATTAATTTGATTATTTAATTAACGTGCACAGATTAAAGAACAAAGAAGGGCCGCATTTCTTAATTAAGTCATTTAGTGTTTATATTAATTGTGTAGACAAATCTTAAAAAAACGTACTTACATAGTACAATAAAGTAAATTGCTAAAAATAAATATATAATAATAATGTATTAATTACTTCAATTAATTAAGCATCTTAACAAGTAGGCATATTTTTATTAGCATAATAGTTGTCTAGAATTATAAATATAATATCAATTAATTAATTATAATTATAATATTTAAAGCATAATACCTAAACTGATATTTAGATCGATAGATAGATTTTATACGGGTTGGGAACTTGTCACCACGTCACTGCATCCTTTGAGGATTATTGTGACACACCCACTTTAGTTCCATAGACGAGTAGCAGTTAAGAACGTCATTATGTCATTTGGAGGCGGTTGATAAGTACCGAAGTCTGAGTCTGAAGAAAACTATCATAGTGACACAGAATATATTCTCCTGTTTCCTCTTCTTCGCAACAAAGTCTGCAGCTATCGTCTCTTGTAATACCTAGATTCGATAGAATGATAAAATACCTAGGTCCAGAATGTGGACTGAGAAACCCTGTGACAAGTCGGATGCCATTTCAGCATTAGAAGCTCCCAAGTTCTGGCTTTTTATCGATTCGCCATAAATTTTTTAGCTTGTCTGCAGGCAATTACATTATCCCAATCAGTCTGAGTTGCTCTTTCCATCCATTCGTTTGTACTTGTACAATCTATGAATTAAATAATAAATAAGATAAATAAATAATAAAATTTTAATATTTGAAGCGTTTCAGTTATTTTGAACAATTTTCTTCACTATGATATATTTTAATATAGCTATGTTTTTGAGATATCGAGGTTAAAAGTTGGTAACTTTTAACAATAATTACACTTACAAAAAAAAACTAAATACGCCATCTAGCATCAATTTGTTAGTATGATGAGCGCAGGGAGATGAGATGCCTGTTAAAGCCGGATATCTCAAACACTAAGCTATATTAACTAAACTATATTTAGCGATTAAAATCGGATAAAGTCTTGGATAAACGTCTTAATAATATTTGCTATGTTGTATTTTTTTTATAAAACTATTTTATTTATTTATAAGAATGTATATTATTATTAAATACAAATTTAAAAACATCAAACATTGACAAGCATCTGTAAGAGAATTAAAAAAATAATAAAAGTTTATCTTAAATAGATAAAAACTGAATGACCTTATTAAGATGCCCCACAGAGATTTCCATCTTATAGTTGACTATAACGGATCACTATCATTTAGGTAACCATACAAGAAGATTTAGTATTCGTTTTAATAATTCTTGTCGTTGTTATGAGTAACATAAAGAAAGTGCATTCCATCTGCTTTGTCAAAGGCATCGTACTATAAGTTAATCATGTTTAATGTCTTCTGCGGGATCAGGATTGTATCACATCAAAGATCTTAACAAACTTTAGCCTGAAATCGATGGCGATTGAAGATGTTAAACTCGTGTATCAAGAACTTTCCTTGGTCAATTATTTATTTATTATTTATTTATTTGTGAATTAACACTATAATGTATTAAGAATAAGGAGCTGGACTAATAGGTCCTTCGCCCTTCCTTAGCCAATTAAAATAAGAATAAAGCAACGAACTATATAATTACTTGTTACGTCTATTTAACACTGAGTGGCCCTTGCGCAGCTCTATTTCGCGTAACGTCACCCATGTGTTAGATTCACACGAATTTAAGCTGCAATAATTGTTTGCTCCGGCCTGTTAATGAGGTTGATCGCCTTTCACTTGGACCGAGGTTAAAATCAACATTCCCAACAGACTCATTCTCTTTACTTCTACCTTACACCACATCACCTACCTCATACCACTTGACAGTGCAATATTTTGTTATAATTTTATGTGCTTGCATTTCAGCTCGGCATTAACTGTAACATAAACAACAACAAAGACTTACTTTTTGACAGACCTTAGCCTGATCCAAGATCTTTACTTGACGAACATTTTATAATTCATTAAAAGTTTTGAATTTTTTTTTTTACTATTTAAATATTTATATGTCAAAACTATGGTTTCCTCAATAATTGAACTCAACCTAACACGTGATTAAATAAACATCCCAAGTTAAATAAAAAAATAAGATAAGTGAAATTTCATCTCGATGAACCTTTCCAGACTTATCAAGACATGATATATATTTGTAGACTTTATAAAGCTTGTAACGCGCTAAAATAGCAAATAAAAAGTTTTTATTTATAATTCAAAGTTTAGAGATAGAGCTTAACTAACAAAGGAATTATCATTATGGATCTAATGTATATCATACTAACAAATAACACTAATTATTTATTATATAAATAAATATTTCAAATAACTATATTATTTTTTTGATAATTAATATCAAAAAGTAATTAGTATCAATTAGTAACTTAGAAGCATATTCAAATCTTTACTCTCCTGAGCTGCATATAAATTTAAATGCGAAACAGCAACACTACTTATATCTGAACTAGAAACTACAATATCTTCAACAATATTCGAACTCTTTTCAAGTAGTAAGGTAGTCCCGGCAACGGTAATACAAATCTTTTCATATCAAATTTCATTCTATAACTTTCGATAAACTAATCATAATATAATTATAATCATAATTATTAAAATAATTATAAATATATATATTTTTTTTAGAGTATTTGCTGGTAGAACTGGGTAACAGAACTTCAGAAGTACAAAATGAAATACTTACAAAAATCTCGGATTACTGTGGCAAGCCAGTTACAGATGCTAACTTGGATCTTTATGAAACACCATATACTTGGACTTTCTACCATGCATTCTTTTTTGCATTTACCGTATGCTCAACTGTTGGCTATGGTAACATATCGCCAACAACAACACTGGGTCGCATGATAATGATTGCATATTCAATGATTGGTATTCCAGTTAATGGTATATTATTTGCTGGACTTGGAGAATATTTTGCTAAAACAGTAAGTTAAATAGAAAACATAAATAAAAAACAATATAAATATTTACAATATAATATTATGTACAATATTTTATATATATTGTTACGATTATATATATTATTAAGATGGTATTTTCAACTTGTTACGCATAAATACAGGTAATGATTTCCGATTCAAGATATGGGAGAAATCGTATGGGAAAAAGCATATATTTTCAATATTAGTCCAGATACAGAATGTAGAAAAAATCTTTCCGAAAAAAAAAAAATAGTTCAGATCAAAAGTTTTATTAAAGTTGAAGTAAGCTTAAGTAAGAAACATGATAACGAGCTATGGATCAGATGTGAGAGATTTCCTCTTATAAAAACTGAATGAAATGGGAGAAAAAGTAAATGAGATAATCAATAAGTTTCCCCAAGAAAATCTAGTATATTGTTTTTAAAAAAACATAGGAAGGATTATTAAATCTGATTTTAATTGCGGCACTTCGCTGCCTGTACATATAAATGGTTTCCCATACCTCCACCAACGAACTATCCCATGGGATTTTCTAATCTTGATGAAATATAACTTCAAACTTACTTTTAGGAGCATCGCGATATATCCCGTATGCTTTCCGTGGCCATGTCCATAATAATACATACATTAAAGTCAATGAAATATCGTTTAATTTGCTACCTTTTAGGTATTTTTTATAAAATAGCTTCGAAAATCATGATGATTCACAGTTGCCTGTTTTTCAGAAATTTTAAAGAAAAACCACATTTTTTTAAAAATATTTTTTTATTTATAAAATAATACCTTATTATTATTATCAGTTTTTCTGCGATCAGTCTATAGAGTGAGCTACTGACTCTTTTTTTTTTTAAATCTAAATTACGATACTTTATTAAAATATTATGCTCAAAATGATTTGATCCCTTCTTTTTATAGTTTCGTGCTATTTATCGTCGATATAAAAAGTACAAAATGTCTCGCGATAGCCATTATGTACCACCACAGTTGGGTCTTATTACTACTATTACTATAGCCTTAGTACCAGGAATTACTTTGTTTTTGCTGTTACCGGCTTGGGTTTTCACTTACTTTGAAGGTTGGCCTTATTCGATTGCATTTTATTACTCATACGTAACGACTACCACAATTGGTTTTGGGGACTTTGTGCCGACATTTAATCCAAGTCAGGTTAGTAACTAAATAAATATATAGATTTATTACATATGTTTTTACACTGAATATATATATTTTTTTATTTCTAAAAAACAGCCTCGTGAATTCGGCGGTTGGTTTGTTGTCTATGAAATATTTATAATAATTTGGTTTATATTTTCTTTGGGCTATTTACTGATGATCATGACATTTATAACAAGGTATGTACTATTATAAATTACAGTAAAAATATGATGTATGTGAAAATTATGTGTACATAACAAGTTTTGGCAAGTCTTGCATTATTATTAGCATGCATATATGTATAAGTAAATATATAAAATCGTGCTACACATTGGTTAGCATGTCTGGATAACACATGCGGTATATGGGTTGGACTTTTAGTTTAATTTTATATAGAAGTTTACTTTATGTGACAACTGTAGATATTTCATGTATTTGTATAATCTTGGGATAAAATTTCTGATAGGTCCTTAACTTAAGTAATCTTAAAAATGGGATTTTCTTACTAATACTTGAAAATATTTGTAAATTGTTTAATGTATATTTGCGATTACAACTTTACTATATGCTATCATATATTAAAGTATTTTATTATCACATGACTTTTTAGTAATTAACCAAAATTCCTTAATATTATTTTAACTTAGTAAATCGATATTTAAACTTTTAATTTAGTAGTTTTTTTTATTATTATTATCGCATGAAAAAGAGCCACATATTAAAGATATTAATTTTACCAATGCTAGATATCTATTACTTACATATTTATAAATTCAATTTAAACAATCAGCGATAGTGTATTTTACTTATATTTAAATTAAAATACTTACTTAATTAACAACACATGACATCTTAAAAACTAATATTTACATTTACAGAGGATTACAAAGTAAAAAATTGGCAAAATTGGAACAACAATTGTCTACAAATATCAAATCAACTCAAAATCGTATATGGAATGGTGTTACAAAAGATGTTGGCTACTTACGTAGAATATTAAATGAATTATATATAATTAAATTTAAGGTAATAATATATATAGACATTATGCATATAATGCATAGCAGATATTATATTTACTTACTAATAATATATTTTTAAATATTAAGTGTTCAACATACTGTATATAAATATATAGATATATATATCTGTATAACATATACAGTAATCCCCCCTATAACGCGGTACCCTTATAAAGCGTGTTCATATTACGCGATTTCAATCTCTCGTATAACATGAGCATTCCCCCATATAACGCGGAGATTTGTATAGTTCATAATTAGCTTCGCGTACCTTTGCACGTGTGTATACGGGAATACCTCTATAATGTCTTTTCCTATAACGCGAAACCAATATACCGCATTATAGGGGAGTTTACTGTATATTTATATATATAAACATATATATATGTGGTTGTATACACATGTTTTGTAATCGAATAGTTCTTTTAAAAAAAACTAAATTAGATTATTTTTTATTTTATACTTTAATACATTAAATGGGTGTCATTAGAAAAGTTGTACAATTATAAGCAGATGAGTAAATATCTATTCGATTTCTAAAACGATTAACTAATCAAATCTCATAATTGAATCAGAAACTCTATAAAACAAAATCACAAACTAGATCTCTGAACTATTTTGATGATATTACTCTTGATATTATATTTTTATTTATTTTAAAAATTACCAAGCATTCAATTACATAGTACGGCTTAATACATTTGCCTTTATAAATGCCTCTGGCTGGTTCTACCTTGATCTTCTTTTGTGGAATTAAAACAGCCTTTTTTAGCTGATTGAAGAGTATTCGGTCCTCCCTCCACCACAACTAATTAACTAACTAACGGCTTAATATAACACATTTACAACACCGGCTCCGATTTTAAAAACAATTATTATTATAGCAATATTTAATATATATCATTGATATGTGTTATCATTCCCAATAAACAGCATAAAAGAATACTATTATACCATTTTAAGACACTCAGGATTAGAAATGTAGTTCATTCTCTTCTTGATATTCATTTAAGAGCGTATATGTGTACCAGTATTTTGGTTTTAATTACTGTTTATTTTAAATCTGCATTTGATCCATCGATGCTTCTTTTGCAGGTACATTTTTCTATTTATTTCGCGGTAATATACCCAGCAAAGGTTAAGTTAGTAATCTATCTTTTAATATTTTAATAATATTCTAAATCAAAAGTAAGCACATATTGCTAACCGTATGTTTAAATTGTATCTTTATTTATTAGACCATTTATTGGGATGTGAGTATATCGATTTTTTTGTGACAATGACTTATTTTTCTTACAACTCAGGTTCTTAAAGTTAGACACTGCAATAAAATGCTGGATTTTTAAATCGTTAGTACCAGTAAAAATTGTCTAATTGATCGTCACTTCTCGACTCTGACAAAGTAGTAAGACGTCGTGGTTCAATATTTATCCGTATCTCTCCCAAATTTTCTGAGATTTGATTAAGTTTTTCAGTATTTGTTAGACAAATGAATGTAAATATTAATGTTAAATAATAACAAAATGAAATTAATGTCTAAACTATTATTACTAATTCAAGCTACCCTTATATTTTGTAACTGTAGTCATACTTAGTTATTTTGGGTTTTCAATTAAAATTGTTTCAAATGAAATATTTATGTAAATGTCTTGTTTAAATTACTCTGGGAAAATAATGGGTGATTCAAAAACATGTTTAATGAACCTTAATAAACATATCCTTCTTTTCTAATAATTTTAGCTTTTTTGCTAAAAGAATAGATAGACACCAACTATTCCGCAGAGTAAGTAGCATAGTGAATATTTCAATAATTAATAATGCTTTAGAAATATTATAACAGAGCCCAATTTATTATATATTTCTTATTTGTAAACAGACTCAGTTCAAAATTTATTTTATAATCTGACAAAAAGACAAAATTGTTATTATTAAATTATTATTATAGTTCTTTTTTTTAATTATCTTTTTCCTTTTTCACTTCAGCCAGTTTATACGGAACCTGATGAATCCTACCTTTTACATCGTTCTATATCATGTCCTGAACTTACAATGTATCGAGTAGATCCACCACCAATTAATACACGTAAGCGTACATTTTCATTATGTCAGACTGCTATGGAAGAAAATGCGAATGGAATTCAGTTTCAACATACCGTATCTGACTCAGAACTTGATAAATTTGATAAACAAAAATCATTCGAAACTGCAGAAGCATTTAGACATACAACGGAATTATTGGCGAAAGTTGTTAATGCATTAGCTACTGTAAACCCGCCAGAAGAAGATGCAACAATTGGTTCTACAGATATGTACGGCGGTTATCATGGTTTTTCAGATTCACAAATTTTGGCTAGTGAATGGTCATTTACAAGTCAAAATGATGCACCAAAGCCGCGAGGTCGCGCTTGTTCTGATTTCAATATCAATCCGAAATGGCAAACGCGTCGTCCAACGAGTATACAACATAACGAATGGACATGGAGTGGTGATAATGATCAAATACAAGAGGCAATTAATAAACGCTATATGCAACGGGATCGACAAAATAATTTCGGTCAACCGTCAACAGATTATGTTGTCGACGTAGAGGACGACTTAAGAATGAGGCCAAGAGTTAAAAAGTTTTCTGTGCCAGATGGATTGCGTAGAATATTTGCTTTTAAGAAACGGCCTTCACAGGATTCTCTTGCTATATCAGCGGTTGGCGAAACTGGACATCGTAAGTTCTCTATTACAAGTGTGCCAGAGCATCGTATTCCACCATTAGATTATTACAGCACTGTTACGGGTGACACCAGACCAACATATTACAACAATGTTCCTCCAACTACTTCACAAAGTTCAGCATTTAATGGTTCTAGTGTATTTCCATCTGATGCAACAATTTCAGCTAAATTACCACATCTTGCTCCTAATGGCAATGCAGTAAGACGTGGCAGCACCTTAGATGTGGATCAAATGACTTTAAATTCAGGAATCGCGCCATCTTATCAACGAAATGTATTGCCTGCTGCAAGAAAACGGCGAGAATCTATATTCACACAAAATCCAGCAATAAATACAAGACGCGCCAGTATGTTCCCGTCTAGCAGTGCTGCGTTATCTCAGCGACGAGTCAGCCTTGCCAGTAATTCTACCATACAGCCACGTAGGGGTAGTTTATATCCGAATAGTGTTAATTTACCAGGTACATCAAATGAACGTAGACCAAGTATGTTTTCAGTTAAATCTGAAAAAGAATTGGAAGTGCTTGAAAAAACCACTATTGCTGACTTAATTCGAGCTCTTGAAGTTATGCACACGCAAGCAGTATTAGATGAGGCGACAAGTAATAATATAAACGATGGTAAAAGAGACCCTAAACGACGAAAGTCAGTTTATACCGATTCCTCTGACTTGCCAGCTGTTTTATCACTTTTTGGAGATGACACAAAAACTCTTACCGCAACTGCAGCTAATCGTCTATATGCACGTCGTTCGACAATTGTGGGTACTTTGCCCAGTTCGTCATTTAATACGACCAAAAATCAACATAAGACATCTCTTTCATCAATTCCCAGCAATGTGCTCACACGTCGACGACCATCTTCAGTACAAATTGTAGAACCCCCACCAAGTTATAGCGAAAAAGACACCAATTTATTAACTGCATCACAATCTGCTAATCCAACTAGTTCAACAAAGTTTAAGAGGCGATTTAGTATAAGGCCTACAACATTGCAAATACCGCCTGGTAAAGCTCCGCCACCTGGAACAGATGCAACTAGCACATCGTCAGCACTTGCATCAAGTGCTTCACAAAATGCGTTACAAAAACGTTTATCATATCGTCCATCGCCTTTGGCACGTGAGCTAGCCAGTCCTACTAGTACAACATCTACTGCAAGTATTACTAGTACCACGCGACTACTACCACCAAATACATTAACCAGTCCGCGCCCTTCCAGTACACACTCTCCACTATCACGTATTGTGCAAATTTCTCAAGCACAAAGAAAGAGTAGCATGCCTGATGGCTTTCAAATGGAGCAACAAACCAAAAAATCAGACAATTAAAAGAATGACAAAGATCCACTTTTTAGACAAATAAGTATTGTTGAATTAGGACAATTTAATCAGTAAGTTTTCATTATTATATGAATATATACTATTTAAAATATTATATGTAATCCTATTTGTTGCCATTTGCCTGTTTATTTAATTACAGTTATTCGATATTGTAAATTAACTTATATATTATTATTTATATATAGTTATTAATAAAATTTTTAAATTTTCAATCGTAATTATAAGATATTTTTATACTATTATTATTAAATAATTAAAAAATTTAAAGGATATATTAGAAAATGTATATTAAAATTAAAATAATTTATACAAAATTTGTTATTTTTTAAAACAACTCATTATACTTTAAGATATTACCAAATAAATATTTAATAGACTCATGATAGGGTCTAATAATGAAAAATTTCATATTTTATAGTAATATTGTGTTTGGGTTTAGGTTAGGTTGGAGCAGCAACCTTGTACAACGAAGCCTGCTTAACTTTTGGTCTGTTGTAATATAACAGATTAGCGTTGCTCATACTCAGACTAGAAGGATCTTCAAAAGGACTAGAGCACACAGACAACTCCTGCATTCAAATGAAACTGAACCAATATGACAAGTTTATATACTTTGTTAAGTCCCTAATTTTGTGAAATGACAATTCTGTAAAATCGAAAAGAAAGGCTGTTCCAAATATTATTTACCTTTAATGATTTGTGAATATTCAATGATTAACAAAAAGATAATTTTTTCTCTTTTTCAGAGCCAGGATAAATGTCACTTTTATAAAAAAAAATGATAACATGATTTTCAAAATAAAATCAATTTACGTGCATGTATATTAAGACTAGATATATTTTTAATCCATCATCCCGTTACTTTTATCAAAACATAATGTTCTCATTAGAGAGTAGAGGTAATCTTTCCAGATGAAATGCTGTATCGATTGTAATTTTGTTCACCATTCAATTAGTCATAATACCTTAATAATAAATGGCATGGTATATAAACCATGTAACCCTTCGATTTATCTGGCTTTAGCCGCTAAAACTTTTTTTGGTTAAGTGCGATATGGTATATAAACGAATCCTTCTCAATGTTTTTCTGGCACGCTACATTTATAACAAGTGTAAACAGATAAGCGGAATATTTATCCCTTGTTTAACTACCAACTACTTTTTTAACCACATCGAGAATAAAATCATTCACTTCAAACAATCTTCAACACGCCCCACGGTAAGATACCATCATCACTTGATGTCATACTTCTTAAACTGGAATAGATACCTATTAAAGTTAAAACACAATAGTATTTTTGCTATACCCTAAATTTCAAATAATATAAGATATTTAACCCGAATTAGTGGATATAATTAAAATTGTTTCAGTGGGAGTTTCACATTGTGTGCCCTTTGCATATACTTAATTCGCCTATGTAAAAACAGTTACCAAAAATATACTGTTTGTGATCACGTTAAATATCTTTGATGCCAACATAGAAATACAACCGCAACAAAAAAAGATGTAATAATTAATCAATATCAATTAATATATTCATCAATAGTAACGATATTGATGACTATAAGCGCAAAAAAGTGATAAATGGGAGTTAGAACCTCACATTAGAAAATCCAAGTTCATGTAATAGGTTTAGTTTACAACCCCAAACATTAAAGTGGTTCTGAGGTTAATCTACGCCTCTTGGTGTGTGAAATACATGTTTATACTTTGTGGATTTAGGCTTCCCATATAAGAACATTTATACATTCTACTACATTCCTTCAATCTAGACTATTTACTGTTTAACAATCGTTTTATCCTATCATTTGTAAGCTGCGGCTTGGACTTTTCGTTGACAACGTATCTAGTTGTTTTCTATATTTAAAAATCAATAATATTTTCACGTCACCAAAACGATTTGTTAATAAATAATAAGAAATATTTTTATCTGCTTAATATATTACCTCAAATAAAAATATAATTTGATCTTTCATCTTGATTTATTTAGCAAAACAGTTTTTTGTCCGCAAATTATTATTATGGATCATAATTACAACATATTGTATAAATTTATGGTTTGATATAAAAAGTACACTTATTCTCAAAATAGAGGAAAATAAATTTTCTTATGTTTAATATAAAATTTTCACAAACTCTTTAACAAACAATGTTAACAACTAACAAAATAATATTGATACATCAAATAGATGAATTAAATAAATATATTTGTTAAAAATTAAAACACAAATTTAAATAATAAGAAAGAATTAATTTTTTATATAAATAAATTATATTACTCGCAGTTGTAACAGAACATTTTAAAAGGATTCATCAGATTTCATATTAATATAAGAATTATAGTCATCCTGGGCTTCAACATGTGAAACAGCTGCATCTCGTGAGAGTTGAAATTTTTTCATAAATATTAACAAAATCCATTCTGGTAACAAACCATTTAAAAATACAGTCGCATGCTAAAATTTTGAAATTTAAAATCATTTTTAAGTCATAAAATCAAATTGTTCGCACCGAATTATGGTCTTTATCATACATATTAGCAAGAATCTCCATCAGCTTTCCTTGTATTTTATCTTCCATGAGGTATATAACTGTGGAATGGCTTATACCATTAAAGCTTCTTACAAAACTTTTGTTTTTTAATTTCTCAAAGATTATATCAAGCATCGGCTTATATTCCAACAAAGTGTTTTGAATATCATCTAAAGTCATATCTTTTAAATTTCTAAAACATTAAATAACTTTAGTATATTTTTTTATTAATTATTAAAAAATTTTAAGGTTATATATATCATACAGAAACCATTATATATATATTTCTATAAAGTTTATGTATTATACTAATAACCCAATAATAATAATAATAATAATAGCAATAGATTACAATGTCTCAACTTGTTTTGGAGGTCGAACCAATTCTTTTAGGATCTCTTTATAGTCGTATGTATCTTTAGTGGGAAGCCTTACACTCTCTTGCTGTTGGTGCTGTTGGATGTTAGAATCTAATAAATTTTTAGAATTTTTCGAACTAGAGCTCTCACAGGTTTGCTGTTCGTAATTCACTCTTTTCGGTTTATTATTATCAGAGCCTAACTGCTTATATTTTCTTTTTTTACTTTTAATACCTTCCATGCATATATTTGCTTGCTCATCATCATTATCATCAGAGCCAAAAAGGTCTGCTTGCAGTTTACTCTTTTCTTTATTGTGACTTGATTGAAGCAATCGACTTGAAGAGGTTTTCGTACGTCTATCGGAACTATTGCTTTTAAAATTAAGTTCTTTTTTTAAATGTGTTTTGCTTTGCGGTAAACATTCTTTTACAATGCTGTCTTCTGTATAATCACCTTCAATATATGTCGGTACAGCTTTTTTCTCTCGACTTGATTTTCTTAAATTCTTATTTATACCAAGGTCACCATGTTTAAATTCCGAATTGCTTGAGCTACGTATTTTGCGTTCATCTCTTCTTCGTTTCAGTTTTAATTTCTTAGTTTTAAGTTCTTCATACTTAGATTCCGACGTGGACTCAGCAATTTCCTCATCATCTTCTTTTGTTTTGCTATTTAATTTTTGTTCAACGTCTGTTGTCGTACAGATGCGTGCTGGATTATAGCTGGGTATTGCATTTAAACCCAAGTTTGTATCCTCAGTATTTATGCTTTGTATTGGTTTTGGCGTATATTCCTCCTCAATTACATCAGTTCCGACATTTTTTAGTGCAGTACAAGTGCTGTCTAAAGATGAGGGAATGTATGGTACATAATTGAGTGTATTTTTTGAGTTCGAGTCGTTGCTTTTATTAACAATTTGTGGCTGATATTCATGATCCTCGTGGACTTCCAGTCTTTTAATAGCAAGATCATCTATATGTTTAACAGTACAGTGTAATGTAATAAATATATCTGTTTTGTTTATTTTCTTATCATTAAACAATTTACACAATGTTTCAGTAGTAATTTCAGGCTTCTTAATCTCAACTTCTATAGTAGTATTAAGTAAAAACTTTTCATGAAGCTGAGTACTTTTTTTTGATTCTAAGTACTTATCTATTATATTTTGAAGACATTCATCCAAAGTAGCCCAATCTTCCAAATGCAACCACCGTGTACTATGTAGAGCATTTTGACCACAAAAATATTTGGTTAAACGTGGCACTATATCAATGCAAAATAAAGCTAATTTATTTTTATACTGCAATTAAATAATTATTTAAAATATTTAGAGCAAATAACTTCTATCCATTTATTACCGATATAACTTCCACAATTTGCGTTTTCTGTATTTCCATTTTAATATTATTTGTTTACAATCCGCTCCTTTTTAGCGGCAACTCAGTTTAGAACTTGTAATACACTGAAAAGAATTACTCGAAACTGTTCGTAGATTATGAGCATTTTACAACACTGAATATTTATTTCATATTATGTTTACGTATATATCAAAATAAACGTGATATAATAACTAATGTAATGTTATTATAATGTAATTATAATAAATAACATTTATTATAATTTGTTGGAGTTCAATCTTAACATAACAGTTAAAAATAAAGGTTGTGTTTGACTTTTGCATTAATAGCGTATAAGAAACTAAACAAACATTCCAAATCGGTTTGTGTCAAACATAAATATTATAGTGTCAAATGCAACTGGTTTGTGAATAAAATAAAATTATAAAAAATAAAATAAATAAATCGATACAACTATTTCAATATCTGTTTCAAAAAAAAATAACTATAATTTTGTACGTAAAGGTCAACGAATACCTATAATAAAATAGTTAATAAATATGTATGAAAAAATTCTTCTTGCTGTATTGTAACGTTTGGTAGATAGGAGTATTAATTATCATTAATACGTTTTTTAAAATTGTTCAATAAAAATAATTACTCATTAAGGTATTGTAGTACTGGTAATGCCATTTTTATAAATTAAACGAAATGAACTTTCTACGGGAAATATGTTGCAAATACATAAATTAATTAATTAATTTAAATATATGTACAAGGTAAATGCGCTTACTAATGCCCAACTAATGTTCTTTTTGTTTTCTTTTATTTATATTAATTAATTTTTAGTGCAACAAAAAACATGACAAAAAGAAGCATTTGATACATTTTAAAAGTGATGCCAATTTCTTTCAACCAGACTTAATGTTGTTTTCTTATAACTCGGAAAGGAAACATTATGGCTATAATTTTCTGAATGAAATTTCTTTTTAAATGCATTTTATATTTTTATATATATATTTACTGTATACTCAATATTACAAATTCATTCACTACAAAATTAATATATTTTATGTTTGGAATGTTATTCTATTAATTTTCAATTCAATTCAATTACTTTTATGCTTGAAGAATCACTTTTCAACACTTATTCTTCCCTTTCCATATGTAAAACATATGATTTTGAAGCATTTCTTAATTAAGTTTAAAGATTTGGCCCTTCTATTTATTTATTTCATAATAAACTGAAATTTTCATTTGATTATATATTTTCATATATAATTTGTATAAAATCTCTATGTACATTATACTATCATTAGAGCAACCAAAGTAAAAGAAGCTATGGACGACAATTCTCGGCAATTGGTTAATGACTGTTTTTTAAGACCTATAAGCGATCCAAAAACAACGTAATAATTACACATTTTATTTTGAATATTAAATTTGCAAATTTTAATCCGTATACTTTTATAGGAACACCCCTAACAATGTAACTCATTCTGCGCCAACTCTCAAAACAGAATTACAAGTTGTTAGACTTTCAGATGAATCACATAAAATAACTATGGAAACTCTTCGGTTCATACATGGAAACAATTTTCGTTTAGATGACATTTCAAAGTACAAAGATCGTGGTGGGCGTCAAAAAAAATCATACTGGGAAGATCGTGGTACGCTAATGGTACAAAGCATTACAAACTATTCGAATGTGTCTAGCAAAGATACTAATGAAGACAGATTACGGCGTTTTGCATTACTCAAATTGGAAAATTATGGTTATGCAGCTAGCCACTGCGTTGAAGCTTATGACCATTGTAAAGGTGATACTGATGCAGCCTTGTTACTACTATTTTCCAAATATATGAGAATTCCAGATAAATCATTATCAGAAAATGAGATATTACCAGATGATATTACTGAGGAAGAATTACTCACTTTGCGCGCGGAAGAGAAAGATGTGTTGGAATCAATTTATGAAAATGCTTTCGTAGAAAAAGAACGCAACGTAATTTGGTCTCTTCAGTTTAAAATTAATTATTTATTATCATATAGCCCCTCTGAATTAAAAAAAACTAAGGAGTCAATAAATAAGCCCACTAAACCTGTTAATGATAACGGCTTGAAAAGGTGTCGCAATTTCGATAAAGATGGTACATGTAGATTCGGGAATAATTGCAGATTTGCACATGTTAAGAAGGAAACTGAAAAGGAAAAAACTACAAAAGGTTTGTCAACAATATTAATATATAATAATTGTTATTATTGCAAAAAATTTTTATTCAGCAGTGTTAGATGAAAATGAAAACGAGCATTGGTTTTTCTTAGAAGTACGATTTCCACCAGACACTAAATATCCTTATGAAGCTCCATACATTTACGTTAAAACAACATGCCATGATATACCACGAGATATATTATTGCGTTTATCACGACATTTATATAATACAGCACGTGATATTTGTAGAGATGGCATGTCTTGCGTGTACACAGTGTGTGAACAACTTCAAACAGAAGAAACAATACTCAAATTCCTAGATGAAGATCGAGAAATATTTTTAAATGCTGACAAATCTATTTTTTACGTTGAGGACGAGGAGAGTATAATGAATAAGCAAGAAGAAGTTATAAAGTCATTACCAACGCATTATGAACGTGGAGAAACTGCTTACAATGATCATTTTCAGCGAAACGCAATGCAACTAGAAAAAGATAATCGTAGTTTAATACGACGATTTTTGGATAGACAAAATGATGAAACCTACCTCAAAATGATGTTCGCTCGAAAAAACTTGCCAGCATTTACGAAAATGATGGAAATTTTAAATATGATAGAAAATAATCAGGTGAGTTGTAAATATTATATCTTTTTAATTTAAATAATTATAACTTTTCAATCAAAGGTTGTTGTTATTTCTGGTGAAACGGGATGTGGCAAATCTACCCAAGTGCCTCAGTTTATATTAGATAATTGGATGTATACTTCTTCTAAATTAGATAAGTCTAAGCCAGTACCTCATGTAGAAATAATATGCACACAACCAAGACGCTTATCTGCTATTGGCGTAGCAGAACGCGTGTCAAACGAACGCATTGAACGTGTTGGACAATCAATTGGTTATCAAATTCGCCTAGAAAATAAAATATCGCCATCTACTCGTCTAACCTTTTGTACAACAGGCATTCTTTTACGACGTTTAATGTCTGATCCTTTATTAGATACAATCACTCATATTATCGTTGATGAAGTTCACGAGAGAAGCGAAGAATCTGATTTTTTACTTATGATTTTAAAAAATTTATTAAAAGAACGTCAAGACCTAAAAGTTATTCTTATGTCTGCTACATTAAATGCTAAACTCTTTTCGGAGTACTTTGGAAATGCACCAGTTTTAGATATACCCGGGCGTACATTTCCTGTTGAGCAGCTGTTTTTGGAAGATATATTGGAACTTAGCGATTACGTGATAGAATGTGATTCTCAATATAGTCGAAAAATACAGAAAAAAGAGGAAGAGGAACTAATGCAGGAGTTGGAATATGCTGATGTTAAGTCGGTAAAGGTTGCACCGCCAAAAAATCATAAAGATGAAAATTTAAGCTTATCTGCAATTTATGCAAGATACAATGGTAAGACATTATCAATTAATTAGTTAAAACAACAACAATAGTTTTTATATTTCTTTATTATTTTTAAATAATTGTAGATTATTCAAAGAAAACGTGCAAATCAATTTTTCTCATGGAACCAATGAAAATTAACCCTGAGCTTATAGAAGCCATATTAAAATTTTTCGTGGAAGGTGAACACAGCTGGCCAAAAGAGGGTTCCATTCTAATATTTTTACCAGGTTTACAAGAAATTCAACTAGTATTTGATTCACTAATGGATAGCACTCTTTTTGGTCCAAGGCAAGTTATTATGCTACGAGTATTACGAGTATTGTTTTCAATAAACATGTTTATTTATTTTTTTTAGAAGTAACAAATTCGTTATTATCCCACTACACTCAACTTTAACAAGCGAAGAGCAATCGGCAATTTTTCGTCCTGCACCAAAAGGTAAAAGAAAAATTGTATTAAGTACAAATATTGCGGAAACATCAGTGACAATAGATGACTGCGTTTTTGTTATCGATAGTGGATTAATGAAAGAAAAACGTTTTGACTCTAATCGCAATATGGAGAGCTTAGATCTAGTGTGGGTATCTCGTGCAAATGCAATGCAACGCAAAGGTCGTGCTGGTCGCGTAATGCCAGGAGTTTGTGTACATTTGTTTACGGGTCATCGTTTTCATCATAATATACTTAGTCAACCTGTACCTGAAATTCATCGAGTTCCTTTAGAACAACTAGTTCTACGAATTAAAACATTGCCAAATTTTAATGAATTAAATGTGTTAACAGTTTTGGGTCAAACTCTAGAACCGCCAACCGAAGAAAATATAATTTCTGCTGTTAATCGTTTAGAAGCTGTGGGTGCATTAGATAGTGAGCAAAATCTAACTCCTTTAGGTCATCATTTATCGCAACTACCAGTAGATGTAAGAATTGGAAAATTGATGCTTTACGGTGCAATATTTCATTGTCTGGACAATGTGTTAACAATAGCTGCTTGTTTAAGTCATAAATCGCCATTTGTTAGTCCTTTCAATAAACGTAATGAAGCACAAAATCGAAAACGATCTTTTAGTGTGTCGAATAGCGATCACTTAACATGTTTAATGGCTTACAATGTTAGTATGTTTTTCCAATAATCGTATTCAAATTTTAATTAATTTAAATTTCCAGAAATGGTTGGATGTTTCGAAACGAAGTTATTTAGCTAGTCGTCACTTTGCGGATGAAAACTTTTTATCACTTAAAACTTTACAAACTATATCGGAAGTTAAATATCAATTTTTGGAATTGCTCATATCGATTGGATTTGTCCCGATAAACTTACCCCGTAGAAGGAAAAATGCAGACGATAATATTCTACAATTGACTGGTAAGAATTGTGCCTTATAATAGAAATATATTACTAAATAATTGTATACATTTTTAAACAAAAAAAATTTATTTTTTAGGTCAAGACCTTAATACCAATGGCGGAAACAATCGACTTCTTGTATCGTTATTGTGCGCTGCATTATATCCCAATATTGTTAAAATTTTAACACCTGAGAGAAGTTATATTCAAACAGTTGGTGGAGCATTCCCAAAACCTGCAACTGCCAAAGAACTTCGCTTCAAAACACACGGCGATGGTTTTGTTTCCATTCATCCATCTTCTGTAAATTCCGATATTGGTACTTTCCAGTGGCCATTCTTAATATATCAAGAAAAAGTGAAGACATCTAAAATTTTTGTAAGAGAATGTACTATGTTGCCTTTAGTGCCGTTAGTGCTTTTTTCTGGTAGTGACATCAAAATAGAACTACACGGTGGTGATTTTCTTTTTTCTATAGAAAATGGTTGGGTTCTTCTTAAAGCATACAACCACGAAACGGCGGAAATAATTCAATGCTTACGAATTGAATTATTTAAGTTATTGGAAGAAAAAATTCGTGATCCATGCCTTAACTTATTAAATCATGAAAATGGACGAAAAATTATTAACAATATTGTATATTTAATAAGTAATAATTAAATTTTAAACATATAAACGACATTTATATTATGATTATGCAAGGTTTTTTATTTAAATTTTGTATATAAAATTATAAAATCTATACAAGAAATTTTTATACTCATTTAAACATGAAAAAAATTAATAAAAATGTGTAAATATGAATTTGAGGTGTATAATTAATTATGTATAAACAATATATCAAAAATATAAATAATGATTTAAAAATTAAAAATATGAAAATGTAACTAAAAGTTAAAAAACATAAATATTGTCGGTGATAAATTTAATTGACATTAATGACTATTATCTGACAATCTGAAGTTCCAGACATGACTTGTTATTGACTACCGTATATAAGAAAAACATATTAAGCATGCTTCTCCCGAAACAATGGAACTAGCCGGATTTCTACAATTGAAATCATTGATCTAACGATGATTTACGGCAGAGATTAAACATATCACATCGTATGTTTCACAAAAGAAATGTTTCTGAAAAACATCAGTAATAGATAAATCTACAAGATTTACCTTTTTTCAAACAAATGAAATAACAGAATAAATATTAATCTCAAATAGTATAGTTGGCAACCATTAAAGAAGTAACGGAAGCAGGAATAACATTTCTTTAGGCAACAACTAAATAAAGATAATATGTAATTTAGACAACTCTCTGAAGTCACTGTGGCAATGGGTGTAGACAGCAAAGCTCATTAAAAAATAAGCAGACAACAAAAAGTTGTAAATTATATCAAAAATATATAAAAAAATTTAATAGAGTAGTATATAACCAAATAGCGTGGGTTCTCTCATAACGGGTAGCATTAAATTTTGAGAAGTTGAAACAGCAGGAACTGCAGGAATTTATAAGGCATATGTATATATATATGTATGTGCTCAGTACGAACATATATACTAGAATCGCATAAAACGGATAAAGCAACAATGCAAAAGGTAATCATTTTAGTATATAGAAATTCTTTGCTTAAAATGAGCTTAAATACGATATGTGAGACACACGCGAAATCAAAAATATTTTAAAATATAAAAGTCTAGTAATAATTTCTATTAAGAAGATTTACAATGACAACTAGAGGTGGTGGACTTCAAAACAGGTGACTTGAGCATTGTTATAAACTTCAATAAAGTTTAGTATAGTTAAAATTGCAAACCATTTCATACTTTTGTAAAAATTTGAATAATTTCAATAAAAACCTGATTCAAATTGTCTTAAATTCAGACAAATAAACTCAAACTTCCCACATACAAATTTATAAGACATATTTCAAATAAATTATTTCGAAAAAATCGTTATATGTAAATTTCAGTATCCTATTCTTGTCAGATTTGTTTATTTAATTCCGATATTTAGTGGAATTATATTATCACTGAAAGTAGACCGAAATTTGGTATGCATACTTGAATATACACAGTGCGATTTGGTACCACGGCATACTTGGTTTGCATACATGTAGCATCATCTAACTCATGGTTTAATTAGTAAATAATCGTGACTTGTTTAATATTAAGAGATTTTAAAATTAATAACGAAAATAAAATTAATTTTTTAAAGTTATATTATTTCCGCAATTTTTATAAATAATTTGATTATCAACTGTGGAAAACATTATCACATTATTGAATATAATATTGTTCATAATAAATAATAATAAACTAAAATAATAAATTGAAATCAACCTAAAATGCTATTAAACTAATTTATAAATGCAAAGTTCGAATACAAAATTTTATAAATTATGAATGCAGTTAGTATATCTAAAATTACTCAATGTGTACGCTATTATCATTTTAAATGAATGTAACATAATAGGAGTAACAAATGCCGTTGCTTGGCAACTCAGTATGCGGAGAGTCATAAAATGACAAACGTGACAACACCAACAACTGATTCCGTTTTTATAAATTTTCTTCTATAGAAAAGCAAGAAAATAGCAAGAGAAGCTGGGATAAAGAAATTTTAAATAAAGGTAAAATTTATTCTTTCTTTATAATATTTCAAATTAAATTTTGAGTTTTGTGCAACACTTAAGCTCTGGATTAATCGAAAGCTTTACCGTTTTTCAATTAATTTCCTACTGCATCTACATTGGCAAGATTTTTGCATACACGAACAGATTGACACGAACACATAAATTTTTGTTTGCAGACAAAATACAAAAAATTATGTAGTTGCATTTAAGTATAAGAATTTTCAAAAATTCAAAAAAATATGTATTTGCATTTGAATATAAAAATTTTCGAAAATTAAAAAAACTACGTATTTGCATTTGAGTATAAAAATTTTCAAAAATTCAAAAAAATAAGTATTTGCATTTGAGTATAAAAATTTTCAAAAATTCAAAAAACTACGTAATTGCATTTGAGTATAAAAATTTTGATAGTTTAACCAGCATAGATTTCGAATAAGTTGGTTATATAGAAAAAAACGTTCTATTTGAACACATATTCTATTTAACTTGATATCTCGCATTAATCAATTGTCTCCAAAATTACAAATTATTGAAAAAGGTATTTTATAAAATGAATATAAATTTTTAGTAGAAATTTTAAGTATAATAAAAACCAAGTTTGCATTGCTATATTTTTCTATGTATCAAATAAAGTATTATATATATTTAAAAAAAAATTAGCTTTAATTCTGTCTGTTTGTAGAATTTAGAAGAACAAGATTTCTTAACTTTCAATCGAAAAAAATAAAAACCAATAAACGGCGCAAATAATTCATAACAGAAGGCAGTAGTGTGCACTCAGTTTAATTTAGTTTCGATTTCGTGTTTCGTTTCTTCCAATTCCTAACGCCACTGGTGTTATTAGCTTTATTCTGGGCGCTGAAATTGTTTCGTGCGAAATAAACATTCTAACATTTGCAGAAATGAGTATTTCACAGAAGCGGAAGGCCGGCGAGGTTTCACAAGATGCAAAACGTCCAAGAATCGAAGACGTAAGTTATTATAATATTAACGTTGATTACTTTACGTATAAATAAACTTCTTTTTTAAATAGAGAGACTGGACACCTGGTAAAATAATGAAAATTAATTTAAATAATTTTATGTGTCATAGTAACATGACGCTAACATATCATCCGCGCATGAACTTCTTAGTTGGTGCAAATGGTAGCGGGAAAAGTGCGCTAATGACGGCTGTATCAGTAGTCTTAGGTGCGAAGGCTAGAGTAACGAACCGCTGTGATAGTTTGAAAAGTAAGTTCATAATATAACCAAAAACATTGATTTAAATATAGCACATTATTAATATAATACAAGAATTATGCTTTCAATTCATTATTTATCAATAACTCATAGTGCGTTGTTGTCTAAATAAAGTTAAACCTTATAACTTGATTATAACAACTTTTGTAATAGTTACACATAGATAAATGCACTATCCATTATAGTTGCCTTACCTTACAAATATCCTACTTCTGTGATTATATATTTGAATATTGAATATTGATAAATAACTTATTTTTCAAATTTAGATCTCATAAAAACTGGTCAAAACTCAGCGAAGATTGAAATAACTATTTTTAATGGTGGCCCCGAAGGGTATAAAACTGATATATATGGGAACGAAATTACAATTATAAAGCAAATCACTATGAGTACATCCTCATACACAATCAAAAGTGGAAATGGTCGAACCATTTCAAAAAAGCTTGACGAGTTAAACAATATCATGCTGCATCATAACATACAAGTTGACAATCCAATATTCGTTTTGAATCAAGATGCTGCACGCGAATTCCTACGAACGTAAGTTAATATAAATACATCCAATTAATCAAATTAATACATCCAATATATTATATATTATTGTAAATATATATTATATAATATATATACCTTTGTTTTAGTATGGATGAGTCTCAAAATTTCAAGATGTTCATGAAGGCAACACAGCTTGACTATATAAGTCAAAAACTTTCTGAATGCCGTAGAGATCAAATCAATTACCAAAATCGCTTGAAATCTCTAAAAGCTGTAAGTAAATTTTTTAATAATATTTTTAATAAAAATATTATGAGTTATATTTTGTTTATATATAGCAGATAATAAAATATTTGTAGTATTGGTGAGAAATATCTCTTTCTTTTATACACTTCAGAAAATATTGACTATTAATTAAACAGTATATATATATACCATATATTTTTAAAATGCTTAATAAGATATATAAAATTAGCGTCGTCTTCATGTTTGATAATATGCATCCTTGAAAATTAGTTTTTACACTAATTGTACAGAGACGTATTGCGAATCTATTAAATCGATATAATTTAAATGTATAATTTATATTTATACAAATTCATATATAATATGACTATATAATTTAGTTCTTATACAAAATACTTCTGGAAATGAGCTTTCATTGAATATTACAAAAATACATGCAATATGTGAATACTGACTTATAATATAATAATTTGTGTTAAGTATTAATGATTTTGTTAGCTTTATTGCAATAGATACCGAGGTAGGACTCCACAGAACTGGTTCCTCTTGAACCATCTGTATGTCACGCACGTAGATGCTTAGAGACTTGTGGTCTTGTATAGGCAGCATTTTAGATTCTGCATAAAAATGTTCAATAGTAGACGTGTGATGGCAGCTGGTTGCAATAAGCAAAGCAATGTTTGACATGATTGGATATTATTCCATTGTGTCTAGCAGAGTTGTGAGGTCCACATTAGATTTACTTAGGACGTCATATTGCTTTGTATGTGTGCAGCAGGGGATTCTTTTCTCTTTATCCTATGTATACATCGCGCAAACCCTTCGAAACGTTATTAAGAGATTTTAAGCGACTGTCCTTCCGTGTGGCATGATTAAAAAATATTAACATACTATTGAAAAAAACACCCAAGATTTTTGGTTTGTAGAGGAGATCCTGTATTTAGCAATCTCAAACCACAGAGTAAGGGATGCTTCTTTTGTTCGGCAATTAAAAAAGGTGGAGGAAAATATTATTATTAATAAGTAACAATTTCTTTCAGTAAAGTATGAGACTACAATTTGTGAGGTCCTGACCCACGATTACAATTGCGGCATACATTATGACTCTGACTTCCTCGGAAGTATGAAGAAAATTATCCCATTGAGTCTTATCGTCTTATTTTTAGGTTAGGTAGGATTTGCTAAAGCTGTAATTGTAGTCCACAATCTAACATTTTGAGAGTCACAATTATCTAAGTGCTCCTTCCATTTATCATGGCGATATTCTTCCATTATTTTGCAAATATTTCTGTTCAGAGTATTTGTGCGACTATTAACTGGGTTTGATCTACGAAGATTCTAACGTACTTCAAATCATAGAGAACGAAAACATTACCGAAATCGAATTTGGAGATATCTCTAAAAAGATAGTTCACTTGTTTGAAATTTATGTGGGTATTAATGTCAGCTTCGACATGGGTATCGAAAGATGGAATAGTAACAACTTAGTCTATCGCGATTATATCAGAAGTCATAATCCTACAATTAAAAAAATTACAATTATGTTATAATTGATATAAATTAAATTTAGTATGATAATTACTACACTTAATTACTTTAAAAAACTTGTCTAGAATTTTTATTATTTATAAATCTTTAAAAACGCTTTAAAATACATTTTTATAATAACCGATTGAAATATAAATTTATTTCACAGACAATTGAAATGAAACAAAAGGAAATAAAAAACATAGAAGATAAACTGCAATTTATTTTATCGGTGGAAAAATTAAAGGTAATTTGTGCTTATATTAATTAACTGTAGTTAATTGATTAATTTGTAAAATTTCAGAAAAATCTTGAAATTTATAAATTGACATTGGAATGGATTAAAATAAAAGAAAAAGAACAAGAATTATCAGACACAAAAAAAGAAATTAGAGATATTATATTAGCAAAAAAAGATTTCGAAACAATCATATATAATAAAGAAAATATGGAAATAAACTTTACTCAAAAGAAATGGTATGTATTATAAATACAATGAAAATTCTCTTAGCGGAAAATCCTCTTATGTAAACAATATTTTTTTTTGTTATTTAAAACAATGAAAAATAATAACATAAATATTAAATAATAATTAACTTCTTACCGGATACCATTCTGGAGCTAACAAAAGTGGGCAAAAGATAATTGTCCGCCTAAGAGAGTTTTCACTATGTAACTAATTAAGATCTGATTATAATTAAATATTTGCTTAACAGTGAAAGCGATCAAAGATTAGAGCAAGATAAAATCATATGTAATAACTATTTAAAAGAATGTACAGAAGCAAGAAAAAAAGTTAAAGATCATCGTGAACAAGTAATAGAAATTGAATCTAAAATTAAAGCAATAAAAAACAAAATGGATTCCTTAAATACAAATATTATACAAATAAATTGTGCTATTTCTAATGCTGACGAAAGGTAAATGCGTTTTTAAAAATCATATAATTACATAATAAGACTTATCTTTTAATGTTAGTAATGCTGCGCAAAAACAAGCTGAGAATACAAGAAAATTGGAAGCACTTAATGAACGTCTAACTGAATCAACTAGAAAAATAGATGAAGAAAAAAATAAACTAAATATGTATAATCAGCAAAAAATTGAATTAAACGAGAAAATGCAAGAAATAGTACAAAAGAAGGACGGTATGCGAAGACAACTAGGTAAGGTTTTTTATTTCAAGTTTTTATAATATATTTGACACTATGTATGTGTTATTCATGCACAAGGTTTTAACACTTAATATGCCAAAAATATCATTCGTTACAGCCAACTTTGATATAAATATATCATCTATCAACAAAAAGGATCCACTTTCAGTGTATTCTTCTGTCATCCCTAACCTAATGAAAGTTAAACAAAGGATTGAAGTACTTTATAAAGAAGGGAAATTTTCTGCTCAACCTATAGGTCCATTAGGTATTTACGTGAAAGTGCCCAATGAAAATCTAAGAAATATAATTGAATCAGTGATTCGGAACCTTCTCAAAGGTTTTATTGTAAATAATGCTGAGGATCGTGAGGTCTTGGAAGAGATATTTCGGACGCTCAGTCCCACAGCGAACATACCAATAATTCAAATGAAATTCATGAAAAAGGTTTGTTTTTTTTTTATTTTTATATTTCTTTATATTTATATATTTTTTTTATACTTATATATTTTTTTATATTTATATACTTACATTTTATTATACTTACATTTTTTTATATTTATATTTCTTATTTATATATATTTTTTTTTTATTTATATTTCTTTATATTTATATTTTTTTATATTTGTATATTTATATTTTTTAATATTTATATGTTTTTAATATTTATATGTTTTTATATTTAGAGGGTTTTCGAATAGTAAAGAAAGAAAGAAAGAACAAACACATAAATTTAATTAATTTTATTAAAATTTTGCTGACCATACAACGCTATTTCGAGTATTGCCAAGTCGTTTTTATATTTATATATTTTTTTATATTTATCTTATTTTTATATTTATCTTATTTTTATATTTATATTTATATTTATCTTTATAATTTATATTTTACATTTATTTATCTAACAAAAAAAATAAAGATAATATTAGTTTTTGAATATTTTAGTTCAAACAAATTTATCTTATACTGTCTAAAGCCGGTCACGCTTTTATCAGATTTTATCAGATTATCAGATAATTTTTTTTTTAGTTTTTTTTAATACTTAATTTTATTTTAATTTTTTTTTATGAAAATAATTAATAATAATTTTTTTTTATTTTTTTATTTTTATATTTTTTTTTTTTTTTTTATTTGTATTTATTTATTTTTTTTTTTTTTTTTTATTTTTATTTATTTATTTATTTTTTTTTTTATTTTTTTTTTATTTTTTTTTTTTTTAATTTTTTTTTTTTTTTTTATTTCTTTCATTGCTATATTAATTAAAAAAAAACAAAATGTGATATATGTTCTAGTGAACATATCACACACCCTCTTCATAAGACGTGCAACTCGGAATTCGTCAATTTTCAGAAAACTCAAAAAAATCTCATTCAAAAAACAGTGGAATTTTACGAGTTGGTAGATAGATACACTATAAGCAAGTTCAATGCATCAACTCAAAATAGAGAGACTTCGAGGTGTGCGATATATTTAACGAGAAAAGATATCACTCCATTTAATACCATATTTATCGTTGCTGTAACTGTGAAAGAATGTTAAATATACTTTATTTTTTGATTGTCCATTTTCTTTATAAATATAATATAAAAATTAAATAGTTTATTGGCTCTATAGCAAGCGATATATCGCTGTTAGCTCTACTTCTCATGACATCACCCAGCTGTCCCAATTTATACGCTAATGTGAGCGCTATTTGTTTAGGGCTCCGTTCTATCAATTCTGTAATTGATAGCCTGTATACACGAATGGTCTCAGGATGCAACAAGACTCAATTATTCCCATTCATCCCCCACTCCTTATCATACCTAACTTCTCTACACAATCGTTTCTTATTCCATTTGTATATTTCTTATCATACTTTTTGGGGTGGGATAAGTTACTATAACAACAATAAACTCATTAAATATGCTTTAAAACGTATTGTTTATATATCACTAAATTATTTCAGTACAGTACACTGAAACAATTTTTTATCCTTACATATATAGTACATTAGATCTTTATCTAAAAATAAATTTGATACTTCTTTTTGGTTTCGATATTGATCGTAAGCATATCGCGCTATTAACAAAAATAATTGAATTTGATTGTAGTGTCATCACACTACATGATTAAAATTAAGAAATATGAAATATAAAAATAAATCTTAATTAGTTAATATATTTATATAATAATAATACATATTTAAGATTTATTGTGCTAAGTCTTTTTAATATATATTATATAAAATATTTCATTAATTTTAATTTATTTTAAAGGTTTACGATGTTTCAAACGGTAAAGTAGAATGTCCAAAAGGTACCAAAATTTTAATGCATGAAATTGAATGCAAACATCCGGTTGTCATGAATTGCTTAATTGATAGACAACAAATCGAATGTATATTACTAGCTGAGAACAACAAAGCAGCTGAGATGTTGACATCTCAAAAGCAAAATGTACCACAAAATCTATTTAAAATAATTGTGCCAAGTCAAAACACTGAGTTTTATCCAGCACCACACTTTAGAATGTATTCCTTAAACATTAGAAAAGCACAACTCATTCAAGTTGATGTACAAGATCGAATAAAGTAAATTTATTTATATTAAAGTAACTAATACATTTTTAAAATGTTTTTATATATTTTAGTCAAATACAGAATGAGAAAAAGTCAGTACAGGAGAATATTGAAAAACTGTCTATGGATATAAATCACATAAGAAGTGAACAACAAAAACTAGTTGCTAACATAGCAGAGTCTCGCAAAATAGTTCAAAATAGTGAAACGTCTATCGACAATATAAAGGAAGAAATTCTAGATTTAGGAACATTTGAATTGCCAGCATCTTCGAATATAGAACGATTGGTGAGTACAGTTAAATTGTCACAATAAATAATTATATATAAATAATGCATTTATAATATTTTAATTTTGACATTGAAAATATTTGTGCAATCATTTACTGTTGGAAATTCAATTTATTTGTCATTTTTTGGTGCTGTTATGTGCCACTTTTTTTAATTTTTCACTATCCTACTAAATAATGGACTGCAGTATCTGATAAAGTAGCGTGGTTCTTTCTTACAGTTTCTTTACTGTTTCGGTAATTTAAAATCATCTTTTGTTACTTAACAGATGATAGCGTTAGTTGACTAAGTGCATGTAATTCACAAACAGTAAATATAGAAACCTGAAAAATAAAATTGCATAAAAAAATAATAATTTTTTAAAAGCACAAGAAATGAAAAAGACAGAAAAAAATTATATCTAGGAATTACGTTTGATAAGCGGTTCACTTGGCACAAGTACATACAAATCAAAAGCAATAGTTCCGCAAAAACACTGCAATGCTTACAACTACTTTTTAACAACCACTTTTCAAACACAACAAATTTAGTGTGAAGAACAGAAAGTGTGTCGCGTATAACAAAGCTGCCAATTCTACTATCCAGAAGCTACAAGTTGCTTAAAGTCAGGCTCTCCGAAGACTCTTCAAAGTGCCATGGTACATCCGCACGAATGACATGCTAAGAGACCTTAGAATAGATCCGGTCAAAAAATACATAAGGGACAGAGCCCTGAAGCCATATGCAAAAACCGACAGGCTGTTCTACTTAGCAGCGTCGGGGCGGTACGCAGATCTTAGATCAGTCATTAAATAATCAGGAAGCTTATGAGGAATACACAAATTAGTCAGTGAAATGGGTGGGACTCTGTAGAAACCCCCCAGCTATCAAAGAGTAAAAGTGCCCAGATACACTAACTCGGAAAAGGCTCAACATTGACTCACTAAAAAGGGCAGTTTCTTCTATACAAAATGCTAATTTAACTTAATCGACTTAAATAATAACACAAAATAAATTCTAACCTTCATGTTGTTCTTGTAAAAGCCCATGTAGATCTATATGACAGATAGCACTAAAGGAACTACAAATGCGGCTACATAGGTTAGTATATGGTTGGGTAAAGAAAGTATGAAATTATTATCAATGGGTAAGATTTTACTTCATTGAGTTGGAACCAATTGGGCTCAAATTGATGTGTACATAAGAACATGAAAATAAACTACATGGTTGCTAGGACTTCAGTTCAGTTACACATGTAGAATAAACGCACTTATGCCTGACAAGTAGCTGTTTAGCTGCTTGCTGTAGCGTGTACCTGCTGGTATAGTCTCTTTTTGAAATGCCGAACGGCACTTGATTATCGAAATTAATGTGTGTTTCCGGGACGTAAATCCGACTGGACCCCGCACATCTCTTTTAATAAATCCATATCTCCGATATGGATTTATTAGTGATAAATAAAAAATCACTTTACTATCAAACCTCAAGTTTATGAGAAAATCTTATTTGGCATTATTATCGATATCGTAAAAGGTTTAATCGCGTACATTCAGAAACCTACTCATTCCGGAAATCCTCTTATACTCAGCTTCGCCACCTATCATCAAGTTAACACAAATTAAATGCACGAATGGCTTGAGGTAAAATTTTTAAAGCAGACATTGGGATATGTTGATTCCGGGATATTCGGACCCGTAAATTTAAGTAACTAAACAAATTTGAATTAAATAAGCTACAAATGAATCACATGAACATTACTCGCACTTAAATTACAACAAATTAAACAGTCATAAATAGCAACTAGTTATAAAATAATTAATAAACAATTTAGCAATATTAAAAGGAGTTTACACACAAATTATTCTTTAGCTCTAAAGGGCATATTATGATTGCAGTCACGTCACGGCAAATTGTTATTGCTTTCAAAACAAAATGAAAATTTGACACTGGCAACTTAAAATCGCCTTGACGTGACTGCAATCATAACATGCACCTTAGAGCTAAAGAATTATTTTTAAATCAGATGTTTTTGCAATTATATTTTTGAAAATTCTATTCAGAGTTTCGAAACAGAACATAGCCGTAAATCGAAGAAGAGAAATTTTTGACAAAAATAAATCCAGAACTGAATTAAAAACAATATCTGTGATATATATACATCGTTTCTAATTTGACACGCACAAGTTTTACGCCTAGCATAAAAATAAAAATTCGAATATTTCCTAAGATCACTGATGATGAGTACTTGTATGGTCAGCCAAAATTCAATAAATTCATTAAATTTTTGTTGTTGTTAATTCATTACTCTTCGAACTCTTCTAGTTTTTTTTCCTCATAAGACGCGTCACATTCGATAAAAGAAATCAATGTACTACTTATATGAGCGCATTCATATTCTGTTTTTATTAAATAAATTCTTTACACAAGAATTATATTAATGAAACTCGAAACTGAACTTAAAGCCAAAAACGAACATACTGGAACCTAGCCAGAATGAAAAAATTCGTATTCAAAGCATACATGTAATTACTATTTTTGCAGGATTGCTGCCGGATTCATTCATATAAATTAAACACCTACAGGGTTAATTATATTATCAGTCTTATAATATTTTTACTATGGAACAGTGCACACCAGTCAAATGCACTGGACTCTAGAAGGATTATTGGCAAACAATCATTATGAGTGATAAGACAGTAAATGTTTGACTGAACCATAAAAAAACAAAATTGTGGGTTCTATGTCATGAAAAACCTTGAAATGATTAAAAAAGCACCTCTTTACTATCAAACAGTGACAGTGTGATACGGAATTTATGCTAATATGATCATTGGTCATTTGTTCGTTTGTTTTCACTTTTGGTTTCAACCAGATGACGTTCAATCAAATTTTTGAAGCTATGGTGATTTTGACTGGCCGCTAGCGTTATAAAATCTATACAAAAAGATATAATTCATTTATTCTTCCTAATGGTTTTTAATTTGAGCATCAGAGCATCATTGTTTTTTTTTTCAAGTTTTTTGTTAAATAAGTGGATTCACCAACTTCGTGAGTCGTCCTCTATGCGACCCAGGACGACTCACGTCTGTAATGGCCAACTAAGTAAGTAAGTAAATAAGTGGGTCCGCCTAATATAGCCAACATTGTATATAATAAGTTGTCTGTGGAATTGATGAACAGCTCTTGTTCATCGAGATTGACGACGTTGTTATTATTGTTGTTGTTGTTGTATCCCGATGGGATCTGTAAGCAGATAACATGACAAGATTTCGGCATCAATGTTCGAAAACATATTAGTTTCGAAATTGAATTCACAATTGATTTACAAAAAAAGTTATTTAAAATTATATTTTATAAAAAAACTCATTTGTTTTAGAAAATCATTAAATCGGAACATATGCAACAGTTAAATAGTAAAAAAAAGGAATTAGAAGAGAACGAAAAAAAAATAGAAGGAGCAAAAAATGAATTAATTAAATATGAAAAAGAATTAAGAGAAAATGAGCATTTGTTATCGTCAACACAGAAAGCAATTGAAGAAGAAATGGTATGATTTTTAAATGCTGTAGAATTATTTTTAAAAATTTGTATAATAAATATATATTAAATAGGTGCAGAAGGGCGAGCTAGAAAATCAGTTTAGAAAAATTAATGTTTTATACAAAAATTCTAAAGATAAGTATGCGCAAAAAAATGCGTTGCAATTAAAACTGGAGGTAAAAGTTTCTAATCATTGTTAAAAATATTGTATATTGTTCAAAATTCTTTTCTCTTGTTAAATAGAATAAAACAGTAGAAATGACCAAAGAAATAAGTGAATTGATATCCTTGGCCTCACAACATGGAGAGAGAATTGATTCAGATGAGTCAAAGGAAGATGTTAATTCGAAAATAAAAGTAATAAATGCACAAATCAAATCCCGATCGAACATTACTGACAATCCAGAAGAATTACAATTAAAAATAAATGATTTAATACAAGAATTAAACGATAATCATGACATTTATAAATCCTTTAAATTATTGGTTGATACGGTAACATTTAATATATTCATCTTAAGTGTATGCAAATGTTTATAATATATATTTTATTATATAATATTTTAGCAACAGGCAACTCTTCAACATCGCCGCACTGTTAACGCAAAGATTACAAAATCAATGTTCATACTGGTCAATTTTAGTTTTCAGGTAAGTCTATATGATATATATATAATAAATATATACAAATATATATATGTATATTATAAATGTATAATTTTATTTCTTTATGTAGCAATATCTCAAATCTAGAAGATTTAGTGGAGAAATATTGTTCGATATAAAAAATCGAACTCTTAAACTACGAGTTACTCCCCCAGTTACGTCAAATATAGAAGGCGCTGTTGATAGTACAAAATCTTTATCAGGTGGTGAAAGATCTTTCACCACTGTGACTTTCTTATTAGCGTTGTGGACATGTGTTGATCACCCATTCATTATTTTAGATGAGTACGACGTCTTCACAGTGAGCATATCTCTGCAGTTTGTATAAAATAATAAAAAATAATTAAAATTCACTTTTTAGGACGAATTGAGTCGTGAATATATAAACCGTCTACTTGTACAAGAATGCGCAAAAAAGAGGAGACAGTACACGTTTTTAACTCCTCTTGAACAAAATATAAATTGCGTTAATAATGGCAAAATTCATAAGTAAAAAACCTTTCATAATTATAATTAATTACAATATAATTGAAATCAAGATTAAATATAAATATTTTTTTTTTTATAGACTATCGGATCCATAAAAATATACAAAATAGCTACATCACAACTGCCTTAGCTTTTAAAAAATTTCATTATATACTTTACCAACAAATCTAGTAACATAGTATCATATCTAGTAACATAATACTGTACTTTTTTACATATATAATAATATTATGTGATGTTTTTCACTTTATTAACCACCAACAAATCTAGTAACATAGTATCGTATCCAGTAACATAATATTGTACTTTTTTACATACCATATATAAAAATATCATGTTACGTTTTTTTTTGCATCTTAAAATTAAGAAAAATGATAAAACTTTTATTTCATTTTTATATATTAATTTAAAAAAAACGTGTAATTTTTTAAGTTTTATTTTTACATTTAATTCTATTACTACAATGTGTATACAAAAGTTAAGTTTGTTTGAATAATGTTATGTTAAAATATTTAGTTAATAAAATTTTTTATAAAATAAAAAAATTACTTACCGAGTTTTTTAATACAAAGTAAAATTAAGTACATATGTAATTAGTTAATAATTAATAACTATCACAGTAATTATAATTATGAAGTAATTTCCATAATATACAAAAAGAAGTAATGCAGAAAAATTACAAATTAATTATTAGCGGAATGTTATATATTCGTTAACAGCATTTTAATATATAAACTTTCATAGGTAGGTAGATAGAGTGGCAGTTGCCCATTGCAACATATATAGGTCTGTTCTATGTTATTGATTTCCCAAAACGGCAATATTCTGTTGAAGTAAAATATTGCAACGTGTCGGACGATCGTTTCGGTTTGAAGAATCTATTTAAAAATTTTAGTAAACGACAAATACATTTAACAAGTATATATCATCACTGGCGACAAAATATTTGCTAATACTTATAAAGTGAAATTAGTAAATGAGGCCATATATTAAATTTACATAGAATCCATTATGTGGAGAAACCGACGAAAGTACCAAAACTATTGTTCAAATCAGTGTTGACGTGATCTTAAACCATCGTTTGCAAAAATGTTTTACTTTTAGTGGCAAAAAAACATGGACACAACATAGAATGTTTCATAAAAACATAGCCAAGATTTCATTTTAATTACTAATCCATTCTTTATTTGCAAGCCATTTGAAATTGGCGTGTCAGTGTGTTTTGTAATCATGAATAAATTGAACATCGCGGGTAGTGATTAATTTTTTTGGTGAAAAATGTTTTACAAAAAAAAATGCAAGATCTATTTTTAAAGAGTGGAAACTCATACCAAAATAATAAATGTGTTGGGTCAAATTATATATTTCAAAATTAATATTAAATAATGGTTTATAATTGGGCTTGTCTTGTATAAAAGTGGCCTAGTCAAACAAACCTTGAAGATATTCCCCGTTAAGGGCGTTCAAAACCTGCATCAACACTAGAAATCGTCACAAATATACAGAAAATAGTTCTGGATGATTTTCGGTTGATCAGGAAAGTTTTAGAAGAAGCTCTAGGTACTCCATCAAGTGAGTAACATTTCACTTTATGTCAAGTTTTAAGGTTCAAAAAACCTATGTACATGATGGTTTGACGCCTTTGCTAACAAAGGCGTTTAAGGTTTAACCAAAGATGAAAAGGATTCTGTACGTTAGATTCGCAAAATTTACTAATGATCTAATTCCATCAATATCATCAACCAAGCACCGTACCAGATATGGCCCCGTGTGACTTTTCTTCTTCCCCCGGCTCAAATTGCCATTGCGAGGACCATAGACGCGTTTTGAGGCCATAGAGGCCATAAAAGAAAATTGACTGCGTGAAGTAAAGGCCATACCTTCGGCGGCCTATAAAACTTGTATGGAAAATTGGATCAAGCGTTGGCATGCATGTATTGCCGCAGGAGGAGAGCACTTTGAAGGCGATAATAAAGAAAATTATTAAAAATTAAAATTTTGCGTGTTCTTTTAATTTCTCGTCTTTTTTGATCAAATGGTATATGACAAAATTTTTTTACTGAATGCAGCCGACTTAACTTATTCGTTTGTCTTTATCAATCTATGAAATTCGGAAACTGTATGTAAGTACGTGTCTAATGAGGTACCGCCAGTTTTGTTTTTTCTGGAGTGCTTACTATGACTAAATTAATATAGTATTTTGAATTGGCTTGAACGCTATATATCACTTAATGTTAGATCGGTGATATTGTACCCAATATACATATATGTATACATCTTAAACAACTAATAAAAAGTATTCTAAGAATTTAAATAATAAAAACTCATTTATTTTTTACAATAAGAAGTTAGAAAAAATGTTTAATTTAAATTTTTTTGTGTTTCTTCTTCACATCGTATTGTGACCTTTCTTAAAACCTGCACTTCATTTTGAATGAAATCAAGTACCTGCTCGACATGAGATCGTTGTAGTGTGGGCTTGCGACCTTTATAATTCATAAACAAATCATTAAATGAATTCTACTATAACATAATATAAAATGTATATGAAAAGAGACAGTGCACTTACCGATTCGGGTACACAACATTTTGTACATTTGATGAATCCCATCCCTACTTCTTTCAATACCGATTTGTTTGTGAATAATCTCGTCTCTAGCTTTCGACAGTTTATCTTCCCACATATTGCATTCATTATAAGCCTCAGTATAGGTGCACAATAACTGATTTAATTCATTTTTTAATCCTAGTATCGTAAGTGCTGCTGTATCTGTCATTTTCAGTATTAACGCACGCAGCTTCTCAATTTCTTCAATTTTTTGCTTCCCTAACTTAGCGATTTCAATATTAGTCATCACTATAAACATTTTTATATAGATCATTAATTAGAATATAAATCAATCTAATATATTTATTCACTTACAAAGTGCGTCACAACGATCCATAAAATCTTTTACTGATTGAAAAGTGCCAGACTCTCGTACAACATCTTCCATAATTTTTTCGTAGGGTAGAAATTCTTTAACGGTTTCGTTAAGTGTTTTTCGAAATGTATCTAATTCTTGCAAAGACTTTGTAAGTTCTTCAATACGTTGTCGTAATTTTGTACGCAAATCCTGCTGTTCCTTAATATCATTCTCAGCTAAATGCATTTTGTCAGCGCATTGGTTTATAAAATTACTTGTCTGAATAAATCGTTCTCGCATCTCAGTGTGTTCCTTGCGTAATTCATCCATACGTGATTCGTTTATCTTTGTTTGTTTTTTAGAACTTTCCATGACTTTTTCCTGCATTTCCAGCATATCCATATATTCTCGTTGGTTACGTATATAAAGCATATCGATGGAATCTTGGGCAGAGTCCCAGTGTGGTGGTTTTCTGATTATTATTAATAAAACATGCTAAATATTTTTTTTTAAAGTATTTTTTAATTAATTGAACTTACATGAAATACTTATCCTGATCTTTAGATACAATGAATTCCCCAGCGGCATCCGCGGGTGTCTTATCCAAATGACCAATGACGTCGACATTTTCTGTTTGTTTCTTTCGCGGCATGTTTATTCTAAAAACAATACAAAAATACAAAAATACAAAATTTACAAAAATGTAAAAGTAAAAATGTGTTGAAATATCTATAAACTTTGTAATATACTAACTATAAAACTACATTTAAATATTAATATAGAAATGGTTGCTAAGGTTACTTATTTTTATTATAAAAATTTATTTCATATGTGGAAGGTGGATTGTCCATATTAATGCCCACAAAGTAGTCGAAAGAGACGAGCTATATACTAATTGTTATTTGCATTATTAACTCATTAATTCCTCATAGTGCTTTAGTAACTATTACGAGGGCTGCTATATATATTTCCGGCCTAGGCAACACTAAGTTTTGCCAGGTGCAATCTGACATTTCCATTGGAGAGGTTGACATTTTTTAGCATAACATCACTCAGAAGACGATCCAAATCCAACGAAAGTTGTTCGTGGAAGAAGCACTTCGAAGCAAATGGTCGCCTGTTGCTTCGACAAAACTAGTCATGTGGCGAATGATTCGCTTGAGCAACGAAGAACGGCCAATTCTGTCTGGTACACCACAATTTGTTTGCCTGAAGTCTTCGGAGAAATTCGAAAAACGAACAAGAGAAGACGAATCATTCTTCGCCATGACAACATGAGCTCGCACACATCGGCTCAAACCAGCGCCTTTTTGACCGGCCAAAACGTCGAATTGATTGAGAAGTTAAAGTCATTCTCACACTAGTTTTGAAGTCAGTAGAAGTGAGTGTAGATACATAGTTCCACTCATGTATCAGATCGTTTCACTCCTGGAACTTTATCGGGAATACTTCAGCTTAGGGTTACTATGGACGCAGGCCTCGCTTAAGTTTGACTATGATCGTAACGAAACAGTTTTCTTCAGAGAGTGGGATTCTTTCATCGACTATTGTTTCAAGTGTTGTTCTTTCTATGTTCATTTTTTTGTGTTTGAAAATAGTGTGTTCAGCGTTGTCTTCGTCTGCATTTTCGCATATACATTCATTTCATTTGCTTTGCAAATGCGGAAAGGGTATTTTTGAAAATGTCCATGACCAGAACACAAAAGTTAAGTAATAGTTTACTTCGCCAGTTTTTCTGTATGACGATTTCGCTATATCTGGGATTAATCTTGTTGTCCATCTTTCATTTGTTTCTGCATTCCATCTTTGTTGCCAGAGTTGTTGGATTTGTCGATTTACTTCTAGATCATTTAACGTTGTGTTTTGGTACTGCTTAATTTGCCACCTTATTTTCCTTTCTTTAGCTGCTAGATCTAAAGGTAATGTGTCGCTAATGACCAGCATCGCTACCTCAGATACCATACGATATGCTGAAAAACTCTCAGAGCTGCCGTTCTGTTGTACTGATGCTAATGTCTTACGATTCTGTTCTACGTTCAGCGAATCAGTCCATATTTCGCTTTCTTAGAGTAGAACAGAGTTGGCTGTTGACAACAATTTTCATTTGCTTTGCGTTGGGCCGCCAAAGTTTGCCATTAGTCTACTCAGCGATACAGTAGTCTGTACTGCCTTGCTTACAGCTTGTTTCCTCTACCCTACCCTAACAATGCAATTTATAGAGAACACGCTGCATAAACACTACCCAAAAATATTTTCTAGTACACTTTATTAAATTTAATAAAGATCTTTGTGCTTCGGAAATAATTAGATATTCAGGCACACTTCTTAAAACTGTTATTCGATTAGTTTTTTATAAATTCTGATTAATGTCGGCCACATTTAAATCCAAAATTCTTTTGACTTCGTGCATATTTCGTATATGTTCGGGTTGTGGCAATTTCAAAAATTTTTTCGTATCTTTACTTTTTGTGCCCCTCTTAATACCGCCGGTAAAGATAACACCGTGACACTAAATTCTCTTTTTTGTTTTTCTTTAATACTTAATTAATTTTAGATTGCTAAGCTGAAATCTATTAATTCGTTTTTCTCCTGGATATCTAACATAGGTCTGTGACAATAACAGCTCAAAAGCTGAGGTTTAAGGGTGAAATAAGGAATTCTAATTTTAAAAGATACGAATTTCGTGCCTGCAATAAATTTATATTTATATTTTCAACTGATCCGAGCTGTTTAGAATATTGCTTAATATTCATCAGTGATCTTTTGAAATATTTAGTCGTTTAATTTTAAAACAATTTCTTAGTCATATATGATTTAGTTACTTTGATATAATTAATCTTTTATCGTCTGTGGTTAAAGCATTGTTGCATATCAAACATATTAGTTAATTTAATTTAGTTTAACCAAATTGAAATTTAATTAATTTGATATATTTAAGCTTTTGTCATTTATGGTTAAAGTATTGTTGCATAATAATAAAGTACATAAACATAATAAAGTAATTTTAAAGAAATAAGACAGCAATTTATGAAAAAAAATTAATTTTATATTTATATATTTATTTTAATAATACATATTAGCTATTACACAAAATAATAGTATTAGGGAATAACATATCTTAATAGAAATAAATCAATATAATATTTATAAACTAAATATAGTTAAATATATTTTTTTATTTATATAGTTTTAAAATTTTTCGAAATATTTTATCATTTTACGGTTACATTGTAAATTCAAAACAAAAAAAATTTTATAGTAAAATACTTTCATTTTCAGATATAACAAAGATTTTATAAATCCAAAGAAAAAAATTGTAACATTTAAATTACATACAATTAAATTTTAATTTAAGAATGATTCGTGTAGACAATGTATGCATTATATATATACTCGTAATTATTAACAAACAGCAAAAATTTTAAATACATGCGACAACTACTGTTCAGCTTAATTTATATATATATAAATACATATATAAATATATATATATATAAATTATTTCGAAATCATGATTATATTTTTATTTGATTTTCTTATTTCAATTAAAAATAAATACATATATATATAATATTATTAAAAATTGGCTCCTTAACAATGAAAATCTGTTCATTTGTTGCTAGTTAAAAATTGTTTACCAATTAATTCGGTTTATATTTGTATAAACTACTACGACAATGAGCGTCGCGAAAGAAAAAAAAACGTCGGATATAAACGCATTTAGATTAGTGAGCACTTTTATGTGAAATCATTTAATTCATTTAGCTCCTCTAAATTATTTATAACTGCAAAGATAAGAGAAAATGAATGAAAGTTGATTGTTGAAATGTATTATGTAAAATTATGTATTATATTAAAACAACTTATCATTCAGCTTTTTTTTTGTTTTTTGGTAGTTCTTACATATCATGATCATAGATCAATGATCAATGACATTGCACACTGTTCAACTGCTGATTTAAAGTTAGATAAATTGTTTTATGTATAATATTATGTGTGTTAAACGAAAAATACATAATTTGTAACTAACCAAAAGTATAAATTAATCCAAATGACACAACCAATACGAAAATAAAACAGATTGTATGAAGCGTTTATAAGCGTTAAAAAATATGTTTACACGCGTCGTGTGTTATTATGTGTCCACGTTTGTATGGTTATATACAAAAATGAAGCCATATGCAATTAATTGGTAAGTTTTAACTTCTTTTTACACAGAACATTTATTTGTGATTATATGTACGATTATTTCTCTACATTTCCAGGCTGATTGCGTGTTTTTTTTTTTTTGATCCATCGAATAGAAACTGAACGAATTTGTTCACTTTCGCTTAACAAAGCTTTTAACTTAAAACATAAAATTAAATTTAATTATTTTATCTTAAAATGAACAATATTGATATTAAAGTGTTTAAAAAAAATTAAATTATATGTTAATCAGTAGTGCAATTTACAGTTGGTGATAAGTATATATGTATGTATATATCCGCCAGATTTTGTGTTTCTTTGTAATTGTGTTGTAATTTCAATTTGTTTATACTTCTACAGTTGTAGCAATGTTAAAATTAAATAGAGCCTACATTCCGTATCCTGGATATGGCATGTTAGGTGCATAACCAGGTGCATAATTTTGGGCGTATTGAGCTGGAATGCCCATAGCAGGTCCGGCTGTAATCATCAGCTGTGGTTCCATGGTAATTATATTTTTGTGTTCCACAGTGTCGTCTTCTTTTTCTCGCTGTGCTTCGTTTTGTTCGAGTTTATCTACTTTTGTTGTATATTCGCGTATTACCTAAAAGGAAAATTTATTAAAATGGAAGAAAAAAATAAAAATAAAATAACAATAAATTTTACTTGTATGAGATATGGCATAGCAAAATCCATAATTTTATGCTTCCAAGCCAATTCCAGAATAACGTCAGGTCGCAGCAAATCATAACACTATGGTAGAGAAAAAAATTATTTAATATGAAAATTAATTAAAAACTATAAATTTAAGTTTACTTTAATTGAAAATACTTACTTGGAATAAACATGCTGCAAAACAGTCACGAGCGTTTCGCTCAAGGAACCAACTTAGAAGTTCTTCAGCAATTTCTTGTTTACCAGACTCAGCGGCATATTCCATTGCATCTTTATATAATTTATCTTTTTTACATAATTCAACACTTTGCTTCCAGCGATTGTTGCCTTTAAAAATAGTTATAATTATATACCAACAAATCAATTTTTTTTTAAATTAACAACTACCATATTATGGTAGTCACAAAATAAGTAATTATAATAATAACTTATTTGTAATTTTATAACAAAATAGGTGTAAAATAAATAAAATAGCTAATGGATCAAAGCCGTGCTTGACTTGTAGACAAGTTAAAGCCGTGCTTGGCTTATACTATTCTAATTTCATTCCAATCTTTCGTCATAACTGACTTTTAAAATCGATTTAAATATAATTAAAAATGTTAAAAAAAAACAAAATTATTTTTAAAAAAATACTCAATTTTACCTTTGTATAAATAGGCAGCAATACGTCTGAATTCGGTTAATTCGTGTTTTTCCAGTTTTTGTGCTAATGCAATAGTATCGAAATTATCAAATCCATCAATTGAATTACGTAGGCCTTGATAATCCTCTTCTTCGATAAGCAAACCATTAAGTGCCTCATTAATTGCTTTATTATTAAGCGATTGCACTGATCTTAAGTATGGTTTCACCAACTGTAAGTGCCCTGTTTTTGAGAAGAAACTCACGGTACGTGTGTGGTCCATTCGTGGTGCTAACACTAACAGCATATCATTTAATAACAATGGTTTGTAATCTAAATAAAATTGTATAGCCTTATAGTACAACTCAATGTTGGCAACCTTTGTTATTATATCCTTAAAGTGACCTTCGCGCCATGCTTCCGTTGGATGTGCCATCATTGCCAAGACGGCATTATCGTATTCTTCATATTTATCATATAAGAAAACAAGTTCTGACCATAAATGTGCTGATTCTGCTGCACGTAAAACCTTTGGTATATTAACACGTGACCAAAATAGTTCCAAGTGCTCTCGCATTTTTGAAGGTTTGAATTTCGAATACAGAATAGCAAGTTCGGTAAACATACCCATATGCGCTCGCTCAAGTCCTAATGCAGATTCTAGCAGTGCTATTAATTCGTCGAAATAACCGCGATCTTGATAATAGTTAATTAGATCTTCCAATTCATCGGCATGTACAACAATATGTAATCCACACATTTGAGCCAAACGAAACTCTTCTGCATCTACGCAAGCAAAACAAACTTCCTTCCATGTGCGCGTAGAGTTGGCCTTACGTGCAGAATCAACAGCGCCTTGGAATTCTTTCAGATAAACTAATGTGATAGCAAGACGTGCAAAATTACTGACATTATTATAAAGCAATTTTGCAGCATCATACATGCCGTCACTAAAGCAACGGTCACCAATTTTTTGTATATCTGCATGATTTGGTCCAGATATGAATTCTTCTAAATCAGCTAATCGACCGGTACGTGCATATGCGTATATTAATTCACTCTCAATGTAGGACTCACGTGCCTTCTTCCTTGCCATTTGCAAATACCTTACTAAATCATCCCAAGAATCAGCTTTCGATGCTACATCAACTACATCCTTATATGCGCTTGGATCATCTGCTTTAATATAAGAATCAATAGCTTCCTTAACTAGTCCTTGCTGCAATTGAGCCTTGGCTAATTGTGACCATACAGCAGGCTCGTTACAACGTTCAGCGAATTCGTAAGCTCTTTCCAAGTTATTAACTTGTTCTATAAGAACTTGAATTGCAGATGTGTTTACATCGAATTTCTTGAAAATAGCGAAAGCTTCCTCATACAATTGATTAGAAATAGCAATATTAGCTATATCTGGGGCATCATAATTGTCTAAACGATTAATGTAGTCCATAACACGGGTACGATCTGCCTTTATTGCTGTCAAGATTAATAAGTTTTGTAAGTTGCGATGATCTGAGAAAACTGAAGAATCCAATATAATTTTTTCGAGCAATTCAATTAACTCATTTGGTAAATCTGCAGTCATAAACGCTTTTACAGTAACTGAAATATCATCGGGATCTTGTGTTTCCGAGAGGGCAGTTTGTACGACTTGGTCAATTAATTGACGTTTGTATGGATTTGATTCTGCTAAAACTTCTGCCCATAATTCATGATCGCGCCTGCGTACTAGGTACCGTGCTTCGCTCTTGAATAAGGAATTCTCATTGCAAACCGATATCAATTCTCGATCACATTGGCCACGTTCATAGGCAACGCAAGCTAAATGTGGGTCACGTTTTTCACAATAACGGCCAACAACACGACTATCATAGTATTGATTTTCTTTAAGAAATCTTTCTGGGTTATTGTTAGAGTCAATGTAAATTTTAGCCAAAGCATTATGTGTGGCAGGTTCGACACAACCTTCGTGAACTCGTGATTCTAGCCAAGGAAGTAACAATTTTAGACGGTTACGTTTTTCGACTTCTTCGACCAATTCATCTGTTGAAAATTGACCTTTGACCACAAGAATTAGATTTTTAATGATATCTTCAGAGCAGTCGACATCAAGCAAGCCACCAACAACAACTGGCAGACGTGAAGGGTTGACTTTCTGAACATAGATTTCTATGTATTTTTGCAAATTGTTTCGATACAGATATAAAACAAGATCATGTACAAAATCAAAACGATCGCACACAATAATTAAAGGTAATTGATCGGTTAGTTTTGCTTCCTTTAAGAAATTTTTCACACGATCTGCATTATAGCAGTTGGATTCCCTACAAATACGTTCAACTTCTTTGATTTGGTTGGTTTTGCAAGCAGCTTGAATGTACTTGAAGTGCACTTCAGGATCCTGAGAGAAATTAACGATTGAACCAAGGAAATAAAATAATCCTTCATATGATTTAAAGCTTTCGAAGAGATCAATCAAGGCTTTAGTTGTTAATTGTTCATGATATTTAGTAGCAATTTGCACACAGATTTGTAAATTTTGACGTATATTTGCTGTTAGCATAGCTTTAAGACATTCAAGAGAATCCTCGACGGAGAGTGTACCAAAAAATCCAACCAACCATTCTGCATTTAAAAGATGTGTATGAACCACAGCACGTTTAATATCATACAAATCAGTGTAGTGTTCCAACGCACGTTGCAATAACCCAGCTTTTTCGCATAATTGTGCAATATGGGCGCGGTCATAATGGGTGAACATAGCGTTTCCTAATATTGCATCAGCCACTTGTGGAGCTGAAATAAGATTCATTTCTAAGAGACGAGTCTGTAGAGCACCTTCATTTGGTCGATTAAGTTTAAGTGCATCTAATAAAAATGCGGTACATTGTTGCACCATCGAATGTTCCATAAATATATCCACTATTTGGTTTATATCAGCCAAAGGCTCCTCTTCTGCAACTAGCATAGTAGCGAAACCAGCGCCTTGTTCTGGATTGGAGCGCATAACTGATCGTAATAAAAATATATAATCTGGTGTATAATTTACTTTTTTAGCATAGAGTACAATTTTCTGAAATTGACCAGTTTCAGCAAAACATTGGATAACCTTATTTGGTACATTTGCTCTTAAATAAATAGATAAAGCCAATGTCAAATCAGATGATTTAACCAAATCACCAAGTTCTTCACTACATTCGAGTTTTTCTTCTTTTAACCACTTTTCACAAAGCTGTTTTTTTCCTTGCACTAGTACAGGTCGACACAATTCTAGTGATTCATATTTATTCAATTTTCCCTGATCCAACAATATACCAAAATATTGCAGTAATGGTGGCGTAGTAGATCCAGGTGGAGCCTGTACTTGTTGGAATCGTTGAATAGTTTGTGGTGTACGCAGTATTCCTTTTGGTGCGAGTGCTGCTACTTTAGCTGCTTCACTATATTGTCCTGCAGTAAAAAGTTTGTTAAACTTACGCACAAAAAGCTCTTCTGCACCAGACAAATTATTTCGTACAGCCATACGAAGTGCTAAATCAGGATTTTGTAAAGTTGTATTAATATATGGAATTATTTGTTCCTCCTCAACGGTTACAGAAAGCACTTGGCCTTTGCGGTTTACGCCAATAATGCCGCCGCTGACATCATGCGGAGCTGTTACAAAAATCGTATCAGCTGATATACGATTCATGTAGATGCATGTTGCCGTTTCTAAGTCATACAAATGAATATATCCATATTTGGTTATCAAATAGATGACATCGTATTTTGAAGAAACTTGCATCGCAACAGGAAAATCGCTCTGTGCTTCTGGTGGGAAAAACACATCTACGGACTTTTTGGGAAATGGTTGATTTCCGGCAGGAGTAGCACCAACTTCAATAATGTGCAATTTTCCACCATTTGCCGAACGTACAGCAAAGCAAAATAGTGTTGAAAGTTCCTTATTTCCTTCCATTTTAAACATAGCGAAAGATGCAGCATGACCTGAATTATATTAAATATTACATTTTAATAAATGAAATTATAAAAACTCTATTAACTTTATAGTATTACCTTCAATAGCTTGAGATACTTTACGTTCGACTGAGTACAGTTGCATAGCACCTGCTACACGACTTTGCAATGCTGTTATACCCACAAGCAATAACCATTGCTGATTTGGATTGCAACGATAGTTAATGATTTGGCAGCCATTGAGGGAGGAATGCCTATCGAACATCTTTTGTGGTGTTGAATCGCCTTCCATTGACCAATGATACACTGATGTTTCAGTGACCAATGATAAGGTATTAATAGATATCCACTTCCAGAATACGACATCTTCTGTCATAATGTGGGCTTTCATTTTTGATTTCATTTCAATATTGAAAATTTGCAAAGTCTTTGCCGCTAAAATGTATATAAAGATATATTTATAAATAAGTATGTATGTATATATAAATAACATATATAACGAACCTTTAAGTGCAATAACTTTGCTTGCTGGATTCATAATTGCTGAATCTGCTGATATCGGACGTCTCGTTGGATTACTTGAATCATTCATATCAATGATAACAACTTGCGCTGTATCGTTAACCTTTTCGCGCACACAAATAAACTTATCAGACTCCATGGTGAGAGTACTGAAGGAAATTGAGTTTTGATTGATACCAACATTTGTGAGCTGTTAAATAAATATATTAGATTAATTCAAAAATAATCAGCAAAATATGAAATAAATTGTAAGATTTTACAGATACAAATAAATAATATTAAAAACAATTCAAATCTTAAAATAGATTTCTAAAAATTAAGATTCAAGTTCAAGGTAATTGTTGTTTACATCTCGAGTAAAAAACACAAATGCAATGTGTATCTATATATAAATATAATTACATATATTCTATATAAGCAGATAAAATATAAATTCTTTGTGATTGAAGAAATCGTCGCACTAAGTTCTTTTAAATTTCATTTTTTTCCACTGCAAAAACTTGATAATTTTTAGTTAATTTTATTTATTGTTTGATGAACTTTATATATTACATTTAAAAAATATATAATATTTTGATAATATATGTATAATATAGATATTTTTAAAGATTTTGGATTATGTATATGTAATGAAGAATATATAGTGTTATATATAGGAAGAATAATCTTTTCCATCATAATGAAAATATTCAAGTCTAAATATAGTAATATATTTCTATTTGGAAGGCTACGAAATTCTGAGGTTGGTGGATATCTCAAATATAGATCTTAGAAGAATAATCTTCTTCATTATAATGACAAATGCATACTTCCTATAAAAATAACCAAGTCTAAGAATAATAAAATATTTCTCTTTGAAAGCCTATGAAATTATGAGGCTAGCGGATATTCCAAATATAGATCTTAAAAAAATAATTTTCTGCATTAAACATGTTTTGAAAACAAATTCTAGAAGTTTATCTCAAGGTGTATGATAACAAAACGGAGTTTACTACAACCAACCCAATAAATTATTAACAATGTACAATTATTGATGTAAATACTAGAATTCTTTAAAAAATATAATATAGTATATAATGTACAAAGAATTTCAATTTAACATTATAATTATAATAATTAAGCATCTATAACAGCCGAATACTGAAAAGACGTTATGTAGAAAAAAAATCTTAATCACAGAAAATAATTTAAGTGTATAAAACATTTATATAAAGATCTGTGATGAGAGAGGCAATCCAAGCCAATGTAGAGTGCAATGAATATATATTTAGGTGCATTATATGACAATACCACATGGGATGTGATCTTTAACAAAGAGATAAATGGAATGTGTGATATTTCTCTATATATAACGCGAGGAAGTGAAAATGAAAATAATGAAAGTATGTATAAACAGACAGATATAGATAATAACAGATGTAGATATATGTAGACAATAATGAGATGTAAACAGTAAATAAAACCATTTTTATGGTTTTCTATAATTGAAAGTTCAAGTGCAACTTGAACAAATGAATAACGCTTAAAAAATTAAACAAGAATATAGACGGCAATTTGATAGGTTTATAAATGATAACTCTTCTAGGGTATACACTTTGGATTATTGATAATGAGGTTTTATAAAAACTTTATCTTGTCATTTAATGGTAAACTGAATGCAAAATATTGATGATATGTTATTGTTGACATTGCAACCTATAATATATGGAATATGGATTTATATTCCATTACCGGTGAAATACACAAGAGCAGTGATTTGTATATGAAGGAGAAAATCACAACAGTGGATTAAAAAATACCTTTTCTCCAAAGTTTGTAATGAACAAATGAGCTTATATCACTTCATAAAAGGTTTTTAAAAAACTCCATAAAATTGTATTAATGACCGTAAATTAAAATTGTAAGAATTATATGACGTCATATATTAGAATAACATATAAGTTATAGTTTTTTGAAGATTTGGTGATAAGAATCCTATGTGCAAAATTGAGAACAAACTGGATAGTGAATAACAAAAGATGAATTTGGGTGCAAGATTTTTATTCTTCAAGATATAAAAATAGACAGTTTGTCTATTCCTCAAACAAAGAAATTACCAAATCGTAATACATTTCCTAAAAGTAGTATATGTTGTCAAGTTTATTTCCATTCATAAACTTAAAATTACGTGAATATATCACACAACTCTTAATTTCACTATTTACACCTTCGATTTTGCACGAACGCATGAATTTCAAACGAAACATTCACATAGCATTACATACATTTGATTTGTTCGTACGAACACGCAAGACAAAATTCGCATGCAATGTAATCGCAGCCTAATGCACCTCGTCCATAATAGATTTTCATCCATTTAATTTACTATATCTAAATTGTATTAATTTGAGTTTCTTCTACCTAATTTCAAGATCCACCCTCGAGCAAACATCGTGTAGAGGAAGTTTAAAATCATACATTGGAGAAATATATAAATCGATAAATCATTCTATAAGAAAGGCGTACTATGTTTTGCTGGAAAATAAGTTGCAATATTAAAGTGAAGGTGAAATATAGTGACGAACCAGAACAAAAATTCAAATGTCCACCTGTTACATGTTAACATATCGTATGTATGTAAACTATATTTTATTATAAAGACAATTTCATTTTATCTTTTAAGTATATCAGAAAAGAAAAATGTATATTAAAAATTAAATTAAAAAATTTTTAAAATATTACTTTAAAAAAATTTATATATATAAAGAAATAAATTAGTTTCACTATAAATTAACAATGTTATTAATTTGTAACTATTAAATTTGAATATCTAATAAAATTGTTAGCACACAAAAATTATTACTAATATTTTTATGGTACGCTTTCATTATTATTTCAAATGCGTATAGAAAAAAGTTTTATTGTAATATAAGAGAACACTAATTTAAATAATTTATTTTGTTTGTGTAGTGTTCAGCTTTCTAAAGTTCAACATTTTGTGCATCAGAGCAAATCGAACTGGTTGTACTTTAAACAGGCCTCCCTCATACTAACTCTCGATGTGTGATCATCTTACCATTCGTAAAAAGCCGAAGTTGATTTAAAAAAAATAGTTATAATTTAATAAAATTATATTTTAATTTACATTTCAATTTTTGCAGCATTTGTTCTAATGCCTTTTCATTGAAGAAAGTTTTGGATGTCTTTAATATTATAGATTTAATACAAATTCTTAAAACTTTTCAGACTTCAATGAAGATTTTCGATTAATTTTTACTAGATTTAGCTTAAAGAGCTATAGTCAGATTGTTTAAAGAAGTACAAATTTTGGATGGAATAGTATTGAACACAATAATACTATTTTATGGAATAAAGGCTTATATTTAATTAAAATTAAAATCAGGTTAATATTTTTGAGAGTTTTGGTAGCGGTAGAAGTAATAAAATGTTAAAAAAATCATCACCTTATAATCCATGATAGTCTTTAAAGGTCTAATCACTACTAACATATACAATACAAATATAATAATATATATATATAATATAATATAATATAATATAATATAAAATAATATAATATATATATAATATAATATATATATAATATATATATAATATATATATATATATAATATAATATATATATAATATAATATATATATTATAGTAATATATATAATAAAAATTTATATAACACAAATATATAGAACTACATTAAATATTAATAGAACGACAACTACTGTAATAGAGAAAAGACTTCTAAAGTCAAATATGGACAAGAACAAACAAATCTACTGATCTAATATATTTTTCGAGACTTTGCATATCTTGCAAATTCAGTTCTCAACAGACTCTCACCTAATAAATTCTAAAAAGAAAAAACCTCGTATAAAACATTATATTGCCACAACTTATATCACAACATAGCTACTTGTAAATATTTACTTATAGACATAAATCTTATAATTATATTATAATTATAACCCTAATTGCAGCCCTATGCCGCATGACGGCAACCATATATAAAATTATACCAACACAATAGATCTCTAGATCGCGGTGCAAATTTCCCTAACATATTAATAATACGAGCATTGTAACACATACAAATATGACCCACAATTCAATTTTGTGACAAGGTCTGGATCTAGTTAAGTTTTAATGGATCGTGAATCCATATCTTATCTTTTTCCAATTGTTGTTCTTCACTAATTTTATCATTTAACTAAAGATCTATAATAAACATTTTATATTTTATTTTTATTAGATTTCTTAAAGACAATGACACGACATGGGTTACAACGATGCCTCGGGATGCTGTAGAATTCCATAAAAAATTAAAAGGATAAGTGGAGTTATTAAGCAAACTGTAACCACAGAACAGATTTTAACTGATCGGCATATTGGGTAAATTCTAATATCATTAAAAAAAATTTGCTATAAACCTAAATTTTTATAAATTATAAAAATTGTTAGTTTTAAACAATTCATCATTTACCTAAAAAATTTAATAAAAATTTTACAACAAAATAACCATTTAATAAAGAGTTGTCATGAGTTTTAATAAATAAGCCGAGTTAGCATAATTTTTATAAGTATATGTTCTAATATATATGAGATTTTTTATATATTATGTGTTTGTAATATATATGAATTATTATGTATATGTATTATAAGTGTATTATTATCACAAAAACTTAAAATGACCACGTATTCAACTTTAGCAAACTTTGTTATCTATTTCGCAAAAAGATTATGGAGATTGAAGATGATTAATTCAAAGATCGGGTCTACGTTCCAGACACAGTCTTTCGTTTACAAAGAGCTTAACATTTCTATCACTAAGTTGAATAACGTGAGATTTTATAATAACATAAAAGCTATATTAAAGGTATAACGAAATCGGTTTATGAAATATATTTTGTAGATTTAAAAAAAAAGGATAGCTTATAAGTACTTGCCATATATATAATAAATTTTTATCGTACAATAATTTGAACTTTATTTGTTAAATTTAATTTTTATAAAACTAAAATTCCATGGTTTCTATTTTCGCTAATTGGGTTATGATTTTATTATAGTTTTGATATAAGCTGTCAAATAATGAATATTACCAGAGATTTAGAAAACTTCATTATATGCATAGAAAGAAAAATACAAATGAAACAAAATTTTTATACAGACAAATTAAAAATTAAATTTTATTTTTATTAATTAAACATTTTTTTTAGTAGGAACAAAAAAAAAAGGTTGCACTAAAACGGAAGTTGTTCTGGAAAACATAAAACAGTTCTGAAAGATCGTAAAGTGAAGTTGCTTGAGATAGTTGACGCCTTTAAGATAACAGTAGGTAGTATGGTATTTGCAATTCTACAGAAAAATTTGAGCATGTGTAAGTTGATTTTAAAGTCGGTGTCGCATATCTTCACACCGGACCAAAGACAATAGGTTACAAATCAATAAAAACGATGCTTAAATGAAATGAATTAAAGTTCAAATGGCTTCCTCATTTACCGGTGTCTTCAGATCTGGCCTTCATTAAATATTAACTTTGGCAGACAAAACAAAAAATGCTCCAGGGAAATAAATTTATTCCAACTTTAATGGAAAAATGATTTCCAAGTCTGGGGCATATTTTGAGAGCAAAGACAAATCTACAAAAAAGGTATCGAAAAGTTGAAGAGCATTGGAATTAATGTATCTCATCAAACTATCGTTCAAGTATGTTGATGTATTAAATCAAAATTTAAACAAAAATTGTTATATAACTGTTATAACGTGTTATATAACTCTTTCTTTTTAACATTTTTGTTTTAAATGTTCAATAAAAATGTATTTAAAAATGAAATATGCTAATAATAAAACCTATGCCGAAACTTTTTTATATTAAAAATAAAAATATATAGAATGCTAGGGCTAATTCAAAACCGGTTAATCTATACTGATTTTTTAAAAAATAATTGATTTCAAACGTAATCTTTTATAATAAATTGAATATTAAACCTAATTCTATTTTGTGATTTAAATATTTATATGACTAACAAATGTTTGATTTTTTTTATTGATAGGAGGCTTACTTAAATATTCATAAAAATAAAATTGGTTGTAATTATAATTTTAAAAAAATTTAAAAAAATAATTATGGATAAATCAAAAGGCGTACTTTTATTTAAAAAATAGTAATATTTTTGACAGCCTTAAAATGCCGCAACTGGTGCCAACTTTCCTTCCCCATTCTTTAGACTGGGCAGAAGTTAAATAAACCTGAATTCATTTTAAGGAAAATTGCAACAAGTTTCAACGTTACTTCCTTGTGTTCTGCAGTAGAAAAAATTTAGATAAAACTAAATTCCTTTAAAAAAAATGTTAAATTGTATTCAAGGGAAATAAAGAGATATGTAAGTCTTATAAAATTATTTATATTGAAATTATGTGAGGAATGACCTTATAAGAGCTTGAGTTGCAATTACAACATCAAGTTAGAATAAGTGGATAATTCGATAATTACTTATTGTCGAAGAACAGGTAATATAAACTTTTTATAATATTCAATATTATGTCTCATTTATACTTACATACTTCTTTGTTATTATTATTAAATGACGGGATCGTACACTGCGTTCTAAAAGATCTATTGTGCCCCTTAGTAAAGATAGTGTAAAGATAATGTAAAGATAGTGAAGCTACTGATTTGTTAAACACTACCGTAGAAGATTTTTTTAATATTGAAAATGATTATATAGAGGTTTTTTACAAAAATGTTTAATTATTTTAAAAGATAGGAACACTGCAGGATATGCAGGCATCTGTATGCAATCTGGCCACGTTCCGATAAAAGAGAATTCAAAATTCTTATTACGATACCCCGAAGAGATATCAGTCTTTTGGTAGATTTACTTACAGGTCACTGTAAACTAGGGATTAGGTCTCCATTTCAATCAAATCTGTGCGGAATACGACGAGCGTGCCTCTGATCTACTATGTTTTTGACCAGTTCATGCAAGGTGGCGACTTAAAACTTTATGAGCCCCCTTACTTGAGGATCTTGATCAATTACAGGACCAAAGGTTCTAGGTGGTTTTAAACCCTAAGTTTATCCTATATATACGGTAACACAATGGGCCAATAGGCCTAAGTGAATCCACTAAAGATCGCCGGTATAACCTAACCTAACCTATGCATCCAGTTCTATATAGTACGTGAAACTTTAAATATTCTCTACAAAGATTTTTTTTGGAAAATTATAATTTCTACAGAATTTTTTTTTGAAAATTATAATTATTTCAAATAATGCATTTCTTGCGCATTTTTGATGTTATTACTTGCCACTTTGACTTTTGCTTATTACATGATGTTGATATAGAAGATTTTTCGAAAAAATATTACGTAAAAAATAACCGTTTGAATTAATTAGGAATATTTGATATATTATATTTAGTTGACTATTGATATTGAAGCTTGTTTTTATAAAATTTATTTTATCTTAAATTTAAAAAAAAAAATAAAAAATTGAAACCAATTTTTAAGCAAACAAGAAGAAATCGTGAACGCATTTCTTAATAAAACGGGCACAAACACATGTGTAAGATGGAAAGGGAAAGAAGAATCCAGTAATGACTCATTCTGTTATGATTCTTGATATAAAGCAATGGATGCAACGATGTTTTTCATGAAAAATTTGTTCAAATTTCTTATCAAAATAAATATAAATGTGTTAGTGCAATATAAAAATTTTGTATTTCTTTGATAATTTTTATTATTTAAAAGGGGTGTCAAAAAATAATTCAAAAAAATAATCTAAGAGTGTATAATTCTCATTTTAGTTAAAAACAACTTATTACCGTTGACGAAATATAAAATATTACACCTTATTTTATGATATTTTAACACTAATATTTTTTTTTTTAATTAATTACTTTGAAGGTAGAAACTTCATAAATTGCTGGTGAATTAAGTAATTCTTTACAATGTATGAGGTAACTGCAATGATGTGTTGTAAAAGATTAATATATAGCACAAAATAAAAAAATACTCTACTAGCTTATATATTATTTGAGAACTAAACATATCTTCATTAAATACAAGAGAATTTCAAATATTAATTAAGCATCTTATAGCGCTTACCTGTAGGTGCTCCTGAAAGCGAATGGGCAATACTTGAGTCATATTGCTCACAAATACTGCTGCAACACTTTACGTTTATACTTTTTAATTTAATTTATAAAAAAAACAAAACAAATGAATTTATTTTAATTTTACGTGTGAATATTGTATTGAATTTTTCTCCAAGTTATTAAGAATAAATTATTCAGTTCACAGAAATAAAAGGTTACAAAATTTATATTTATTACAAAACCGTAATGGCCTACGAATGCGTGTACAAAACGTAATATATGATGACTACTTTCTTTCACTTCGGTTTAGCTTTATATGCTCTTTACAATTTCTTAGAATAGTTAATAACACTTTCCGGTTTTCCAAAACACTGCAATAAAGAAAAAAAAAACACATTTTGTAAATAATCAAAGTTTTCACTTGGAAAAACTTAATTAAATTTAAATATATGTATACATATAAATTACCACAAATTTTTAAACAATTAAATAACTTTTACAAACTCAAAATATATTAAAAAAATAAATTAGCACACTGATGATGTTGCACATTAACTGTCTATAGCAACCGCCTGTCTCTTCCTATTCTCTTTTAACAATTACATTCAGCAGCAAGTGTAACCATCAGACTCTAGGTATTGACGAAAACTGAACTTACTTCAAAGTTTTTTGAACTTATTTTGTGTAAAAGGCATAGGAACGTTTTTGACAATTTAGCATACAAGTTGCATATAAGAAATAAAGTTTTCCCAAATAACATTTAGAAAATCTGTTCATTAAAGAATTAGTAAAATAAATATTCTTTATTTAATAAGATAATTACTAATTTTTATTTAAATACGCTATAATATTAGAGTAAAACAAAACAATATTTTCTAATAAATGTAACTAAATAAACTGCTAGCTATTAGATTTTATTATATTTATTCCTATAAGCAACGAGCAAGTGACATTCAGACTTGCATAAACATCGACTCACTTAAACCCCGAATATATGTGTCCAATTTAATATTTCAGTACCTAACCAACTAATATAAAAATAATTGTTAATATGGAATACTCTATACATTTTTAGAGTTGGAAACTCTACATTTTTCTTAAAATCGTTTTACAACAACAAAGCTTAACATTTCCATTTTCAATATAGTTATTTATTAATTGTTGTAAATATTATTTTAGTTTTTTACACCGCTTATTTGTTTTAAAAATTAATAAAATTTTCTTTTAAACGGTATTAACAAATTTTCACATATGCCACATAAACAAAAAGAGTGAGAAGTATTTACCGCCCACAGCAGAAAGAAAGAATTAATCTATTTTATAGCGAACGCTATATTAACCAAATGTCAAACAGAGCTAACTATATATTAAAACTGTATGTAAAGAGAGCAATATCAATTAAAAGTACAAAAACCTGATAACAATATAAAATTTTTAGTCATTGATTAATCTTTCAAATTTATTAAAATTTATAGTTCAATTTATATCGTGAATAATGTTTGTTTCATAACTTTTTTATTAAATTCTTATTTTAACTAAATCACAGTTCCAAATATTAAAGGCATACTAATTTGATATCACTTGTTTTATAAAAAAAACTTCTAGCCGATAGACAATATTGTTTGCATTTATATATAATATTGAGTTTTCCTTAAATAAATAAATCGTTTTATTTATTTACCAAAATTTTCGAAGGAAATTTCTTAAACTTTTGCACAAAATTGTAACAATTTCCAATTTTCACTCAAAGAACATTTGTTATCATATTGATTTGTACAACAGCACTAGAGAAACTGAGCTACTGAACATAAATATGGTGAAAATATTGCGGTGAAAAGTTTCACCACGTCAGTGTTCTATCGCAAACTCCATATTTATTATAACAAAGAACAATGTAAAAATTAGAAGTTAAAATAAAAATTATAAAATGTTTTCTTAAAAAGATATATCAATCGCATTTATAATAGTGCATATATATATTTACATAATATTTTGTAAAACAATTATAAGTGTACAATTATAATATATAGATTTAATCTATGTGCATTGTATATAATTTAATTTATGTTTGAAAATTTAATGCAAATAAAATCCATATATTTTAAATTCAAATGCATACTCAAACTAATCTCTGTGATATTTAATATACTTCAGTACAAATATATTGCTAAATATAACAATATTTTCTTTTCTTATATAAATCTTTATTCATTCATATGGTTCATATCGTATAAACTATTGTCAAAACAAATTCAGTAACGGAAAGTATTTACAAGGTGTTTTAATTATGAAATTGTTTTTTAATTGTTTTTTATGAAAACAATTACCAAATTTGAGTATTTAAACCAATTGCGTAAAGCGCAATATAGACGATGCTACATATCTGCACACCAAGTATGAAGTTCAAGTATGTGTTTTGCTAAACACTTTGAAACAGGATATGCATACTTCATTTTGATTTATTTTCTACAGATTAATTCAAATTAATTATTAATTATCATATATGTGAATCGTTCGTTATTAGCGCGATTTCATGCCGCAAGATATTAATGAATTTTTTCTATATTAATTGCCAATAAACAGTTTTGCAGGTATTGTAGGACTGAATCAAATAGTAATTTTAATAAGATAACACAATTCACTAACGCAGTTATTGTAAAACTTAAATTTAATGCTTTTTAAATTATAGAAAAATGTTATAGTGTTATTTAATATATTTATTTAGCAAAGCGTTATAATATAAAAGAAAATGTATAAGAATTATTCCGTCAGTAATGGACAAATAAAAATGTTTTGAAGATGATTCTAAAGTTCTAAGTGTTTGTTTATATTATTACTACTACTAAGCTACACAAAGCAGCAAATTCTAGTAGCTTGTTAAATAAAGTGAGATCTAAAATTAAAAGCAATAAATACAAATGTTTAATTTATATTATTATTGTAATCTATGTCGTTCCAATGTCCTTATGAACAATAAAAATCCATAGTAAATGATCTGAAGTAGTGTTTCCAAGAATGAAGCATACTCCCCACAGGACAAATAAACCTTATGAGTTTATATTATTGTGTACGAGCAAAACAAAAAGATTTTTTATGAGGAAGGTGAAAGATGTAGTTCATCTTTGTACTTTTCTTAACATTCTTTATGTATCTTATTGTGGGAGCATTACAAGTTATAAAGGAGTTATGTGGGACTTACATCGAAAAAGTTGGAGAAATTTATAAATAATAAATTTATATAATGTAATGAAATAAACGTTGTAATATAAACTAACTAATATCCACATAATTATAACAACTAATGATTAAATTTTTAATAATTAAAATTCCTAATTGATTGCATTATCATTTTTAAGAAAATGTTGTTAATAAAAGTAATATATACAAATGTCCAAATATGGTATACATCATGGCTGTCCAGACCAGAAGCAATAGCGGGCCAATACAAATCACTAAAAAATAAAAATACGGTTATAATGTAAAATTTAGTTTTATAAATATATCAGTTTAAATTAAGTTATTTGGTACACCATAAAAATAAAATAATGTGGTTTTAGCAGTACACCAAATAAAATGTTTGTGTAATTGTGGTAGAACAAAAACATTTAGCGGGACACTCAAACATTAACCGCAGGTCGTGCTTTGGACAGCTCTGGTATACATAATATATACCAAAATTAAAAATATCAATAAATGCCATATAATAAAAGTCGAATTTTGAATCATTTAAAGTAATGTATATTAATATAATGTATTTACTAATTGCCTATTGCGCTTCGGGAAAGATTTTGTCAGAATTATTAAACCATACAAGTTATACATTTAAAAAATGAATGCAACATTGCTAAATGTATGAAAATACATCAAAAATTGCACGGAAACCCTAAAATGCTACTTAAAAACAAACACACGCAAAAAGGAATCTGCGCGCAAACAAATTTCCTATAAACAATTCCATTTTTTTTTGCAAAAAGTAATAAATAAATACTATGTATAATAGGTAGTGTGCTCGTTTAATTATATGCAGCTAGAATATATTCGGAAAATCAATATAAATGAATATCTGCGAATAAATAAAATAATAGAATTAAATGTAGTGAATAAAATTTGTGTTTAAATTTGTTTTAATAAAAGAGGTAAGATAAAGGATAATTAGAACGCATGCATACCATGAATATATATACATTTTTAAAGTAAAATAATTGAATGCAAAGTTTTTACAAATTATTGTTTGTATTTGAATATAGTTATGTATTATATATGTAATAGAAGTACGAAAGGATGCAAATCTATTAATATATATATTTATTTATTAATTTATAAATATATTTCTAATATTTTTAGTGTTTCCTCTCACTTTTCATCTCCTGCAGTGTTATTATTTTTTTAATTGTTTTGTTTGTATTTGCCAGGCGGCTGTGGATACAAATATATCCACATGAAGATTAATGATTTTTCATTAAACAAAGAATTAATACAGAATACAATTTATAATTTAGTTCATGTAAATTGTGAAGTTTATTAAATTTGAAGAAATTAAAAAAAAAATGTTAAAGAAATAGTTAAAATACATAAACTGAATTTGTAAATAATAAATAAATAATTTAAAAAGTTATTTCAATACTTATTTTAAAACATATTCATTAATTATATTTAAAGCATATAAAGAATAGCAAAAAGAGTTACTAAATACAAAAAAAAAAACATTTTTAAAAGTTTTTTTTTTTCATATAAAAATAAAAATACATATTGAAAAGCAGACAAACCATACAAAATTTTTGAAAAACAACATCCTAATTATAACTTCAAAAAGTTTGCAGTTTAAAGAGAGAGCTAGGATTATCTCAGAGCTAAATAACAATTCACGCTCCCTTTTTAATTGTAAATAAAAAATATTTTATATAATTAGTAAGGAGTGTTTCTTGTGCTACTGTCCTATAATATTGTTATTATGCCAATATTAAACATAAAAATAATAAGTTAACGTTTATAAGTTATAAGTTTTTAAAATATTGCAGTTAAAATACTAAAGTATTTGAAAAAGCATATTTATATGTTAAAAATCTTTTAATTTTTATTAATGTTTTCATTGTGTTAATTCAACGCTAAACTAAATAAGACAGTGTTAGTTATAAACCTTAAATTTTATACTATAATTTGCTGAGTGTTTTCCTTGTATGCTATGCGGTTACGTTTTCTTCACTTTTGTATAGCTGCTGTTGCTGTTGCTGTAGCTGTAGCTCAGCGCAGGCAGAATAAAAAAATCCAGGAATAATTTAATGTTTTTTCATTGCTGCTCCTTTTATTTCTTTTTATTTATTTTTGCAATATCTTATGCTGAACCACCATAATTTAACATGCCCCGCATATACTGCATCTATTTAAATGTTTTAAATGTGTGTGTTTCTCCTGTTTAAAAAAACACTAAAGTACAGTGTTCAGAATTATTTTGTAGCATATTTTTCTTGGTTTTGTTTTATTTTATTACCTTGCAGTATTTCGTATTTCTTTGTCTTAAGTTTGTTTAACGAAAAAGGAGATTTTTTTTGCAACTAAAAATGTGGTTGAATATTTAGTTTAGCGTTCAGGTAATTACTAGAAATTACCCTCATTGTTAATAATTGTGAAAATAAATTATTTAATATATTAATTTTATTGAGAGTTATTTAAATTGATGTGCTTCTTTTGTATTTTTAGTGTTGAACTCAAATATAAAAGCGTACGACGTAAACATTGCAAAAAAAAACAAAAATTTAAATTCAGCGCCATCTTCCTTTACACTAATTAATAAATTTTGAAATAAAATTTATAGTCATAAAATAAATAAATAAATAATATAAAGTGGAAATATAAAGATGCATTCACCACGACAAGAATTTTGCGTGCGTTGGAATAGCCATTTAGGCAGTATTGGAGCTGCATTTCCACAATTGCTAGCCGGTCAGCGATTCGTCGATGTAACTTTGGCGTGCGAAGGTCATCAAGTGCATTGCCATCGTTTGGTATTAGCCGCTTGTTCATCATACTTTGAAAGTTTGCTCTCCGAGAATCCTTGTAAACATCCAGTGATAATACTACCAAGCGAAATAAAATTATGGGAAATACAAGCACTGGTTGATTTTATGTACAAAGGTGAGGTCAATGTTACACAAGCTGGTTTGCCACAACTCTTAAGATGTGCCGAACAATTGCGCATACGCGGCTTATATGGTTCTGATGCGGCATTGAACTTAGATCAAATTAAATCTATGACAAATAAATCTGCAGTAGCAGCAGCAGCATCCGTTCTGGGTACTGCAACAAATGACAGTATTGAAACTGACGACACTGCAACAAACTCCACAACGAGTACAACAACTGCGACAAGTGTCCTTCAACACTCACAGCATAGTGGTGATATGGACAGAGTTGCACAATTCGTAAAAAGTGAACACCCATTGCAACAAACAAATGGTTCAATTGCCCTGCAACAACAAAACCACTTGATTCAACAGCATTTGCAGCAAATGAATGCAACTAACTCCAATGCACCCACTGAAGATGAATCTGCAGATGACTCCACATCGAATGCTTACGATAATTACGAAGATAATTACACATCAAATAAAGCGCCGCATCCACAATTTGATTCAACTATCGAAGACGAACATAACTATGTTGGTGGACACGATGAAGATAGTTTTGGTACTGCAGCAGATACCGAACATGAAACCTCGGCCAATTCTTCCTTACTACAAGCTTCCATGGATGTGTCAGCTTCATTCAAACGTGTTAGACGCTCGGAGGCATCACTTGCGCTAGCTGCTAAATGTGTATCAAAAGGACAGACTTTCCAAACTGTAAGCAATATGTATAATATACCAGTATCGACGATACGGTTCTATATGGCACGTAAAGGTATTCTACCGAAGAGAAAACGTGGACGCGGTGCTTCAACTAGCGGCGCTATTAGCAGTACAATCTCCAATACAGTCATGACGCAAGCACTGGCTCAAATGAAACGATCCATAAGTCCAACGTTAGAGCAGGGCTATCATTTGGCAAATTACAAAATAAATGAACAGAGCGCCACAAATATGATTTAAAACTCAACTAAAGTCAGAAGTGCGAAAATTTTTACGGGTAAGGACGCCAATTATATTTAAGTTTTGTATATTATGTAACGAATAGCAATTTTGCTATTTTGAATATTTAATGTAAGTTCCTTTTAACTTATATTTAGTTATTTATTTAGTTATATACATATATAACGATTAACTCTATACAAAATGCATTTGCTTCATTCAAACATGTTTATACAAGTATTATATTGTTAATATGTAGTGTTATATATGCTAGCGCACTAAAAAAAAACATTAATTTGACAATATATAAGCATTTATGATTTATGTTCGATTCTAGAGCTCTCAGGAGTGAATACAAAATTTTTTATGTCGCTTTTTGTTTTTTCAAAAAAATTTGTAATTTTTGTTTAAATTTTAATTTCTATTAAATTACAAAATATTATTGTAATTTTTATAAAATTATAAAAAAAAATTATGTTTCGAATTTATAACTTATTTTTCTAAATTAATTATGTTGGCTTGCATGCAAAATCTCAAATGCTTCATATTGTATTAAGATATGGATTAATGTTCCAATATTTACATACTTTTGAATTTAATAATAAATGTATTTTTAATTAGAAACTTAAGTTTTTATGTCATGTTTAGTTTTGGAATTTTTATGTATTTCTATAATTTTAAAATGTTTTAAAATTTTTATGTCTTTTTATAATATTTATAATATTTTTATAATTTCTATACATTTGTATAATTTTTAATAAATTTTAATTATATATTTTTGAACGATCTAATAGATGAATTGTTTAAATAAAACACAATATTTTAAATTAGTTTAAAAAAATATACTGTATTATCGCCTGAATGAAAACGTCAGGGCTAAAGACTATAGTCCGTTCAAAAATATGTAATTTTTATAAAATTTTATCATTTAAATATTTATATATTTCTATAAGTATAAAATGTTTTAAAATTTTTATTTATTTTTATTATATTAATATAGTTTTATTATATTAATATATTTTTATAATTTCTACACATTTGTATAATTTTTAATAAATTTTAATTATATATTTTTGAACGGTCTAACTGGTCAATAGTTTAAATAAAACAACATTTTAAATTAGTTTCAAAAAAATATATTGTATTAACGCCTGAATAAAAATGTCAGGGCTATAGACTATAGTCCGTTATATGTTTTAAATATTTTTCTATAACTGTTATATGTTTTAAAAATGTTCGTATATTTGTATAATTTAATGTATTTTATTTTATTTTTTTAATATCAATTTATACATTAAAAAAAGCATTTTTTACTGTATATCTCAAAATATAATAATTAAATTTTTTTTAAATACTTTTATTATATTTCTTATTTTAACGATTTATTTGGAATAATAAATATGTACATTAAAAAAGACATACATCATTTAGTATTTTATATGACATATATTTTTAAATGCTTTAATTTTTCGGCACTGCCTCTATATTAATACTCAATATTTATAATTTATTAATGTAAATTTTTTATTTATAATTATAATAATATAAATTAAATCGAATGTAAGTAATTTAATGCTACAATGTAACCATAAATATGTATCATTTGTGTGACACAAATAAAAATTATGTTTTGCCATTTAGTATGTAATTTCTCATACACAAATATATTCATATTTTTTATATTCTTCATGTTTATACTATATTGTAAAACACTCAACAAAGCCGATATATATATATTTAATTTATATAAAAAATAAAAATGGCATAAATATTATAAGAAATACCTCAAATATTTGTAAATGAATAATGTAAAGATTCATCCATTAATTTTGTTACAAATGCCATAATCAATCATAGTTTTACGAATTAAATTTAATGTATAATATTTTACAAAGCATATTTTGTTTGATTATAAATAAACCGAGTGTTTTTTTTATTATTTATTTAAGTAAAAATATAAGAAACATTTTACGAAACAAACAATAGCAAAAAAATATTTTTTTAAATAAATTTATTTCATAAATATATATATATCTCTACATATATATAAATTCGTAATATGGAAAACTAAAGTATTAAAATATAAAACATTGCTTCTTGCATATATTTAAAAGTTTAAAATCGATAACAAAAATATTTTAAATACAGATTAAATAATTTATGTATGTAATTACTTAACAGATCAGAGTATAAGTAGTAAGTTATAAAATAAAAATATATATAAAAAATATATAACATATTTTAAAGACACAAATAAAGGCAGCGTATAATAAATAAAAATATATTAAAATTTTGGGACATAATTTCCTCTATTGAACATTAAAAATATTAATATATAAAGGGGTATTCACGATCTGACGTAACGAGCGGGAAAACTGAGAAACATAGTAAACAGCGCAAAGCTGGAATAGCAAACAAATTTCAAGTGCACTGTTACTTCTTTACTGAGTTCGTGAATAGTCCGAATATGTTTTTGCAGAGTTTATCTATAGAAATTTTTTTCTTTTCTTTCATTCATTATATTTGTTGTTGTTGTAGCCAACCGCGAACCTAAAAGTAAGTATATAAAATGTTGGAAAAATTTAGCACAGTGGCACTAGCTAAGGTAGGTTGATATGGTGTAGGATAAGACCAAGGATGAGGAAATATGTAGGGATGTTAAATACAATATGGGTCACGATAAAGGAGTCTTAATGGGACCGATTCATAAATTAATAGAGAATTAATTTGTGTGCGCATTTGGGTATGATAACAGATGGAAGAAGTCATATGAAGCAAAATTACAGTTTGGATACACATTGAAAATGGAGATATTTATGCGTTGGAAAAACTATTTAGTAAGTGGTTATGTTCTGATCTCAATTAGATAAAGACATTTCATACTGCTCGAAAGGAATTTGTTTAATTCCCAAAAATATTAATTGTGGACCTGTTCAGAACTTTATTATTAGACAGCTGTGATCTCGAAAAAACTACTGTCGGGTTATGGGCGAAAAGTCTTTAGCAATAGTTGACATTGAGGTACTTTTCCTTTTATATATTTAATAGTGTTACTAATTTAGTGGATTTATTAATTGTTAGAATTTAGGTGCTTTGGAAAACGTTTAATACTCATTATTAACCAGCTGTTCTTCAATAGCTCGAAATAATAACAAAAAAAAACAATGTTAACAGTGTTAAAATTGTTCATCCAATTGGTGTAGGTACAGCAGCAGTGTCTAGTGCTGTTTCCATACGAACAATTTCAGTATAATTATAATAATAATTTTATTAGTTCGAAATATAAGTTGCAAAACAATAAAAAATAGTTCAAGGAATATTTATAGTCTAAAAATGGAAGAAAATGGAAATCAAAAAATACTTTTACAAGTATTCTTTGATGGAAATCTAACCGCTTTGAAGGTGCTGCCATCTTGCCAGTTTAATACAACGGAGTGAGAAATCGATTCGGTTCAAGTTAATGTTGACTACTTGTGACAGATGTACACCGTTTTTTTTATAGTAGAATTCTACATGGAGTCCTCTATATATATAAGCTTATGATGGACACTTAACTGCATGTTAGAATCGTTTTACAATCTATTATATATGATTTTTATACCTATATGAAGAAGGTATACAATCGTTAGGGTTATGCAGACATATGTGTAGGACAGGATAAGAGTAAGACAGAGTTATGCTTAAGACTAGCTTAAGAGTGAGACTCAAACTTTTCGTTTGAAATGATATTACGCTTAAAGAAGAAAATAATTCTGAGATATAAATTTTAAATTGTCTAGTACCCCTAAAAGTATTTTAAATTAATTAAATTAATCCAGTTTTAATGCCTGTATTAAATAATGATTAACTTTGTGGAATTTTTCTTTAATTGACCTGTGTCAGTTTTGAAAGTTGTGAAACAACGCGAAGCGGTTTCAATAATTTAATCTCTTATTAATACGTTTGCACTATATCAAACAATTTTTGCATTTATTTTATTTAATATGTAGCAAATAGTGATATATTTAAAACAAAGTCTCTATAGAAATATATGAGAAAATAGCGATTAATCGGAACAGTTATTTTTAATTGCCTTTAATAGAAGAATACTGCTTCAAAATATTTTAATATGGCAATCCTTTTGAGTAAAAACGAAGAGAAAATATGGCAACGAATCCTATTAAAAAGCAAAATCCAAGCAAAAACAAAAATAAATTTCTCAAAATTCAATACAAAAATAAAATAAGCGCATTTTCGGAGATTGAATTTTATTTTATGTTATATATTATATTATATATATAAACTTTTAATAATTTAATCACATTTATTTTAATTTATAATTCAATATTTTTTTATAATATTTAATTTCTTTTGTCCCTTTCTAGCTCATTTCACTGCTTTCATGTAAACATTTAATTTTAATTGTTTGAAAATCGTTAACTGAAGTGAGACCATTGTAATATAATATATATTATATATGATACACCTTTTTCTATAATAAAGTGAAATGTTTTATGTTTTTTTGAGAAATGGAAATTGTTTGAATATGCACACTGAATGTATACTTCGGTCTACGAAGTAATCCGAAATATTTGTACTGAAGTATTGTTTTAAAATATAAATAAAAACTATAAAAATTACTGAATAATTGTTACTTATAATAACTTAATTTGTTAAATTACTGATCTAAGACCTGACTAAACTCAATTTTATTAAAATGTAAGGGGAAAATATTAGTATATTATTAAAAGGAATAAAAATTTATTATAAAATATTAATTCGGATTTGCACACAGAACTTTTATCCAAGTGTGAAAGAATTCAGAAAATTTTAATGTAATTTCAATAATGTTTTCATTCAATTGCTTTAATTGCAAATATCGAGTTGTGATATCTCTAAAAAATCCATAGTGGTCAAATTTAAAAAGTATAGCGTTAATGTTGGGCACTTTTAAACATTTCTTTAGCTTTCTCTAACAAAATATTTTTTTATATTATTTTGTAGTTTTTTAAGTATAATACACAGAAACAAAAGCAAAACATTAAATTATATCAAAGAAATTACAATAAAGTCTACATTCTGATTATATATACTATTTGTGAATGCACAATATAATACAATTTATTGGTACTCAAAATCGGCGCATATAAATGCAAATATAGAGCAAATAAAAAAAAACAGAAATAATTTCAAACAGCTGTTTTTAGTTTATATTGTACCAACGATTTATTTTTTTAATATTTAATAATGTTGCGAAATAAAGTGTTTCTAAAATGTTTGAATTCAATACACCATAATCCTACAAAAAATATTTGCCAAGGAATCAATGCTAATGGAAGTCTCAATGCCAAGGCTACAGGAATTAATCACAGGGCAAAAATAATGGGGAAATTATTTGGAAGCCGTGTATCCGGTAGCAAGAAACATTGGTATCCATCAAAAGACGAAATTCCTGGTGCAGCTCTTTTTAATCCATCAAAACTTGGTAGACCATCTGGTGTTGGAACTGGCAAAAGTACAACGCGTCGAATGGTTGTGCTAAATAAACTTTTCATGGAGCGTATTACAGATTTGTTAGCAACAGGGGAAACATCTGAAGCCATAATTGGCGAAGGCTTACAAATTACACGTGTTAAAATAACTCAAAATTTTGCTTGCATTAATGTTTACTGGCTTGGTAATGGAGACCCCATTAAAGAAGCAAAACTTGAGAAAGAATTACAAAAATGTAGTGGTTTTCTGCGTCATGAATTATCTCAACTATATTTAATTGGACATATTCCTCGTATATATTTCATGCGTGATAAAACATTTTCAAATTTAGCTCAGGTAGAGGGATTAATGAAAACTATAAGTTTCGAATTAGAAGCATCTAATGATGATGAGGTTACACAACATTATGATAATCATAATCTAATGCAACAAGAATTTTACGGACAGTCTATAACTTCAACAGAAGAGACCAGCCAAAACGAAGATAAACTTAGTATGCCACAAATGAGACATGACGTTTTCGGTTTAAATCATCGTGATATTGTATCCAAAATTATGTCTAAAATGCGAAAATCGAAACAAGCGTGGGATGTCCATAACAAATCTGGTATACTACCTACAGATATACAAAGCCTAAATACAGACATTGAGAATGAACGCTTAAAGCATGGTTTGGAACAAAATAAAGATTATAATAAATATATCGCACAACGAACAGATCGGAGAAATACGCCTCCACGCAAAAAGCACGAGAGGATGGCAGTTATGATGGATTCGCAAGATGCAGGCGATTCACTAGAGCCAATAAACTTCAATGATGGAGATTATATGTATGATGATTGTGATGAGAAAAAACAATAATTTCTATCCATTGTCTAATAATTTTACATAACTTTTTACATTTATTTGACTTAAATAAACGATGTTATTTATTATATAGTTAATACTAAAATAAAAAAATCACAATAATTTACATGTAAAAACTCATTTCAATTTTATTTCATAGAAATAATTCCTTTTTACATTTAATTTTGTATGAAAGCGTTTTGTTGGCGTTGTAATACCTGAAAAAAAAATAAAAGACTTCATAAGTACAAGTCAAACGATAAATTGATAGAATATGAAATAAGTTGATCAGTGAAACTTATAGAACATCAACGTTTGTTGTCAGTCGAAAGATGGTGAAAGTTTTAATCATCATAAATAAAGCACATAGATTTTTTTTGTTTTTTGTTTTATTTACCTCAAATAAGTTTTACACATTCCCATGATGTCGGTGGCATATTTTATTCGAAAAGACCGAAACCCATATCATCATCTTCAGATTCTGATTCTTCTTTCTTTTCTTCCTTCTTGGCTTCTTTCTTTTCACCACCGGCAGCAGCAGCTGGAGCACCAGCGGCTGGGGCAGCAGCAACGGCTGCACCACCAACTGGCATCGAGGAAAGTTTTTCTCGGCCCTCCTTGATCAAGTCATTGATGGTCTTACCATTCAATTCCTTTACAACTTTGGTCAAGCGTTCTGCGTCAACTTCAATACCAACAGAACTGAGAATTTTCTCGATGTCGCTATTTTTTGGGTTTTCAAGTCCACCAAGGACAGCCAACATATATGCAGCCACGTAACGCATTCTATAAAACGCAAAGCAAAAATATATTACATTATTAAAATCAAATTATTGATACTCAAACTAAAAACAACTTATTACAATCTATTAATATCTAAAGAATCTTTAATTAATTTAAATTAAATTGTTGACATACAAAAAACATTATTTTCATTATGATGTATTATATACTATTTTGATCAGTTCACATACTTTAAGTCCTCTTTTTTTCGACACGAAACGTGAACAGCAGAGGAAAATACAACTTTCGTCTAAAAACTTTAAAACGAAAAGGAAGATGTCATTTTATTGACATATGTAAGAAACTTCCGAGTAGCAAAAGTCTACACATTTGTTATGTTGGCTGCATTGCCGCTGTGTAGACTTATCGTTTAATTCTCAATTATGTTTAATGTGAATTCTTTAGTATTTGAGATAATATGTTTGTAATATAATTTTTTTAATAATATAGAGATTTAAAATTACATGTACATAAAATTGTAAATATAAAAAAAATTATTATGTATATAAATAAAAAAAATAATTGCGATATAAAAAAATATAACAATGATTTTATGTTTTTAGTTATATTTTTAAGTACTTAAAGTATTATTATTTATTTAGACTTATTATAGTTTCATTATTAAAAGTTCTAAAGAAAAAATTTTTGAACAATTATCAACTTTCATCAGTTTTCAGTTTTGAGACTTAAGTAAGGATTGTGAAATCGGCCTACAGATTTGTTAATGGGAACCGAGATTAAAGAAAACATCAGTCATATAATTCAGTATATCTCTAAACTGATTCATCCAAATAGTTGCCAAAAACTCATTTAACTCAGAAAATTTTACACTTATGAGATGTTCTATGTTTCACATTTTAAATTTACATTTACGAGATTTTTCATGATTTTCTTGTTTTAAAACTTATAACGTAATGCAATATAAAACAAAAAGTGTAATATTAGTTCAATATAAAATAGTGCAAGTTTTAAATTTACGAGATTTTTTATTTTTAAATATATTTATGCTAACGTATTTATATTCACTCAATTTATTAAAATTATGTATTATTGATTATATATATAATGCAATATAATACACAAATTATATAAGATATATTAGATTAATTATTGAAAGTGTAAAATTTACAAGATTTTTTGCATTTTATGCTTGTTGAATTTATTAAAATTACTTTTTACTGACTTTATTATATACATAAGGCAATATAATACACAACTAATATATATTATTAGATTGATTTTCATTAATGAAAGTGTTAAATTTACAAGATATTTTACATTTTATGCTCGATAAATTTACAAAACATATTTATATGAATATATAATACTATATAAAATTATCAATTTAATATATTATTAAATATTTATCATTTCAAAATTAAATAAAATAATTGGGGATTTATTAAAATAATAAATAAAACATATGTCAAAATATTTTTGCAGACTAGTTATCTCTTTCTGCAGTGTGAACAGTTTTTTTTTGACAATTAAATTCTTTTGTTCGTTGAGTAGCATTTTATATAGTGAGAATTCAATAATCGGATTGGGAGACAGCAATCTAAATTATATTCATTTTATCCATTGCTTAAAGCATGGATTCCATATATTATTGTGATATTTACATTCCAGAATAATACAATTTTCGGAGTTCGAAAAGTATATAAAATAATTGCTAATTTTTTTTTTAATTTTCGCAATTGTGAATTAAGTGATTTGCCTTAAACGTATGAGTCATTAGCGTTGTGATTAAAGCAAAATATATGTTTTTATTGAAATCCGCATTTGTATGACAAACAATAATTATAAGTGAAATTAAAAAATTATTTTATTTATGATTATAGGCATTTGCCTTGAAAATAACTTGACATTCTCCTGATTAAAAGTAACACTTGTTTCGCTCTCTTTGAATGGCATTTGGTATCTTGGTTTAAAACATACATTCTTTGTATTTTGACAGTTGGTTGGTTTTGCTTCGTGTTGTTCGGGCAAACAGAAAGAAAATCGAATCGCGGAGGAGTGATTCAAAATCGTGATAGATACCAAAGTAGATGAAAGGCGTATTAATTTTCGATGCATTGAAAAATTAAAAAATATAATAATAAAATTTATAATTCTAAATAAGTGTGTAAGAAATTAAAAAAAAATAAATAAGTGTTAAATTTGTATAAATATCTCTGACACTTCGGTGGCAGTAGTTTTTTGGGCCTGTCTAAGGACGTAGGAGCGTAACACCATCGAAATGGAGAATTTAATTCCAATCGTTAATAAATTGCAAGATGCATTTACGCAATTGGGTGTTCACATGCAGCTTGATCTGCCACAGATTGCTGTGGTAGGTGGTCAATCGGCTGGAAAAAGTTCAGTACTTGAGAATTTTGTCGGAAAGTAAGTTCATTTCAATACAATAAACCTTAAATCTACGTAATTTTTTTTTTTATATGTTGAATAATCAATGAATTGGTTGCTTTGTATGCAGGATTTGAAAAAATGGGAGAAAAAAAGGGTGGTCAGTGTTTATTCGTATAAAAAAACCTTCCCTATAATCCGCCCCCTTTTTTTTTGAGAACAATTATGGAGGAAAATCAATGAACAAACTAAAGAATGATTTTATATAATTTTAATATTCTAATATTTGAAAGCTTTTAATGTTTAAATTCATTATAAAATATATAAACAGAATATTCTGTTGTAATATTCAATGCTATTCATATCAATTTCAAATTATATTGATTTGCTCTGGCATAAAAACATTTCTTCTATAAACACACATAGTATATGATTCTTCTTACTTTTTTTTTTGTAAATTCCAATATTTTCTGCGTATACATAAAACAGTAGTAGTATGAGTTGAGTGTATTTCTTCTTCGGCTTGCTTTTTCGCATCTTTTATGCTCTTTCTTTCAAGTTAATACACTTTGACATTTGTGCAGTTCTTTTCAAAAGACGTTTTCTCGATGTCATTAAAACGATTTAACTTTATTTTATTTGGCCAAATATGTTAATTTAAACTTTTATTATTATGAATCATCATCTAAAATGAGAAATCATTGTTGTTATTAATGTGTTGCTTATTATTTTAAGTGGAATGTAAAATTATTTTATGTATTGTTGATATAAATAATTTTTAAATTAATATTTATAAACTCTAATTTATTATTTTCTAAAATAAAATAATTATATAATACATATTTATCATATTCTATTATTATTTCCTTTTTTGTAACGATCAATATATAAACTAAAACTATTTAGTTATCCTTACTGTATTATTATCGATATTAGTGTGTTGGAACTGGGACTATCTAGATTAGTTAAAATATATAGGTCTTCATTTTTAAATTAAATTAATTTTCGTTTTAGTATTTTTATCTAGAATTTATTAATACTTGTAAGCATTATTAAAAAAAAAACCGTTTTACTATAACATACTTTATATAACAATACCTTGATGCATTGCGCTGGCGCGTCATAAAAACTGGGTCATTAACATTACCTCTTACTACTTCGGGTTTATTGTATAGTTACTTCTGCTATAACAAATTGAATAAATGTAAAATTTTTATTATTACGTATCATAATTTTTTTTTTTATTTATTATATTATGCATATATTTTCTTACAACTTTTATTTCTGATTTCAAAAGTATATAAATATAATTATAATTATATAAAAAATAGGTCAGGAAAAATCATAATCCTTTATATATATAATGTAAATTGACATGTCTTACTATAACACCGGTTGAAGTAGTTCATTCATATATCTTTATAAACACATTTCTCTACAATTGAAACAGTGAAAGTAGAGTAGAAGTTGTGGAAATAGCCATGAGCCCCGCATTCAGACAACGCTGCATTTACCCAAACAGACGACTATCAAGTCAGTGTCGTATTCTTTATTTTTCAATATATTTTTAAGTAACTCCAGCCAATGTTTTTAGATTTAACGCATAATACTTATGTTAAAAATTTTTGACATTGAATAATAATGAAGTATCTAACTATCTATCCCAAGTATTGTAAATTAACATTATACTTTACTCATTTTGTAAGTAAAAATAATTTCGTTTTTTTATGGTGAAAATTAAATTTTTTTTGGTCTTAAAAACAATTTTATAAATCCAATTCGTCTTAGGGTCTTATTTATTTAATCAATTGTCAATTTTCTGTCATATCTCTTCTACACCCGTTACTCATTCATTATATTATTCTGCGATTTCTACTTTAAAAAACAGATGTTTTACAAAACCATATTTTGATGTTAGCAAAAAAATATTGAAAAAATCGGAACAAATTATTATATCATTGCATTATTTCAAAGCTATATAGTTGATTTTTATAGCATTATTACACGATAACTTTCTTTATGATCAATTTCGAGCCCTTGTTTTCAATTTGTTGCTTCATCAATTTAATTGCTGGTAATAAATATTTCAATCAAAGGTTTGAACAGACTATAGTAGTCCATAATCGATTTTTCATTTGTAATGCTATTAAACAGGTTGATCAGTTGCTTGTTGTTATTGTTGTAGTAACCTATGGTAACCTGAGAAGTAAACTTAAAGAAAGATTAAGGTTATTTAAAAGTTTTAAGAAAGAATTATTTATTTACAAAGGTTATATTTAGAACGAAAACCTGGTTAGGGATGTTGCAATTAGTTCGGGAACAAATGAAAAAATCGTGCCACCACAATGAAGTGGAATTATAATTCAATATAATTTAGGATTATTCTGTTTTTTTAACTTAATTTTTTTATTGCACAGAATCGTTTAAGTAGCATATTACCGTATATTGTCTGCTTTCAATGTCCTTTTGCCATATTCATATTTTGCCATATTTGAGATATTTAAATATCAAGTTCTCTTTTGTAATCCATCGTAAAAGAATTGTAAATTATCTTTGAAACCACATGAGTAAGTGCTTATTCTATATTCTTCGAAGAGCATACTATATTTGACATTATTCATTTCCAGAATGTAAACAGAGTTATTTCCAGTTGCAAATCTAGTCCTTAAATTTATTTTATACTCAAATCATGAGTTACATGAACTTTTAAAAAGTGTATTATTTAAATATTGATCAATTAGCCTGTTAAGAAACAAAATTATTATTAAAAATATTTGGTCATTAAAATAATAAATTATTGAAAATCAGTAACAAAATTTAGAATCCGTGGGAATCAGCTATAGCCTAATATTAATTTATACAATATAATATGTCATTGATTATTACGAAATAGTAGAAAAATGTTGTCTGTAAATTACATTGCCTCCGGGTTATAAGACTTCATTGGTCCATATTTATACTTTCTTGTAATTACCATTTACATATATTTTACTGCTATTTTGAATGATAGAGGTTTTTGTTGTGAGATAATCATCATCATTATTAGTGGCACAATGATCCTAGTTGAATCCTAGTTTGCTATCATTCTCCAGTTTCTTCTTCCAAGCTGTTGCGCTGTTTGATCCACATTTTTATTTCTCTTCTTCCTTCTGGTGCATATTGAAATATTATTTTTTGTTGGGTCATCTATACTCATTTTTTGTATGTTCAGCCCATTGTTTGTAGCTCAAGTAGGTTCAGCTAGCTCTTTTTGGCATTCGTCATTAAATCTTAGCCGATAGGTGCCGTTTTCTTCTTTATTTGGACCAAGTATGCGACGTATAATCTTGCGTTCGAAGATATCTAGCTTATTTTCATCAGATTTTTTCATAGTCCAAGTCTCTGCATCATACATTAACATAACATAAAAATTAATTATCGATTATTAGAGAATAATTTTAGATATACAATTCTCATTAACTTGAAAAAACAAAAATATAACTAGCTGATTAAAAATGTGATGTTCTTATAAGGATGTTCTTATAGCTTGACAATTGTAAGAGTTAATCTCTCATATAATTGCATTTCAATGAAAAATACAGACAGCCAAGACACATATATCTGCTACCGGGAAGCTGATTTATATTTGGATTCATTGTAAATCGGAAATACTCATATACGTATGTACGAGTATATGAAAAAATTACTAATTCTGAAAAATGTCATGTTAAAGCAATGAATTAACATCTAATCAATTTAAGTCAACTACACAACTCATGACTTTTTTTGTTAAATTTATGATATAAACAAATGCTTTGAGTGCAATATGTATATTTGATATGCGCTTTAAGCATTTCATTAAGCTTTTATGAAAGATACAAAATTTATATGTACATCATTTGTAGTATATAGTATAGTATATATAAATATATATGTGTTCTCTCTCATTTTGATGACAGTATTTTGATAACATACCAGCTTTGTATAATTTATTTATGTAAAAATCAAAAATTAATTCATGTGAATATGCGTTTTTTGTGTTTTATTATAATCAGTATCTATCTATATCTTACAAATATTTATCTAAAGTATACATACAATAAGTATTATTTTTTTCAAATTAGTTTGTAAAATATTTTCGTTTAACTTTGCGTTTACTTTTTGTTTATTTGGAATGTTTTTAGATAACAAATATGTGTTATTTTAATACATAGCCCAAGTATGTATAAGCAAGTGGAAACAACATATACTCCATCCTACGCACATATGTACTATATATGCAGATAAGATAAATAAAATATTTTGGTAATAGCATTTTCGTAACTTTGAAAAAACCTATCAAATAAAAGGGATTAAATTTGATTATTGTTATAAAATTGAAGGAATAATGTAACTGCTTTTTTGGTATATATTTTTTTATATATGTAATATGTTTTTTTATATATTATATATTATTTTTATGTATTATATATTTTTTATATATTATATATGTTTTATATATAATTACTAAATCAAAACAATATAAATTGATTTATTATTTTTTTAATACATGTTGTTAAATGTTATATTAATTTATATTAAATATGAATTTATATTATATAAATAAGATGAATATCATATCAATTATAATTAAGTTAGCTTAAGTTGGGTTATACTGGTGATCGCAAGGGGATTCACTTAGGTTTATTGACACATTCTGTTACCATACATAGAGGGTAAGTTATAATCTGTGTTACAAAAATTATTATTTAATTAGTTACATATTTAACATAGCCAAATGCGAGTTTGTTAGAATTCTTAAATTCGTGTGCTATAAATATTCTACCAACCAGACAAAGATGTAATAGCCTCGAGGCAATGTGTCTACATTGGGTGCTTGGGAACTCGTCCACAGAGTGTATACGCAAGCTCTAACTATCTATCAATTAACATTATCAAATTGGTATCGTTAGGAACCCGGCTATCTTACTGTCGATCAGTTTAATATGCATACTTATGTATATAGTTAGTAACTATAAATTGCGAATCAGTTTGCAGAAAGCGGTTGGTATAGTCATGAAAGTCACTGGACTGGTATAATTGTAAAATTCGTTCACATTAGAATATTCATTCGTGATTGGATTATAGTTAAAACACATCGCCTACTAGTAATATATTTTAGGTGACTGTGCTTAATTTTTGCCTGCATCCTATAACTTGATAGACAGCGCTATAATCTTAACAAATGGGTCAGTTTGGTTGTTTATGTGTAGAAGGGTATTGAATATATGAGATCTAATAATATTACCCGCAAATTTCTTAAGGATTGGATTGAAAAAAACATCTATTACTACAATATCTCTAAGATAAGATCAAATGATTCTGAGAACTGTATGTTTTGATGCTGTGTTCTTCTACAGTATTCGATAGTTAAAGATATAGATTCTCCAGTTGACTCGAATTAAAAAAAAAGGGTTTTGTAATTTTAACTCAAAAATTTTGTAAGATATACAATAACTTTTATCGATGTTTGAGTTAAGTAACGTCTAAGGAAGAAGTTGTAGTGAAGAAGTTGTAGCCTTTAGTAGAGAAACCATAAACCCATACTTGATGCGAAAAGAAGCAGCCAACCAGATAACTCGAAACCCTGCAAAGGTTTGTTAAGTAAATAGACTAAATAACGAGTATTTTTTTAGGAATAACAGATGACAGTAGTACCTGTAGGAGTATTTGATAGAACTACCATAATAACTATAAATATAGATGCTCGTTATGAAAGAAATAAAATTCTTTTCAACGTTATTATAATAGAGTATGTTAATCTGGCTAGAATTATGCTTAAGTACTAAAACCATAAAAGTACGACAATTAAAATCCGGAAAATTTGCTAGATTAGAAAAAATATTAGTGTTAGATATGATTCTATAAAGAATTGAATAAAGTAAAGACTTAAATAAAGGACACTATAATTAATAAAGTATGGATATCAATACTCTGAAATTAATTAAAGTGGATATTTTTATTTATTTCTAAAACGTAAAGTAAATCAATCCTTTCTGTGATATATGTAATATGCCATATGTACTTATGTAAACTTAAAAGTAGTTACTGTTAATGACTAATTGATGACTAATGGCTAATGGCTAATAATGCACCCACCACAGGTCTTAATTTAAAGCACTCAATCATGACAAAATCTGGTACTTATTTCTGAAAGTTCCAATTGCTAAGAATTCTAATTTGTAGCGTCCTCTGTATTTACTTAAAAAATTTATTACAAGATAAAAATGAAATGTTTTCTAGTTTTTTATTCATGTTTTATTATTATTTATATATAATTAATATTGTAATCTTATTGAATTCTATTATAATGACAGTCAGACGTAAAATTTTCTACACATAAACAATTTGATTAAGAAAGTTTCGACTGCTGAGTAGACAATAATTAATAAATAATTGTTATTGTAGTTTTATAAGTACTTTTTTGCACGCAAACACTTAAATTAATTATTTTTTTGTTTAATTCAAATTTTATATTTGATAAAATAAAAAACCCTCTACACTTGATTGCAATAATAAAGATATAAATTTATGGGAAAAAGTAAAAAATTTAGGTTTAAACATTTTTTACTTTATGTATTTTTATATAAGTATATATAGGTATATAGTTTCTGTATTATATAAAACCAAAAAAAAAGGAGAAATTCAATTATAAAAATTTATTAAATTCAAATCTTTACAAAGCAACCAATTGATATCAGAAAACTTTAACATAATTACATACATATAAATATATATATTATTTACAAATATATATATTTGTTTTTATATTTCCATAGAGATTTTTTACCTCGCGGTTCTGGAATTGTAACACGCCGCCCCCTAATATTGCAATTAATAAATGGCATCACTGGTAAGTTTTATTAATTTTGTTTTTATATATTAAATGTTTTTAATGAAAATTTGTTTTTTACATAAATAGAATATGGCGAATTTTTGCATTGCAAAGGAAGAAAGTTTACTAATTTTGATGAAATTCGGAAAGAGATTGAAGATGAAACGGATCGCGTGACAGGCAGTAATAAAGGCATATCAAACATTCCCATCAATTTACGTGTATACTCACCACACGTACTCAATTTAACATTAATCGATTTGCCAGGTTTAACAAAAGTAGCAATTGGTGATCAACCACAGGATATTGAGCAACAGATAAAAGGAATGATCTTTCAATTTATCAAAAAAGAAACATGCTTGATATTAGCTGTAACTCCGGCGAATACCGATTTAGCCAATTCAGATGCTTTGAAACTGGCAAAAGAAGTCGATCCTCAGGGTGTACGTACAATTGGTGTTATTACAAAACTTGATTTGATGGATGAAGGCACAGATGCGCGAGATATATTGGAAAATAAACTATTGCCATTGCGACGTGGTTATATTGGTGTAGTAAATCGTTCACAAAAAGATATTGAGGGGCGTAAAGATATACATATGGCTTTAGCTGCAGAACGTAAATTCTTCTTAAGTCATCCATCATATCGTCATATCGCTGATCGTTTGGGTACACCGTATTTACAACGTGTACTCAATCAACAGTTGACCAATCACATACGAGATACGTTACCCGGATTACGTGACAAATTACAGAAACAAATGCTTGCTTTAGAAAAAGATGTTGAACAATTCAAGCATTTCCGACCCGATGATCCCAGTATAAAGACAAAAGCTATGTTACAGTAAGCATTTATTATCAATATATTAATATAGGATATGATATATTGAATAAAAATATTTGTATTTTTTAGAATGATACAACAGTTACAATCCGATTTTGAACGTACTATTGAAGGATCTGGTTCAGCTTTAGTTAATACAAATGAATTATCTGGTGGTGCTAAAATAAATAGAATATTTCATGAACGGTTTGTTTATAGTTTATATATATATATATTTATATGTATTTATGTATTATTTATTGATTTTATTTTTTGTAGATTACGTTTTGAAATTGTTAAAATGGCATGTGACGAAAAAGAGTTGCGTCGTGAGATCTCTTTTGCCATTCGTAATATACATGGTATTCGTGTAGGCCTCTTCACACCAGATATGGCTTTCGAGGCTATTGTTAAGCGTCAAATTGCACAATTAAAAGAGCCTGTAATTAAATGTGTTGATCTAGTCGTACAAGAGTTATCTGTTGTTGTGCGAATGTGTACTGATAAGGTAAGGAAATTCTTTTGAAAAACGTGTAAATTATTTATTTAATTGATTGTCAATTTTTTTTCTTTCTAATGATTTGATAGATGTCTCGTTATCCACGCTTACGTGAAGAAACTGAACGTATTATTACCACACACATTCGTCAACGTGAGCAATACTGCAAAGAACAAATTTTGTTATTAATTGATTTCGAGTTAGCCTACATGAATACCAACCATGAGGATTTTATTGGCTTTGCAAAGTAAATGCAATAACATTAAAATTGTGTCTTTCAAACATATTAATATTTTTAATTTTTTTTTATTTAGTGCTCAGAGTAAGTCAGAAAATGCCAATAAAACGGGCACTCGCCAGCTTGGCAATCAGGTCATTCGAAAAGGTCATATGGTTATACAAAATTTGGGTATAATGAAAGGTCGGTAATAAAATGTTTATAATTGCAAAATACATATAATATTTTAATTAATAATATGAATACAATCATATTTATTTAATGATATTTTTGAGTGTAGATTATTTTTAAGTGTATAACGGCAATTTTGTTTAGCATGATAACATAATATTGTTTATATTATTTCTTATTAGATAAGTTTATTATTTTTTTTTTTGTTGAATTGCTCTCTTTATTTTGAATTTTTGTTCATTTTTGTAGCTTTGAAGCAATTTTTGCCACAATTTCTCGGTTCGTATTGCTACTTCTTTTTCTTAAATTGCATTCTATGTTCTTCTTTATATTTTAATTTGCTATTTAATTCTAATTTGCTTTAGATTTGTAGGCATGTCTGCATGCAGTTAGTTTAATTTTATTTTACAAATAAAATATTTAATAAGTATGTAATTTATTTTAGAATCAAATATTTTTTATTTGTAAGCCAACTTCAGATATTGTCGTGCTATGTTCGTATTCATTGCTATGTTAAAATATTTTTTTATACATAATTATTGAGAGCAAATACCATTTTAAAATTTTTATTTTATTATAAAAGGCAAAATAATTAATTGCATTTCATATTTTTTTAAAGTTTATAATAATGTATATAATTTTTTTTAAGAATGTTTTTGATAGTTTAGTTATAGATACAAATTACAATAATTTTTTTCAAGAATGTTTTTGATAGTTTAGTTATAGTATGTAAGTAAAGAATTAAGTTAGTAATTTAAAATAATTAATTGTTTTAATGACCAAATATATGGTCACTATTAAAATTATAACACGTTTTTAAAAAATTTTTTATTAGTTTTAAAAAATTTTATTTAAACAGATATATCGACTAAAATCTATAGTGATCATCAGGATACTATTAAAATATATAAAAATAAATTAAAACAATTTTATAACAATTTAATTTTCAAGTTAATTATGAAAAAAGAGAAGTTTTTTTGGATAGTTTTGAAATATAATTCCAAAATTTTATTCAAATTATTGAATTTTTAGCCGCCGATACATCAATATCGAAGGCTGCCAAATACACAACATCAGCCCTTGGTTTTATAAGTCCTTAAATATATATTGGATTATAAGTACCAGTATCAGAACTCTCTTTGAAGTTATCAAAAAGGCTTGTTTCTTTTTTAACAAAACGAGCCAAAGAAGCATTAAACTCTCGTTATTAAAAAAAATTAATTCAATTAATTTTAATTGATTTTAATTTAAAATAAAATTTTGTTGTGATTTAATATTTCTTTTTAGACTTATGTTAATTAATAAATGAGTTACTAAATTAACAATAAAATAAATTTTTAAAAATTAGAATATGATTTGAATTTTATAAAAACTTACAATTTTATTTTCTACATGATTAGTTTTTAAAATAATTTAATCTGAGGATAAAGTCAAAAAAACATCGAAATATTTTTAGTATATGTAAATGAAATAAAAAATAGTAAAAAGTTGTAACTTTTTAATATTTAAAATTTTTAAAATTTTTTAATAATTCACTTAAACGTTTACATATAGTTAATAATTATAATATATTGAAGCAGACATTGAATTAGCGTATATCAAATTTATATTTGATTTGAAATTTTGATTATTATATATAATAATATTCTATGTTATTTATTCTATATTTGTTGCTTTCGATTCCTCAAATATCTTGGCTAGTCCAATTTTTTAACTAAGTTATATATATATATAGCTATATGCCTATATATAGGTTAATGCTTTTTAATTTAGAAGTTAAACAAATGTTTTATTTGCAAGCCTCTATAGGTTTGGCGAAACGAAACTTACAATTGTATTTATAATATATATATATTTTTAAGTAAGTATAAGTGCTTGATCGATTGTTTAGGACTAAATAAGAGATTTGTATTTTAAATGAAATTAAATATTTTTTAAATTGTCCCATAAATGCACTTATTTTTGCTTTTGTATATTTTTCAGTTGTAGATGTATGTGCTTATTAATATTATTTAAAGTTCAATATTTTAAGTATCATCTATTGTGCGTGTGTTCCTATTAAATATTTATAAAAAAAAATATCATAAATTATATATAACACAATAAATGCATTTGTTAAACTTATAAAAAAATAAAATTAATTTTAATATTATACAGGCGGTTCTCGTCCTTATTGGTTTGTGCTTACATCGGAGAGTATTTCATGGTTCAAGGATGAAGACGAGAAGGAAAAGAAATTCATGTTACCGTTGGATGGTTTGAAATTACGTGACATTGAACAGGGATTTATGTCAATGTCAAGACGTGTTACCTTTGCTTTATTTAGTCCTGATGGACGTAATGTTTATAAGGTTAGTAATTTTTGTAGTATACAAAAAAATTTTAAAACAAAGTTGAAAACATTAACTGGATGAATTAATTGAATTGGTTTACTAAAGATTCAAAATCAAAACAAAAACAACAAAAAAAATCTTTAAACCAAAACACTATTTCGTTTTGTTTGAAGTTTTTCTTTAATTTTAACCTAATTTTAACCCAAAAATTTAAAAAAAAAAAAAAAGAATATTAATGTTAAAAAACAAATGGTTAAACAAGTGAATTACTACAAATATTTACTTATGGCCAATGGTAAATTTTTTTGTATTTGATGAAAATTACTATGTTTTTATCAACATTTTTCCCAAACTTGTTTTCCTTGCTGTATGCAAATAGATGTTGACCCTAATTTCTGGGTCTATTTCGTTTGCAATATTGCCGCGTTTGCACACGTCAAGAAGAACAATTTTGTAATCCAATTCCATGCTGTATTATGGCTAATTATTTTTTATTTAATTTGTTTCTGTTTTTTTATTTACATCCTGCATTAACAATTCTACAATTCAATTATAAATAACAAATTCTATAAGAATTTCTAGGAAGGATCCAGAGTTAAATTTGTTAATTAGTATATTGCATGACATTAGGAGAAATAATCTTTTGAATTTTTTTGAATTTGTTGATGTAGTTGATATCTAAAAAAACTGGAGATTCTTATAGTTATACGTGGAATATTTTTAATTTTTTTGCTGAATATCTTTAGGATTATAAACAACTTGAATTATCTTGCGAGACAGTCGAAGATGTGGAGTCATGGAAAGCATCATTTTTGCGTGCTGGTGTTTATCCTGAAAAACAAGTTAATCAGGAGAATGGTGATGAAGTAAGTAAATAAGTTCATTATATATTTTATACATTTTAAGTGCCTACATGAAAAGCTTTCCTCATTAATACAAAGACAAAGAAAGTAATATATATTGAACCAACAAAAATTATAACAATTGAATATCTTTTTGATTTAGGATATATTAAAAATTATCCAGTTAATAAGTGTTTAACCTATTCATTATCTTGCACCAAAAATGCGGATTCGTTTTCAACTTCAGACACTGGTTAGATAAAGATATTCATTAGTCCTACATTTGGACACTGTACTGCTTAGAAATATCGAATATAAAATCTTTCAAAATCATGGGTCGATGCAAACACCTAGAATTGTCTTTAGCTTTTTCAGTCTATATATCTGAATTTAAGTTAATCACAGATTTTTTTTTCTATTAGAAAAGTTTTTAGATTGTTTTTTAGTTATCAAGACACTGTTTCCATATCTCCATATATTATTCATTTGGATTAAGTCTACAGCTTTAGTGTAAGAGATATTGTTGGTTTTGATATTCCCAGATTAACATAGGAGGTTTTCTGCAAGTATAGCCTAATATATCTTATAAATTGCGACTTATTATTGTCCCTTCTTAATAATAACAACTGCCTTTCGCAAACAATGATCTTTTAAATGAATACGGAAAATAATAACAATGCGACCAACTGAAATTAAGCTGGTTCATATTCTGGTTCAATGTGAATTCTATGTGGAAAATATAAGCTGAACGTATTTAATGATAAATTTTGTTATATTTTAAAACAAACAGTTAATTTCAACAAGGAGTCGTTAGCAAAAAGGAAAAATATAATTTTGTAAACAAAGAAATATATGATAATTCATTTTATTTGAGATGTGTGCCGTTTCAGTAAAAAAGTACCAGATCATTGTTTGTTAAAACGCAGCTAATAATATAAATAAAACGTGGTGTGGAAGGAAATTTCAGTTTTGGACTGGGTGAGAGCGAATGTGTTTCTTAAACGTTCTACAGAAAACTATGAAAAAAAAATAAAATAGAAGAAAAAAATTGGAAAGTTTATAATTTTCTATTAAATAAAAATTTTTATTAGTAATATTTGGATATTAGTATTATTAATATATTATTAATATTGATATTTTTAATTTTTTACTAAAATAAAAAATATGATGACAATGTGATAATATCAAACTTGTGTTATTAATTTTTTTATAAAATTTATATGTAATATATAATTTAATTATGTTTATTATGGTGACTTAATTTATGTATTGTAATTAAGTGTTAACATATTACAATCGTTTATGAATTAATTTTAGTATATAATAATAAATATTAAATGAAAGAGATTTAATGTTAAATTTTCATGTTTCTTTGTTTATAAAAATATTCTTCATAGCAGGAAGGACAAGAGGTTTGTTTCATTTCACGATTTTTACCATTTAATTTGCATATCCTTAACACGATTTTTTTATATAATACAAAAATATTGGTGAAAAGTAAAAATTGGCTTAGTAAACATTTTTGTGCAATCACTCGTGCTGAGCTTAATTATTTCTTATAATTGACAAGTAACATTCAAATGATTCACTCAATTTTAATTAATAAATATATTTTATTTACTATTTTTCTTTTCTTTTTTATAAAGTTTAACCAAGACAAAGCAAACAAAGTATGTTTTTTATTATTATTTTCGTTTTTAAAATAATTTTACTTGCAATGTGTTTCTTTAGTTTTGTGTGTATGTGTTCTGTTAATTTGAATTTATTTTTATTGTTCATACACGAGTATATATCTGCATATACACGAGAGAGTTCTGCATATACAAAAGATATAAATAATAATAATAATGATATTTATTATAATATTTAATCCGTTTGTTCTTGAACATTACTTTTAATTTAAAGTACTATAATTAAATATTACAATATATGTATATTTATATATTAATTAAATTATGCGGTCAATATAAATATTTTATTAAAATGACTGTCTTAAAAAATCTTAAAAATAATTAAATTTATAATATATAATACTAAATATATATAATAATAATAAATAAAAAATAATAAAAGTAAAATAAGATAAACATAAGATTAATTATAATATTTTTTGTTTCTACTTGAGCATTACTTTTAATTAAAAATACTATTTGCTCTTGCTACAAAATTTAAATATTAATTGAATTATATGTTAAATAAATATTTTTGCAAAATGACTGTAAAATGTTAAAAACTATAAAAATTAAATAAAAAAATAAAAACATATAAATAATAAAAATATTTGAATTATATAAATATATAAATACTAAAAAAAATAAAAAATAATGATTGTAATATTTAATTATAATATTTAAAACATTAAAAATAATTAATAAATAAATAATAATAATAAATAAATAAATAATAATAATACATAAATAAATAATAATAATAAATAAATAAATAATAATAATAAATAAGTAAATAATAATAATAAATAAATAAATAATGATAATAAATAAATAAATAATAATAATAATAAATAAATTAATAATAATAAATAAATTACTAGTAATAATAAATAAATAAATAATAATAAATAAATAATAATAATAAATAAAACAAAATTTCTATAATGATAATTATAACATATCAATTAATTTTTTTTGTTATTATATGTAATTCGAAATAATATATGCAGATTTGAAAAAATTGATATATCAACTTAACTGTATGTTAAATTTTATTTTTAATTACTATAAAATACTGAAAAAAATAATAAATAAATAGTAAACAAATAATAAATAAATAATATAGTGAATAATAAATAAATAACAAATGAATAATAAATAGTAAATAACTAGTAAATAAATAATAAATAAATAATAAAAATAAATTAAATGAATTAATATAAAATGAATTATAATATTTTATTAGTCTTTATTTTTAACATAAATATTTAATTCAAGATATTATGTATACAATTGTTACAACATATTTATATATATATTGATTAAAATAAAAATTAAAAAATATTTTTTAAAAAAGAAAAATATTAAATATTAACCATATTTGAAATATAATTTAAATATCCATATATATTAATAAATTGAAAGTTTTTAAATATTTTGTTGTTCGTAATTCATTTGATTATGTATTGAAAATTAAGTTAATGTTTGCTTTAGATTCAAATTCAGATTTTTGAAATTTATTTTTTTGTTCCAAAAATTTGCTTTGTCTTTTTCATGCACTAAATTTTTTTCAATTATTACATTTGTTTGGTAAATGAATCATCACTATTTTTTTAAAAGCAAATAATAGAATTGGCTTTTTATGATATAATTTATTTATTAATTATAGTTTTTAATTGAAACTGTAATCGACAACCTCATGTACTCCCAAGCAATTATTATTTAGAAACGATAATAATACATTATATATATAAAATATTAGAAAGTATATCTATATTTTAGAAACTTTAATCTTTACAATTTTTTATTTATATTTATAGTTCAAAATACACATAAAATTATTAAGTTTAAAAAATTAAAATAGGATTGTAGTGGCATATAGTTGCAAGTTGCTTAAAATTGATATAGTTCGCTTATGATTTTTAATTTAGACTACTAAAATTTTATTTAAATTTAATTGAAATAATTTAAATAACGATTAAATACTAGCAGTGATACTATAATATTTTTAAACTTTATATTCATTGCTGTTAATATTATGATTATTCAGATGTCCTCGGTAATTCAGTAAAGTGATAAAATTTTATATATATTTGTGTTTGTATTATTACAAAGTTCTCGAGTTATCAAGGAATCAAGTCTTATAATATTCTTTGTATAAGCTAAAGTATCACTTAAAAACTGTACAGAAAAGGAATTGAAAACGTGTGTTAATACATTAACTAGTTTGTACGTAATTGGAGTTACAGAACCACGTCATATATTCCTATTGAATATATGATTCTATGAAAAGTGGTTCTTAATTTTATTCACCAATTAATACTTTTAAAAAACTTATATTTGTTTTAGTATCATATATTTCATACTATATAATTAAAAAAAAATTTTAATACATATTTTATTTACAGCTTTAAAAATATTAAATCTTTGATTTTATAACAAATATTAGATATTTGATTTTATATCAAATAATTCATCATATATATTTCCAATTCTAATGCCTTCTTTTCACTATGTCATTTTCAATGTCAAATGGGTAGTCATATGATGTCATATCATAAAAAGCGCATTTGACACACCAGTCAATTATAATTGTCATTTAAAGTGACATAGTGAAAACAAGGCATAAGTTTGTAGTAAATAAATAAAATTGTTTATTATATTTGAAATATAAATATATATTTATATTAATATATATTATTTAATTATGTAAATTTAGATAATTTGAATATGCTTAACTTAAAATATCTAATCCTAACAGGACAAATATTTTGATATAGCATTGATATACCAAGTAGACAGTATTTGAAATTATCTATATCTAATATTAATGGGTAATATAATTTTAAGTTCTACTTGTTTTCAATAAATTTATTATATTATCTTACACCACATGTGTGTTTTTCGTATTATATTTAATTTAATATATCACATTATATTGCACACTAAATCCTTTAGGTAAATTCTATATAAAATAAAAACATTTTAAATCTCATTTTAATGTAGATTTTAAAATGATTTATAGAGCAAGTACCACTAATATGTAAACATATATATATATATCTTTATGTATATATAATGGTATATAATGGACAAAGCAATATTTTTTTACTAACAGCTTTAGTTATATATGCAAATATATAACTAATTTATATATATATATACATACAATTATAGAAACATATATTTATATTATTTAAAAGTAAAAGATACTTTGTTTTTAAATAGTTCCTAAAAGTCTACTAAAACAATTGTTTTTCACTCACATTTTAAAATTTGCATGATGTTAAATTAATCTATTTTTATATAGCAAAAATCACAAAATAATTTTGAACACGCAATAAGGTGATATTTTTATCAAAAATCTTTTTGATTTTAAATAATTAATAAGATATTTATGTATTGAATTGAAATTTTAAATTATTTGTACTAATAGCACTTGAGGTTTATGTTTTTCTTTTCGTTTATAAAGTATATATCCGATTTATATTACATTTATACAAATATAAATTTCAGTCTGTTGGCGAAGAAGCTTCAACAGATCCACAATTAGAACGTCAAGTTGAGACTATAAGAAATTTAGTTGATTCCTATATGAAAATTGTGACAAAAACAACACGTGATATGGTTCCAAAAGCTATAATGATGCTTATCATTAACAATACTAAAGATTTCATAAATGGTGAATTGCTGGCTCATCTTTATGCCACTGGCGATCAGGTAATTTTCTTTTTAATATAAACCTTTAAACTTTAATATTCATAAGGTTTTTTTAATATTAGGTACAAATGATGGAAGAATCTGCTGAATCAGCAACAAAACGTGAAGAAATGTTGCGCATGTATCACGCATGCAAAGAAGCATTAAATATTATCAGTAAGTTAATATGTATATAATTTTTAAAAGTAATACTTTACTTATATTAACTTAATAGTTGTATAGTTTACAAGTTATATAATAAAATATCAAGTTTATAATAAAATATTTCTGTTCTGAAAATGTAGCAATTTGTACTTATTTATTGTAAATTTAGTTTATTTAGTATTCTATAATAATTTTTTAATTTAAAGTATTTTTTGAATTTGGTTTAATAATTCTATTATTTAATCAATTTCAATTGTTTTATTATATTATTTAAATTGTAAAAATTTATATTTTGAAATCATTTTTAAATACTTTTGACTATATTTTAGAATTATTAAATGAAAAGTAATAATTATCATACAATTATTTTAAATATGTGTAATTATATTAATTTTTTTATTTATTAGGTGAAGTCTCAATGGTGACTGTATCCTCACCTTTACCACCGCCAGTTAAAAACGATTGGTTACCAAGCGGATTAGATAATCCACGCTTATCGCCACCTAGTCCTGGTGGACCCCGAAAACCAGCACCAACAGCACAGGTACAAATAATTTATATATAATTTATATATGTGAAAAAATTGATAATATTTATTATTATTATATTAAAAATAAGTTTAAGAAAATTTTTAACTAAATAAAATCTTTTTTTTAGGGTTCATTGGGTAGCGCGGGTGGACGTGGCCCCCCACCACCTCCAGCTTCTGGTCGTCCAGCACCAGCAATTCCAAATCGCCCAGGAGGCGGTGCACCGCCTTTACCTGGCGGCCGCCCAGGCGGCGCTCTTCCACCACCACTACTACCTTCGTAAGTACAAATTTTTGTTTTAATTTTTAACATATACTATACATATATATATATTTTAATATTTTTTTATTTTTTAAATTTAAATACTTTGTAAAATATATGATAAATATCAGTAGTTTGTCGACGGTTGGGACCTCTTTTTATTAAAATAATTTTTAATAACTTTTTCAATTATAATAACATTTGCAATAGATAAGTTTTAACCAAGTTATATATATTAACATATATAAATGTAAAAAAAACTTTTGGTTAACGCCACAGCAAGCTTCAATACGAATCAAAATATTTACTGTATCTTATTTACAGTATGTAGTGATATATTAATAAAACAAGTAGTATAATTTACTATCATTTGATGTTGCTCTAATGATACTTGTCTTTTACTTAAAGTTAACTTGAAGCTGCCTAGCTGAAATCTGAAAACCGTTTTTCTTCTAGATATATATACTTCTGGCAATAAAGCTTAAATTTTAAAACTTTAAGTTTTGAAATATTATTAAAACTTTTTATTTTAATACAGTTTAATCATTTATCTATTCATCCGTACCAAGTTTAAATCTGTATGTTTTCAGATAAAATTTTATATTAATCTTTAATTCTTTAATTTTAAACTTTACTCTATTATTGCCAGAGACTCAGACGCCTATAAGAAAAATGATTTGTAAGTTAAAGCTCACCAGTCTCAAATTAAAGTGAAATTTTAAATCAGTGAGAAAACTTCCTATTTGTGGCAAAGTACAATAAAAAGTTATTTTCGACCTTTTTAATTTAATTTAAATATAATTTAATTTTAATCGAGCTTTAAATCGTACTATGATATAATCCGAATTATTTGTATATAATAAATTTAGTAATTTTAGTGTTGTTAATGGGCGTTAAGTTCAATTTTATTTTTTTTAAGACACATTTGCTTTATTTAATTTTATGCATTTGATTTATATTTATTATTGTGTCCAATATTGCGACCATCTTTTCATAAGACATATAAATCATAAATAAAACGAACGTATTTTAAGTTTTAAAAATTAAATTGAACTATTAGCTCATTAATAATATCAAATCTAATATTATTTTTTTAACTAATATAAGTTTTTTAAAAAATTTCAAAAACAATGGTTTTGAATTTACTGTTTATCAATAATGTGTTTGTTGTTAAAGGCTGTTTTCTGAACTTAAAAATATAACTGTTTTTAATTATATATCCGAAAAATTAAAAAAAAAATTTATAACTTATATTTTTACTGAAAACGTTATTGGTTACATTACATTGGTTAAGAAAAAAAAAATTTCGGTAATAAATTTATTTTGTTATCTAATTTAAAAAATAAAACAAATTGAGTTAAATGTACTATATATATATTTATTTAAATATATTTATATATATATTTATTTAAATATATTTATATATATATTTATTTAAATATATTTATATATATATTTATTTAAATATATTTATATATATATTTATTTAAATTATTTATATATATATTTATCTAAATATATTTATATATATATTTATTTATTTATTTATATATATACATATATTTATTCAAATATATTTATATTTATTTAAATATATTTATATCTTTATTTTAAATACGAAAAAAGGGGTTTATTTAAAATTTGTCTATCATTTTTCAAATAATAATTTAAATGCCTTTTTTAATAAAATAAATACTAAAAAATTTTTTTTTATTTATTGAATGCTATTAATTTTTAATTGTGGCCTTATGCTCCTTCTAGAAGTTAAAGGATTAATTAATATATATATATATATTAATTTTTAATTAAATATAGCCCATGTTTTGGAGGTTATTTCACATTAAGGCAGAGTATTATAACAAATATAACAGTATTATAACAGTTTCTTATTTAAAAGTTAGCATAATAGTCCTTACACAACAAATATAGAAATTTAACGATCTGAAGTTCAGTTAAAATTCATTTAAAATGCTGTATAATGTAGAAAAAAAACAAGAATTTAAATGATTATTTTAATAATTTATTGGTTTAATAACTTAATTTTATTTATATATTTTTAAACGGGTACCCGTTTAAAACTTTGGTGACAATAATATAATTTTTTAAAATAATTTAAAAATTTGTGTTTAATTTTAACAATTAACCAATTAACCAGTTAGCCCGTATATATACGATTATTTTAAGTAAAAGAAATCCCCTGTTTACTTAACGTTCCAGCCGTGTATTGGTTGGTAATAGTCTATTTTCTTTGGGAAAGGAGATCTTTAGCTCTTCTTCGTTATTGAGCTGTATTTGCAATATGTTAGAAATTGTACTAATTGTATAAATAAATGCAATTTAATTTAATTAATTGTTTTTAAACATGTTTATTATTAAAAATAAATTTTTTTGTAATTATTTTTTTTTTAATGTATGTAATTATGTCAACATTATTCACAAACAATTTTGAAAAATTTTACTAAATGAAATATTTTGTCTATATTTTTTTCTTGTTTCTTTTTTTCCATATTTCTAAAATGATATTGCATTTCACAAAAATTCACATATTATGTCAATTTTCATCTATAATTTTTGTGTGCATATCTGTGCTTTTTTATACACTGCGCGGAAAATCATAAACAATTTTGTGTATATACAATATAATATAGACGCCGCTAAAATGTGACGTGTAATTGCTCTCTAATGGCATCAAACAGAATCTAACTTACTCAACCACATATTTCCGTTAGTTTTAGAGAAAATTAATAAGCATTAATGGATAACCTGAATTCTAATATTAAAAATAGTAGAAATAAATTTAATGAAATTAACCTTAAATTATAATTATGTAAATGAAGCATTCCAATTTAAAGTTTAGTCCAGTAAGAAGTTATGTATTTATTATTAATGCTGCTAAATTAAATGTTATTGAACGCTTATAAATGTTTCAACAATTATATATATATATATATATACATATACATATATATGTTATATGTATATGCAATAAATATCGAAGAAATCTTAAGCATAGCCTGTGTTGTCATTATCTTAAGCCTTAATTGATACTTGGAGATTTGGATATGATGTGTGTATTGACTTAGCTAGCTATTTGCTTTATAAGAAGAAGAGGAATGTTTGTGCTTAAGTTAACTAAAGTACCTTTTTTGCGTTGTTGATGATATTATATAAATGTTATTATAAATTGCAATTTAATACTAAACTTAGTTATAAAATAAAAAAAAATGTTTTAATAAGTACGTAAAATGTTAAAAATGTTAATCATTTATTGTAGCATGAAAATGAATATTTGCGAAGTAAATTATTTAAAAACATATTTTATATATAAGAATTATAGTGACAGGATATTACACTGATTTTATTTATTTTTTTTTAAATAAGCAATTGTATTTAAAATTCAGTTTATTCTTGTGAATAAAATTAATTTAATTTTATATAATTTACTTTTGGTAATATTTTCAAATAAGTGTATTATTTTATTAATTTTATATTACATTAAAATACATAAATGTTTTATTTAAATATTAATTAATTATTTAAAAATTTAAATATTTTATGTTTTGGTCTATATATTCCATTAAAAATATTGTTTTTTTACGCATTTATGTGATAATATTAAAATACATAAATGTTTTATTTAAATATTAATTAATTATTTAAAAATTTAAATATTTTATGTTTTGCTCTATATATTCCATTAAATATGTTGTTTTTTTACGCATTTGTGTGAGTAAAAAATGTATGCATTTTAAAATAAAATATTTAAATTAATTAAAAAAATATTTTTAATTGTTTAAAAAAATGTCATAACGATTTGTTTAGTAGCATAAAATAATCACTGACGCTTCGAGTTACAATTTCCAGCTCATATACAATAAATTCCTTACTAACATTTTACAAACTAGTATTAATTAGGCGTCTAAGTTACCATTACGACTAATAATAATTACTAATAGTTAAAAAGAAAATAGTATCGGTGCGCTAGAATGCAATATAGCAATTTATTCTTTTCGACATCTGTACAAATTTAACTTAATGCAGTTAAAAAATAAATTTAAAATCTATGGATTATATTATATATATCTATAGATTTATATTATTTAAATAAAACACTGTACTGAGTAGCTTTACTGGCTTAAATTTTCTTATAGAATAAAATTAAATATCCAAATGCACGCTACCGATTTCTACATCAAGTTTATATTCATTAAAAAATGTGATTTGCGTACAAAATATTTTTAATTACCTGAACATACATTTTTATGATGTTGTATTAATTTATAATTTTTTTTTCTTATTTTTAAAAAAATTTAAATATTTTTCCTATCTTATAAAAGTAAGTTTTTTTTAAAAAAAGGGGTTTCAAACGTTTCGATAAATTAGTTTTCTAAATTTTTAAAGTAATTCTTCTCCATCCACTACTGAATTATTGTATAGTTCTTTCATTAAACTATATTCATTATAGTTCATATAAATTGATATAAAGAATATAAAAAAATAAATTTATTCGAACAAATTTTTAAAGACGCGTAACTGGAGCAGTCGGTGGCGCAATCACTCAACAAACTGGTGCAAATCGTTATGTACCCGAAAGTATGCGTGGACAAGTGAATCAAGCTGTTGGACAAGCGGCTATTAATGAATTATCCAATGTCTTTGCAACAAGATTCAAGTAAATCCGAACATAAACCTAACAAAAACAAAATTATGTCAAAATACTCACTCACAAATTTGCAATGATTTTTAAGCTTATATTTTAGTTGACTTTTATTTTATATAGATCATTTTTTTTTCTACTTTACATATAAATTTTTTTTTTAAATTGTGTTCTTTGCTATGCGTTTATCATTTAACATATAACAGAACGATTGAAATCTCATGAAATGGTGGTTATGAGACGTAAATAACGTAGTACTTCTATTTGTTATTTTTTTTAGCATTTAATATTATTAAATATTTTTGCTTTTAAATAATTTATATTAGTTTGTTATGATGATTTGTTTTATTTTTTTTTAACATTTTTCATAATTCTAATGCCTTTACATATAGTTTATTTGCAAACCCATATATATAGAAAACTATTTACATTTCTCTTATATCAACACGAAAACACATTTACAACCACACAATTTTACTTAGTAAACTTAAACCAATTTATTGAAAGAACAACAAAAAAGTATATATTAATATTAATTACATTTCTTATTTCTAATTGTTTAAGATATCATAATATTTAGTCAAAGATTTTTTGTGTCTATTATACAAAGAAATTTAGATTATTTATACGAAAACTTTAAATGAGAAATATATTAGGGAATATTATTCAATTAAAAGCTATACAAAAAAAATCAAATATTTAAATTAAAAAAAAAAATACATCTTAAAAATGTTTTTAACTATTAAAGCTATAAATTATACGAAATTATAAATTTAAACATTTTAAATTAATTAAACGTTTACTGTTGCTGATGTGTTTTCTGTGTAGAAGTCTTTAATATAAAGTAAAAAGTTCATAAATGTAGTTACATATTCTAAAAATAAATATATATTTCAATATCAATTTATTATAAAAATTTAATGTAATATATGCATATTTGCATATGCCGAATTTTTTTTTTTTTAACTATATTTTAATTTTGTTTGCCCAATAATGAAGTACTGCAATTATTTCAAAACGAGGTAACTCAAAAGTCTTAGCTCCAATTGATATTATAATAATATAATACACTCATACTATCGACTCAGTGAAAAAATATATCAGGGAGAGAACCCTACAATTATTCACAAAATTTGATACGCTGCCAAACCCTGCCCTAACAAACCTTAAGTTCACCTCAGGACCTACAGGAAGATATGCTGACCTATGATCCATCATCAATTAAAAGATAAATAAACGATATGAATTCCTGTATAGTTAAAGCCTAGTGTCGGGCAGACATAAGCCCCCCTTAGCCACAAAAGAGTAACAGTGCGCAAGAAACCACAACATAACAATGTCTGACAAAAAATGTCATTTTTCATACAAAATCTTTACAAAAATTTGCATTAGTTACAGTTATGTGAAAAATATATATTATTTTTTCTGTTAATATATATTATATATTAACAGACATCATTCCTTAAATTAAAATGTTATTTTCTTAAAGCTTATTTGAATGACACTTATTATATAACTATGTTGACAATAAGCCTCATTTTTCATACAAAATACATACAAGTATATGCATTAATTATAGTTATTTAAAAAAATATATTTTTAATAGATTGAACGAACAGACGTCATTTTTATAGTGTATAGTCACAAATATGTCAGAACTCATGTATGTATTAATTAAAATGTTATTTTCTCAAATCTAATTAGAATGGTACGTCGTACCTAGCAGTGTTGAAGACCTGATATGGTTGCTCAATATAAGTCTTTATATAAAATACTACTAATATTGTTTGTTCGACTTTTGGCTATTAAATATGCTAGGTGCATCGCTTTGCAAATCAGAAAGTCGATAAACACACCGTTAAATGTATACAGTTTTACTATATCATTAATGATCTCACTAGGGCGTTAACTCTTTGCTTGTGGAGAAGTGGATAGTGTCGTTATAATTATTCTTTTTCTTAATTTATTTTTTCTAAAACATGAAATATAAAAAACTGGTTTTCAGTTCCTTAAAATTTTCAGTTATTATATACATCTATTTCTTTATAAACAAATTTAGCAAAAATAAAAAATTAAGTTCTTCAAGTTTGTTCTTAAATCAATGAAATAATTTTGATGGACTGATAGATAACATTCCAGTCATTTATGCATAATTTTTTAGGTATATTTTTTGCTCATATATTTTTTTTTATTAATTATATGTAATTTAAGTCCATTTTATTTTTTGTAATATATAACATTTTTATTTGTGTAAAAAAATCAATTATATGAGACTTTTGTACTTACCTTCGTTTTTACCTATTAAATGCATATATGACTTATATATCTGAAATATATATATTTCTCTTTCTCTCTCAAAAAACAAAAAATGTTTGTTGTAGTATTTAACTTTGTATTATATAGATATTTATTTATCTATATACATATTTATAAAATAAAAATAATCAAAAAAAAAGTTCTAATGTAAAAATTGTTGAAAAGTATTACATATTTTAAATATCATCTTTATTAAAACTACATAACAATTTGCTCTTGTTGTAATTATTACTTTATAAAAAAATACTTATATATATAAATATATGTATAAAATATTATTAAAATATATGTATTTTTCTTCGTTCATACATTATATACATATACGTTATATATATGTAAGATTTTATCCATTTCAATTATTCTATTGAGACGTAATTATATTGTATTAAAAAATTATTTGAAAATTTAAAGTTTATTTAGTTTGTTAAATATTTTAATTAATCCAAAAGCAAATAGAAAAGAGCAAATAGAAGAAAAAAATTGCAATAAAAGAATATAAAATATTAACTATAGCAACTTAAAACAAGGAATTATGAAAAGTGCATATTTAATTAATAATGCAGTACGCGCTTATTAAACTTTGAAAGCAAAATAATAATAAGAAGAAAGTATTATATATATATAATAAAATAATTATGTTTATTATTATTTTAGTAAATAGTTTATTGCGTTTTGTTTAGTAAAATTACTTAAAAGAAGCATGATATTTATTATTATGAATATTAGTGTTAAAAGTAAAGTATATAGTGTACTAACGAATATACAATACATGAATTCTTCTCTTTTAGCATAAAAGCCTGGTTAGATATTTAATAAAAAAAAAATTACCAATATAAAATAAACACGAACACTTACTATATATTAAATATATAAATATATATATATAATCGTGTGTATATAAAATACAAACGTTCGTATATATGAAAATTCTGTTTTATATTGCTTTTTATGTATATATAATATGTGTGCATATAAACTAACACATACGTATATATTATAATGAAAAGCAATAAAAAACATATGTTATTGGTGGTCTACAGAAATATATGAAGACTCTAAACAATGGTCTTAAAACTAATGCCACCTACTCTATAAACCCATTACATTATCTAAAAATTAAAAATGATAAAAAACTGAAATGTGAAACAAAAGCTAAATATACTATGTTATCAATAAAGTATTTATTAAAAATATTAAATTTGTTTAATTTTTAAAACTCAAAAAAAAAAAAAATTATAATAAAAAATTTAAAAAAAAAAATCAAAGAAAAAATAAAAACTTAAAATAATGTTAGAATTTTTCATTAATTTCTTAACATTTTTAAAATAGTCGTTCGTTTCCTACTGACATAGCTAGTTTCGTAATGTTTCTTCTACTACATGAAAATATTGAGCTAATCTTTAAGTATAAACTCTATTCATTAGATAATCGAATTTTGAAAAAAAAGGATATCATTATCTTTAATGTTGAAAAATTTATATGTCAGTGTTTTTTATAGCATCGCTGGTAGATTTAAACTTCATTTATTCTATATTTTTTTTGTTTTATAGAAAAATAAAATTTTTTTTTATAACTATTTAGTACAAATTATTTATAATTTATGTTAAGAAAAAACGCTTTTTTTATAAGTATTTAGCTTTAATAAACACAAGAAATAATTAAACTAATTTGTTTTAATTAAAAAAAAAAGTATTTATAAAATTTCACCGTATCTAAAATTTTATATATCTGATATATACTATCTGATGAGACTATGAGCGACTCATACATTGAGTCTGATATAGACTAGCTCTTAAACCTAATATAGCTTTCTAATAGTATACAGAATTAAGACAGAAATTTTCAGAACTAATGTAGCTAGTTTTTATCTTAAAACTATTAGTTAGCGTCTGTTGGGAATTAGCAATAGATATAAAAATTAATTCAAAAATCGTTAGTAATTTATTTTAAATCTTAAAAATGTAGTTTTATGTAGAATATAATATAATATTATAATAATTTTATTGAACGTAGAATAAAATTTATTAACTGTCACATGTCTTTCAATTAATGATTTAGTGTCAATGTATATTCATTTCAGTAAATAGTCTTAGTCGTTTACATAAACTCGTACATGTACAAATGTATTCACAAATTGAATAATTTATGTATATACCATAAATCATAACTGCGCTTGCATAAAGTTTTCTTTGCATTTTGTACATTTATTGCCTAATATTTTCTAATGTTTTAAAAATTTGCTACGATGGTGTTGGGTACTCATTTATTTTGAGGTAAGTTATCAATTAAACTAATTGCAAGAATTTATTTTAATATATGAATTTGAATTTAAAATATTTAATATATTGTATTAATATTATATAATATATATTTATTACACTTTTTAATATATCTTTTTCCATAATTTTAGTCGTGTTGGACCCAATGCTCCACCAAAATTGCCGGACAGACCATCATATTATGGCAACACAACAAATGGACGACCCTATTAAAAGAATGATTCAGAATAAACTCTAATTTATTTTACTATAGCAGTTGAAACGCTTTCGGTTGATATATGCGTCTTTACATATATTTACATATATGCATATAAATTCTGGCGCCAAAATGCAAACCAATGTATAAAAGAAAGAAATTAAATAAATATTAAATTAAAATTTAGTATTTGCTTTAGTTAGTTATGCATAAATATACAAATTAATTTATATTTAAGTAAATGTCAAGTCTGCATGTTTAATGATATAAATAGTAATTTTTCCAATTGTTTATATATGTAATGTTTATGTATTAATTATGTGCCGAAAAAAATAATTAAATTATGAAATAACTATTATTTACATATATGAAATACTTCAGTTCACTGTGTTAAGATATAAACTTTAACTTAAATAAATAAAATGAAATTATGTTGTAAAGATAACTCGCTTATATTGTTAAATACAATAATTAAATAATAAAAGCTGTGTTCTTAAGTTTTTTTAAATACATATTGTTAACTATTGTATTTGTTGCAATGTTTAAGCAGCTATATTAAAATTGTTGGTTTTTTTTTGTGAAATTTTTAATTGAATATAAATAAATTAAAATTTGTATATTTGTATTACTAAATTCATTGTTTATAAACAAATATAAACATCTAAATCTGTCTGTGTGTGTTTTTGATACTGCTTAAATATTGTATGAATTATGTAAATAGATTATATTTAATGTTATAATATAATAGTATTTAACACAAATTCCTAACTGATTGAAGTCTATTTTTGATTATATATATATATTTTTAGCAGTAAATAATTTTAATAAATGTATTTTAATATTAAGAAAAATAATGAAATAAAGTGAAATACAATAATTTAATATAAAAGTTCTTTATTGTTTTCATATATTAATATAAAATAGTTAGACATTTTTTTTTTATAAATGATCTTAAGTATTTTTAAAGGTTTCAGATGGATCTAAACGTTTTGAGTTTTTTACAGTAACAGAATTAGATAATAGGTCTAAATAGCTTCTTAGGACTATAAGGACTCTTTAAACAAATACTAAAATTAAAGTATATACAATATGTTATTTTTGTTGTTATTTATTTGCGTACCAGTTGAATTTATACACTATCAAAAGTAATAAAATTCTTTTCGCATTGTAAAAAACTATAATTATTAAATAATAAAAAAATCTTTTAGATACCCCTGAATATATTGGAAGAAAACCAATGAAATATCGGGTGAAAAAATGAAGCAATTTAATTTTTTATTTGCATCCCAGTCACAAGACCAGAGTAGCCTAAATAAAAATTATAACTTATAAAATATATACCGTTTGTGTGAAACAATAATAATAATAAATATTATAAATAAAAAAGAGTGAACCATTTTTTTTAATTTTTAATGAAGTGGATATCTGCCAAATTTCTATCATTAAGGGCGTTTGGAAACATCAATTTTTTTATATAGATATAAAAAATATGTTTTAATAGATAGTACAACCTCTGACGAAGGCGGTATAATACTAGTGAACCATGGATGTTAAAAAACGAAATATAAATTTATTTTTATTTATATAAACTAATTTGTTATATATATATATATATATATATATATATATATATATATCTGCAGTAATAGTTTTTATTTTTAAAGACCAGTATAGTGCAAAATATATGTTAGTTATTAAAATCAACCTGAAACATAAAACACTGCAAGTGTACAGTATCAAAATTTCACATTGAACACTGTTAAATCTGAAATTTTGACAGAGTGCGAACAGTACTTTGTTGTCTGTACAGATGTATAATTAGAAGACACGGATGTAGTTTTACGCTTTCAATTCTACTGAGATATAGTTCTACTTTGAGCCCATCTAACATTTAGCATTCGTACCTATTTTCTTATCTTTACTTCTATCTCACAACATATTAGTTTCACTATACTACCTCTTACGCAGTGAATCGTTACACTTTTGTGTGATTGTTTTAACAATATCAGCCTGGAGATTAAACGAGAAATTATCATTTAAAATAAGTGCTACTTGTTTCATAAGCTTAATAAGCAATTCAGATGTAGAACCACGTCGCGAGTAACAATACTTACATTTTATAGGTCTCTTATCTTACCTATGCTTTTGTACGATGCAGAATATGGACGCTACACCAGTACTTGTAGTAAACGAGAGAAAAGTTCTTAATAGTTCTTTCTTTGTTCCTCTATGATTTGGTAACGACTGCCGCATGTGAATAAACCAACTATAAATTAATCATTTAAATGCGATGTATGCAGGAATTTAGGATGGAGGAATATATATATATTATTATATATATTATTAAGAGAATTATCATCCAGTGATTGGGTTATATCGTTAGGGTGAAAACGATGTTCAAGCGAAAAAGATGTTTAAACTTGCAATTGATGGAAAAAGGCATCAATGGCGATCGTGTATCCAGTGGTGAGTACAGGTTGGCAAAGCATTAACCGCCGTTAAAGTTGAGTACGCAAGGAGGAGAAACCCTTAGATAGATGTACGTCGCAAGACCGAACCTGGGAGCAGGTTGTTAAGGTCAATTATGTAAGTAAATAAGTAATCATTTTAAAGAATTATTTATAAAAAGCAAAAAATATTGCAGCTTCATATTTGAGTGCAGAAATTTTCTAATAGAATAAGTCGTAAGTCTATATTATATAAAATAATTAATTCAACATTAATAATATATTTAGATATAAAGAGAAAATTTCATATTTTTTAGCGTTGTAGTATATGTAGAATAAAATTTACATTTAATTGGGGGCGTGATTATTGCCGTAACATCTGTTGTTATCGTTGTTCTTTCAATATAATTGTTGCTGTTATTATCTCTCACCTTTTTTTTATTTATCCGTTTAAAGATTAATTATTATTGTATTTCATTATTAGAGGTAGTTAGAAAAAGGTTGACCCATGTTAAGTTTCGTCTTCAATGTCAAAAAGTCTCTCCAACATTGTTTATTATTACTGAAAACCTACTGAAGAAAACCTATAATTATTATTGTATTTCATTATTAGAGGTAGTTAGAAAAGGGTTGACCCATGTTAAGTTCCGTCTTCAATGTCAAAAAGTCTCTCCAACATTGTTTATTATTACTGAAAACCTACTGAAAATCAATTTATAATTATTATTGTATTTCATTATTAGAGGTAGTTAGAAAAGGGTTGACCCATGTTAAGTTCCGTTTTCAATGTCAAAAAATCTCTCCAACATAAAAAAATGAAATCCTTGTTTATTAAGTTCCTTATGCATTTTTATTATTATGGCTTAGTTTTGTGTGTTTCAACTCACATTACATATGTATATAATCGCACTACAAAAGATTTTAGCCATTACTTTGGTAATTGTTTAACTATAACATGGTAAATGTATATATTATTCAATTTTTGCAAAGATATTTTGTTATTTGCTTGGTTATTGTTCTTGTGTATAAATACTGTGTATGTTAATTATTTGGATTAATTTTTAAAATAAATAAATTTGTTTAATAAAATTTGCAAAACTCATAACAAATATTTTACTTTGTTTATAAATTTTTTGTTTTCAAAACGTTTATTATTATTTTTTGAATAAATTGACGAAAACGTTTATTTAATTTTAATTCCCTCGAATTTTATGGTAGTTTTTTTTTTTTAATTTGTCAATGTTTAATGGTTAAATTTTTAATAATCGTTTATTCTACTTACTTTATATATTGTTTAACTTTAATTATTATATATATATATATATACATATATATATCTATATATATATATATATATGCTATTTCGCTTATTTAATGAATCTAATACATATTACGAATAAATGATTTAAACATATATTTCTAAAATTATTTAACTCCTTTAACTTTTTAATATATTTTAAAGCTTAGTTTCTATTAGATTACAATTTGTAACTAAAAATATATTCTAGAGATACTGAAATTGTTCGTTTTATTTTTAAATTTATTTATATATAATAATTATATATGTTTATATATGTATGTAACAAGCAATAAACAATTATATCTAATTTTCATGAAATCGATCCCTAGCGCCCTGCATTACTAATCATACAGATCGGTATATGTTCTGTGATCCTCAATTGTTTGTTGTTAAAAAAAACATATATCGATCCATTAAATTGATGTAGTATTTGTATGAATGGATAATGCAGAATGTAGGATAATTTTAGTTAAGTATTTTGTTATATGTCAATAGCTAAAATGCTATATATTGTTGAATTGTAAATTTTAATATAGAATTTATATTTATGTAAATTGTTAAATGTACTATTAATAATAATAATAATAATAAAATTTATAAATAACAATAATATAAAGAGTAAGTTTAAAAAATCTCTTTAACTATGATTAATTATATTCTCAATAGATTATTACATTTGTGTTAGCTAATAGAAATGTTTGTTTGAATGTAGATCGCGCTTTAATAAGAAGCACTTTAATTGTTTTATATGGTCGCAAAAGTAGAATATCATAAGATTTTTATTTATTTTTACAATATTATCTATAGAGGGTTTTGGATATTTTCGAAGCTTAAATGTTAAGAGCAATAATTTTTTATTTTTAAAATTATTTTATTTCGCTGTTTTTTGTTGCGCCTTGAAGGTAGTACGTTCGACTAATGACTACGAATTTTATTGCTTATATTTGAAATAATGTAAATATATATGAAACTTAAATAAGTTTCATGAGGGATGGTGGTTCCCTGCCTTGACTTCGTTTAATGCCTAAGAACACGTTTGATTTTTACTTACAATAAGTTTCTAATTGCATTACAGATCAAACGATATAATAATATTTAGGTATATATTCACTAGAAAATAATTTTTCAGTTAATAGAAGTGATACATAAAAAACATAAAAATAGTTTATAACTTGAATAAAATATTTAAATAATTCAATAAATAATTCATATATATTATAAATAATTTTAAGGAAGGCAGACAATCTAATTCACAAAAATTTTTAGGAACGAGTACGGAGTAAGGAAAAAATAAAGACAGTAAATAATTAAAATATATTTATTTCAATTAAAAAAGCTTATTAATACAATTTATATATAAGAATACAACAGCAAATTAAAAATTATAGCGATATTCACGATGTTGAGTAACGAGTACGGTAACCGAGTAGCGGCACAAACCGACAACAACAAAGCACATTTTGGGTAAAGGTATACAGAGCTTGTTGCGGGAGGAAGTGGATTCACAAAAATTTTTAGGAACGAGTACGGAGTAAGGAAAAAATAAAGACAGTAAATAATTAAAATATATTTATTTCAATTAAAAAAGCTTATTAATACAATTTATATATAAGAATACAACAGCAAATTAAAAATTATAGCGATATTCACGATGTTGAGTAACGAGTACGGTAACCGAGTAGCGGCTTAAATCAACAACAACAAACCACATTTTGGGTAAAGGTATACAGAGTTTGTTGCGGGAGGAAGTGGATGCCACTGATATTTATTATATATTATTTATTTATAACGTAAACGAAGCATTCGTGAATTATTTGACCGCCTGTTTAGGTGCGAGTTATGCCAGGTAAAGTATAATTAAAAAATATAAATATAATTTTTGAAATGTTATTATACTTTTATAAAAAGTGGTGCTCCAGTATAACGAATGCTCGATATAACATATCTTTTTTTGAACTCCATTAAACACTCAATATAACAAAATCAATTACTCCTTATAATGAATCATTGCTTTCAGAACCCTTAAAATTTTGTATTATACACTGTTTTACAAAATTGAGATAAAATTACTATAATTAAAGGTCTTGTTGATCTTGTAAATTAAATTTTTTACAAATATACTTAACATTAAAATTCATTAGAAAAATAATTTAATAACTTTTTGCTTGTAGTTATCAGACAAACTTTAGTATATATGACTTACAGAGGGAGAAACAGATTAACATCACCCACGTAGCTATTCAAAAAGTAAAGCACATTGTGACAATTAATGTTATTAGGTTGTATATTAATTGGGTTGAAGAAAATATTATTAAAATTGACAATGTATTTATCTTAAGAACATTGCTAAAAAAAGCTATTCACTTCTGCTAGCGAATAAAGCTTACGTTAATTGGAGATTTTGCTTTATAAGAAGTAAAGCTTTTTAGGTTCTAAAGGTGCCAAGAATCAGCAGGTACATGTCCCAGAGCGATGCGTCGACCAAGTATCATTCACCACAACCAAGAGAGACTACACAAACAGATCTTTGCGGATTGCAACAACAACAGGTCCCAAACCATAATATATGCAATTATGGTTCAGGTTTCGTTCAAAATATAACACATAATTGATGCGCTTAGTTTACTGGAATATTTCAATAATATTTATTCAATATAATGAATTTTTATATAAAAATTCAAAATAATAATGACCCTAACATTCATTCGTATCGTTCGTTATAATGGACCACCTCTTTAAATTGTATCATTAAGCATTTTTGATAAAAAATAAATAATACAAAATTGTTTGGTATTATCTAAAAAAAAAATTTCAAATATATTTAATAAATTATGTAAAATTTTTAATAAATTATGTAAAGTTTTTCTAACTCTCGTAAGAAGTTATAAAATATTTTTATTATTTAGAAATATGTTATGTTAATGCGTTATATTGTACATAAATATATACCATTTTAATTAGTTTCAATAATTAATTAAACGAATATATTAATTAATTTTATTAATTTAATACTTATATTATTTAATAAATAAATATTGTAGTTATAAAATATTAATTGATAAAATTAATATTTAATTAATAATTTAATAAAATTCCTTAATATATTAGTATTATTAATTCTTAAAACTAATTAATATGATATATATTAAAACATTAAGATTACATTATAATGCAATTTTATATTAGTTTATTTAATAATATTGAAAAAAAATCAAGCAATAAAAACATAGTCTGATAAATATTTCTATTTTTGAATATAAAGAATACTGTCCTCATACGTTTTATAACGTGTTTATGGAAATTTAATATATCTATAATTTATAAAATTAAACGAAATAGTTGAGTTAATATTTAATCTTTTTTTTAAATACATAATTAAAAAATAATACTAAAACATATACAATAAAATCTAAAGATAAAATTTGAAAATCATTATGAAGAAGGAAAGTTTTTCTTATTTGATTAGACACATTTTCTTCTTATACTACGAAATTGCTTTAATGTTAAAATCTTAAAATTACTTCAAGGACCTTAGGATATGTTAAATGGTCTCTAATTTTATATAATAAAATTTATTCAAAAAGGTATATAATGTTATTAATTTTGTTTTACTGTATTATTAATAGTTTTATAAGAATTAAAATAAAACTGTGAATTTTCAAGCGTTTCATATGTATGTATTATTATTTTAAATAATCTTATTTATTCATAAATTATAGAGTTCACTAAATTTAAAATTTTATTTTGATATATTTGATATTGTTTAACTAATTTAGTTATAGTATTTTAAATTGACCGTTATTGTATATTTAAATTGAATATATATAAATATATATAAATAATAAAAAAACCAGAACTATTTAAATTGCGTTGAATCATTTTTTATATGAAAATATACAATTTTTTTGTTTATATATACAAAAAAAAAAATTAATTTTGTCGCAATTGGTTATTTTCGAATTATATTGATAATTCAATTGTATATTATAAATAAGCGCAAAGTTTCAATTTATTTGCATAACAACTGACACGCATAATAATTCTGATAAAATTTTATTATCTACAAGGTAAATACTAATACGTATCGTAAAAACATTATTTTTTTTAATAATACAAGTATAAGAAAAATGTATATATATTATAATATATTCGTCATATTTAAATGGTTTTTGTTTATTTTAATTGTCTATGTATAAATGTTAATTGCAGCTTTTTTAAGTATTGTATAGAAATACAACTTATAATATATATATTATAACAGTTATGCATTTGTTATCAACTGTGAAACTGTGCTAATTCCGATAACTCACTTTTATAAGATTTTGCAATATTATTAAATAACTTTTAACGTATGTTTATAATAATACTATTTATTAAATAAAATTGCTGTTTAATTTTTCTTTGAAAATTTAATTTTTGATTTTTAATGCTTATGTTCATATAAAGTATTTTTTTTTGTTTATATAAATTTCTAGTAATTTTTAATTCTTATTAAGTACCTTAAGAACAAGTTTACTTATTTTTATATATTGTTCCAACTCAACAAAAATTTTTCTTTTAATAGAATGCGATTACATATCTTAAACACAGGTGCATTTTTTTCTGTATAAATTATGCATAATTTTTGCATTTAAATCTACAATTAACATTTTCTTTTAAATAGAATTTATTGTTTAAATATTAAATAGAAGAGAAATATTACATATATTTTTATTAAATTTTATTATAATATTTTTTATAATTTTATTTTTGAAGATATATATATAAATGCATATGCATAACAAGAAAAGGAATACTAAACTTTTTTAAAGATGTTTTTAATTAGTATAATTGCATAAATGTTTTAAATTAATTTAACACAATTTTAAGTAATATTTAGAGGAATTTGTAAATATTTTATATAAATGTAAATTTATAATAAAATTTATTAAATATATAATAACAACAATTTTAACATAAAAAGAAAAAAAAACTGCACATCGTGAAATTCTACCGTCAACATTTTCCTAAGTAATAATTCATTTAGTTTATTATTATATGAATATTGCTGTTGTTTAGTCCTCCTTTGAAAGACTACCCAAATCACTTAAAAATATTTCTGGTGTTAATATATGTGATGAACCAACCAATACTTCCCAATTTTTAACAGAATTGGTAACTTCATAAGCGCAACGCATCTCTGACATGCTTACGCCACCGACAATAAATACAATAAGGCGTGGTACATTTTTAACTTGAGTCTGGGCTTTATCTTTATGCCAATGTCCATAGCGGGCACTAAAAATAAATTACATAAAAATAAAAATTAATAATAAAATTTAATATAATATTTAAAGTTAGACAAATATATTTTTAAAATAAAATAAAATTTATTTGCAAACAGGTCTTTAACTAAAAATTTACTTTAAATGACTTTTAAATAATTTTAATAATAAAAAAAAGGTTTCATGTTATTAAACAGTCATGATGCATTAATAATGAATATACATTAATATAGTTCTTTTGATTCTTTTCGGTCACTTAAGCCCTCTAACTGGCTACAAGTATTGTGTATATTCGACACAATGTGTCTCAATTCTGATGAAACAGAAAAAGTTCCAAAAAAAAAACCATTTCTATTCAAAATACCATTCTTTCAAAACGGTGCAGGAAATGTTCAACAAATATTTCTGAAAATTTTTCATACTCATCGGTGATAATTGACTTAGGACGTCAATCGAACATTTTAAGATGGTATCAATGAGCTTCGATCGACATACTAAGGCAATCACCTGAAAGCGATGCGATTCATATTGTTGTTATACTCCACAGAAATCTGTTGGTATAGTTCATATTGAAAGTTGTAAGCGGCGATCGGTCATCGTAAAATTCCAAAACATAGATGTGGCACAATTCCGAACCTTTACTTTCAATGTCAATACTATTTGGGGAGTATTCATAAGCAGCATGTAAGTAAATCACATCAATACGACAGATAATCAAGATTATTATTAAGTTTGGGGATTTTGCAGTGCGACATAGAGATGTATTGTGTCCTCTTCATGGATTGCTTTAAGTTCAATTTATTTTAAAAATATTATATTAATTTTGTAAGATCGGAACCGAAGATGATTTTTGATGGCGATGCTAGGAAGCGGATTGAGCAACATTATATGGTTTTCTTAGAACCGACATAGGTTTAGTAACTTCAAATAATATATATTTTTAAATTCGTTAAAAGCATAAAATTGTTTAGGAGACTCTTTTGAAGGACAACACAATAGTACTGATAGATCGAAATGCACTATAAAAGCAAACATTGATAATATCGCGATTTATGAGAACATTATAATGTTCCAATAATAACTAAATAAATATTTCAGTATACAAGGTAGACCTTATATTTGAAAACCACGACCTTTGAAAGCTTACGCAGTGCAGACCAGAGTAGAGATCGGAATTATTTAACGGAAAATGATAAAGTTAAAATGGGCTTTCATTTTAGCTTCATAATTTACATTTTTTGTTATAATTACGAGATCGCATAGTTCTCTGAATAAGAATAAGAATCTATAATGTGGTTAGAAGCCAGATCAAAAAAATTCGTTCACTGTAACACACTATAATCTGATCTATAAATGATTGTCAACGATTTTATTAGTTTTAATAATTTTAGTTTAAGTAACTTGAAATAAAGCAGAACAGGGGTTTAGAATCTAGAATAGACTCCTAGCGCAGCGAAACACCTTACACTGTAAAACACCAAGTTAAAAAGGAACCTAAGTAGTTAATTTATTACTTATAAAATGATGTCTTTCTTTGTCTTTATCTTTGTCGTGTTCAGTTATTGGATATTTTATATCATTAAAATTATAACTTACCTTGTAGGTGCATGATAGTTTGTATTTTGTGCACGGCCAGCTAAGAAAGCAAAATGGCGTTGATCTAATTTATCTTCGATACAATCTTCCATTATATCTTTAACAACTGGCGTCCAACGTGACATTTGATAAGTATGCTCAGTGATACGCTCTTTTCGTGGTACAGAATAAATTTTTTTACGAGACTAGAAAAATTTTAAGCGTCAAATATATATATTAAAATTTAATATATAAATTAATTAACATACATCTTGAATAACATTAACACCCAAATAGCTCAGATTGCGCACCATATCCTGCTCTTTTGGTGTAAGTTGAGCATGTGTGAAAAGCTTTGTTATATTCTCTTCCGTAACACCGTTTTTAATCATTATATAAAGCGCGATTATGCGTACTTTATCATAATTGGAAACATTCTAAAATTTTTAATTATAAAAATATTTAATTATTTAAAATTAAGATTTTTAGAAAATTTATAAAATTATTTTTTAATATATTTACGCACTTGATCAAGTAATATAGGCACAATATTGCGCATATGATCTTTGATTTTTTCACCTTCAGCATCTGTGCCCATTGCCAAGTCTTGCTCAACACGACAAAGTTTATCGACATAGTTCTAAATAGTAGTTTTAGAAAATAAATATTATTATTATTTTTTCATAAATAATTAATTTTTATATTTTTTTTGTGTGATGATGTTAATATTTAATTTGATAACCCACAAAAGCTCGGAAGAAAAATTAAAATAATATTTTCTTTTGTATTTTTAATTTAAGATTAAATTAGTTTAATATTAAATAGTATAAAAAATATATATTTTTATTATTTACTAATGTAACAATAATCCATTATTATAATGTTGTTTTTGTGATAATATTATTATTTAACTTGACTAAAATAAACAAGTAAACTAAATACTCACAAAATATCGGCAGAAAAATTTAAAATAATGTTTTCTTTTGTATTATAGTAGTTTAATATAATCAATAATATAAGAAATAAATATTATATTATTATTTACTGATAAAACACATTATGATACATTATTATAATACTGCTTTTGTGATAATATTATTATTTAGTATGACTAAAATAAATAAATAAACCAAGTAACCACAAAATATCAAAAGAAAAAATTAGAATATTTTTTTTTTTTTGGATTTTTAATTTAAGATTAAAGTGATTAAAATTATAAAAAAGTATTAAATTAAACTCAAACAATTTTTCAGATTAAGTATTAATCTAAAAAAATTAATAATAAATATTTTTAATAATGAATCACAATATTAATAATAAGAGATAAATATGTAAATAAATTTCTTATTTCAAATATATAACATATATTATAAATGATATAGTTTATTTAATAAACAAAATATAGTACCTGATACGACTTCATACAATCTTCAGCTAAATGCAAATGGGTCGAATATTTCGATAATTCTTTCTGATATTGCGGCATTTTCTTTATCATTTGTGACAGATCACGCATTGAAGATTTATCGGCTATATAAAAAAATTTAGTAGATAAATTTATTATAAATAATAATTTAAAAATTTTATTTGTATTTTAAAAGATATTCGTGTAACCACACTTGTTATACATATTATTATGGAGGACATTTTTTTTTGTATAATAGTTCTTATAACTTACTCGATGTCATTCTTTTGGACTCGGTGAATTTTTTCAAATTTTGTGTAACTTGAGTAGATACAACAGCAATATGTTCATGTCGCAATTCTACCCACAAATCATCATTCTCATCGAGTAGCACTTCTTTTTCTGGTTGATTTGGTCCAGGCGTATATTTGTAGACATCATTAACAATCGGTAGAAGATCATATGCCATCGCCTGTAATGTTAACTCGTGTAACATTGGCGATACACAATCAAAGCCACGATCCAAAATTAATAATTGAGATCGTGATTTTTCGGGACCTTCTCCCATGGTGGGCTCATCGGCTTTATATGCATCTAACTTTTGTTGTACAGATGCTGCCAAATCTATATTTCGTTCCCAATCGCTACGATAACGCACATTCGGATATTCGCCAAGTGTGGCGCAAAGTGTGGCAATTTGCTCGGCAATCCGTTCAATATGTTTGGTTCGTATTGAGGCGAACGCTGGCGAATACAAACACTGGAAAGTGTCTGGCGAATCGAGAGAATAAACCTAATCAAGGAAATTATAAAGCCCCAATATGGAGATTACATGTTAAAAAATGATCAAAATCGTATATATTGATATTATATTTCAAAATCGCTGATTAAAGTATTATATATAGATTAGAATATATACTTTAGTTATATAAAGCAATAAAAGAAAAGATCAGTTCGAGAGCGTATTAAAAGCAACAACAACTACAAATGCAAATTTTATATTATATATACAAATAAAATTAATATATTTATAGGTTTAAGATAATTGTCATGGCATAGCGGTGTGTTTTCTTATAATAATATTTACATGAACTCAATAAATTTATTTTATTATATTTTAATAATAAAATAAATTTATGAAATTATTAATATATATTATTTCTATTTTATTTTTATTTTGGATGATATGCGTAAATAACTATTTTCGAACTAAATTATTTATTGCCCGTTTTTATCGCATGACAAATTACAGTTCAGCAAATAAATGCGTTTAAGTATATTTTTTTAAATAATGAATTAATTTTAATATTTTAATTTAAACGCTTTTATTTGTTTATATTAGTTAGCATGCAATTTGACATATTTTTGTTTTGTTATTTTGTATATAAATAATGTTAGAGTTTGATAGATAAAAATACATTTATTTTCACGATTTGCTTCTCTGTATAAAACAACATACATTAAATTGAACACTACAAAACAAGTAAAACAAAACTTAAGGAGATTATTTTCTTTTGTTTTTTTGTTTTTTTAAATATACTAACGAATCGCATTGAGAAGTTATATCTTCAAAAACAAAGACTTTATGATTTTACGAAGAGATTATGTTGCAAAAGCGGCGGGCTCTATAACCCGATACCACTCTAAATTGACAATCATGTATTGTTTAATAATTCCGTCGAAAATTTATTATTCACTGAAAAAAGGCTTGTTATCAAGAACGATGAAAAACCAGGGTTCCAATGATAACCCGGTTTAGAATTTGTGAGTTCAGATATTTAATTCATATTGTTTTCAGAAAATACTTTAAGCTTGAAGATATGTTGGAATCAAATCAAATCAAACTACATAGTTTTTCAGTACTTCAAATCGTCGTGGAGAGGTGGTCAATTAAGGCGTCTTATTGATTCTTTTTAGTGGCGTCAAAGTTACTCCCCTTTCCAAGTAGTGTTTAGGGTCAGTTAGGAGTTATCACACCCTTGGGTAAGAGATCTTGATTTTTGAAACAAACCTGAGCGGTTAATAAAGGGGATAATTTTTAAAAGATATATATTTACGATGTTTACCAGTGTATTTACATTGTGTATAGAAGTTGTTAAAATTTACTACAGAAGCAATGAATCTATTCTAGTTACGCTTTGCGTATTATTTAAAATTTATGGTCAATAGACGGTAGGGTTTGTAACATAATGTGAAAAATTAAATTCATCAAAAACGTAAAAGTATTGTTAATAATATCGATACTGTTAGCCACGGTATATATGAAAATTAGATGTCATTCTTACACAAACTTAGTATCATATATAATAGTCTTTATAAAGATTTGTATTTCCAAGCACAATTCGAAAAAAATTAGGCAAATTATATATATATAAAAATGAATTTAATTAAAGAACATTATGACACCATAAAATTTACAGTTGGTGTGGTTTGTGGTTTGAAATTATAATTGGACCATACATTTTCAAATTGATCTAAGAATCTATTAAAATCTTTTAATCATACTATAAACCAACAGTTACGGTGTTAAGTTAGATGTATAAAACGACAAATTACCCCTAAAATTTGACAGGGTTCGAATAAAATCATTGGTAGTTGCAATGTAAACTAATTATATACGAAAAATTATATACAGAAAACATTTCCAAAGATCACTGCTAATAGGTGTTTGGCAATATTCGAAGAAATAGCTTTATAATTACTAATTTTTTTAGCATGAGTTTGATTATTGGGACCCGGATAATATATGGTTTGAAGAAGTTGTCGTTCAAGACATTATTCAACAAATCTTTCATATTTACTAAAAAAAGGTTTTTTTTTTTTATAATTTACATATAACATTTAGGTAGCTTAAAATAATTAATAATTTTTTTAATAATCAACTTATGGTTGTAGTTGTCCAAATATCACGACTTTTAAATTTTAATATATAATTTAAAACAAATATATTATATATATATGATCTTTTTTAATTTTGATAACTTTATATTGATATAAGAAAGCGATTCGTTAGTGTTGAAATAATATTATTTTATAACACACATATATTTATTATTTTGATATTTCTGAAAGAAATCCTTTTTGCATTTTAATATAACTTTTTTTTTTAAAGAATATTAAAATTCAAAAAGGATTCCTTTCAGTTATAAATATTTACACATATAGGTGTATTTACAACATTGAGGTAGAGAAACAGATAGAGACATTGATAGTTATGAAAAACGACAGCATTTTATGTAGAAGTAAAAAGTGTGTTTTTTTTTTTTTTGGGTAAACTCGCACCTGGCATTCATATGGAAGAAATGCAATATTTATCTCCTTTAGAGTTTTGATCTTTCTTGCAGCGCACGATTTACACAAATCGTTAAATAATTCCTCCGGGCAAACTATAATAAATTATAAATAAAATTAAATAAACAGGTTTAACTATGAACCAAATAAAAAAATTTATAATAATATAAAATTATGTTTTGGGTTTCTAACCAATGCATTTGCTATGCATCATCCGTTATGGGTGGGGTTCACAAAAAGCAAGTGATTATCAATCAAAATAAAGTTAATAAATAATTAATAATTAAAAACAAAAATTTATTTGGTGCATAACTAGCAAAAGTTAAAATATTGTATGTTTAACAAATCTAAAAAATTCTTTATTTAAAAACAATTTTTTTAAATATAGTTTGTAATATAAACGCTTACCCTGTGACTGCAAGAAAATTATTTGTTTCCAATTAAAATTTCATAAAATTAAAAAACTAATTAAGCCTATTTAAGAATATATTAATTTTAGAGATCTTATGCTCTTAAATGGGCTAAAGAAATATATATATATAAATATATATATTATAGCTTCGTTGAAGCGAATAATAGTTAGATGCCAGTGGCACCCTGTCTTATGGAAAAAGCGCTCAAATAGCTAATAGTGGGTATGTTCTCATAAACTAAAATAGAGATAGATGCCAGTGACAGTCTTTTTCATAGAAGACGATCTCACTTAGTCTGTAAAAAGATAAGCTCACTTAGTCTCTAAAAAGACAAGCTCACTTAGACTCTAAAAAGGCGAGCTCACTTAAAGTCTAAAAAGACGAGTTTACACTCTCTAAAAAAATGAGCTCACTTACGCTCTAAGAATTGGGTACATTATGATAAATTGAAATAAGTTTTTAGCCTAACGGACTTATCTGAGCTCTAAGAAGTGGAACAATTGTAATAAATTGAAAGATGGACAGTGACAGCCATTCTTATAGAAGACAGTCTGACGGTGTAAGGGTTTGAGACATACATTTTTACATAATGAATTTTAGAATTTTGTTTACTATTTTGGAGTTACACCGGAGAAGATATTATGACCAATTACCAAAATGAGATATAAGATATTTTTTGTACACACATCAATTTGGACATTAAACAACATTTAAAATAGAGAAAAAATTTATCGCAAAAGCTTGTAAAAGTGAAGTAAATGCAGAGTTAGATTGTAATTTTTAAAGCATTATTTATGAGCCAATGTTAGATAATGTAGGACAAAACTTTATTATGTTAGGAAATTTTGTTTAAGAAAAGAAGGAAAACGCGTACTCATACATTTTTATTTTATTATTATTAAGTATTTACTTAATTTGCATAAAAACGGTTATATATTTGATTTGGTCATGTATTCATTAAGTACCTGCGCTTCATATGCTAAAAATGCAATATTAATTTCTTTACATGTTCTTATGTACTTGCGCGTTATATCTGAACGCTCTTTTAATCTTTCAAATATATCTTGTGGAACCGCTGTAAAAGTTTAAATTGAAAATAACAATAAGAAATGTGTTTTTGAACTATATTCATATAAAAGTGATGCTATTTGCATTGTTTTATATGTTAAAAGTTATATAGTAAAAAGTACCTTCAGTAAAGAAGACATGCGCATAGCGATACATTGGACGTGCCGGGTTCTCAAAATCACGAATAAGAAAACGAACAGATTCATCCGATGGTGTTATTAAGTATATAGCATCCATAGTTGGTAAAGGTTCCCGTTTTTTGGCAATATCCTCAACCACTAAAAACAAATTTAAAAAATTTATATAATATAGTTTTTATTTAAGAAGTGTTTACACTAGACTCGGTATTCGGTAAAGTTTTATTAATAATTTTTTTTTATCTCGTTGCATTACGTTGACACCAATTTTAAATAATTTATTTTGAATCAGTCATTTCAAAGGGTTTTAGGAGTGAATAGTAACATTTCTAAAACGCTTTTGTTTATCATTTATTTATCATTTTAATAAATACCGCATCGGTCTAAATACCTCTATAGCATTTTTTTATGTAGTATCTATAAAGTACTTACAAGTTATTCCTTCTGCACTTATTTCATGCATTTTTGTACATGCAGAAACCATACGCATGCCTAACTTATCAACAACCAGTACTCGCCATTCCATTCCTCCTGGCTTTGCGGCTGCAGCAGTTCCAGTTTTCTTTGGAGGTGGGGGCTTATATTTAACCACCTCATTCATAATTTCTATTTAAATAAGATATAAATAATAAAACATTAATAAAAAGTGTTAAACTCTTTATAGCAAAGAAAAAAATATAGGATAAGCTTTGGATTTGTCACTTATTAGTTATTTATTTTAATATAATAATATTTATAAACATAATCTATAATCTATACACGTAATTCATAATAGAAACGTTTTGATTTTTATTCATTATTCACTCGTGCTGGAAAATTTGTACGCAAAGTTTTATTTACTGTGGTTAAAAGTGAAATGGGAATATTGTCCTCCAAGGCTCACTCAAGCATAGATAATAGTTCGTTGTTGTACCCTGTAAGAAATATCATCTGTACGCTAGAAGTGAAAAATCGTCTTAAAGAAATAAGTTCCAGCGTCTGGTACACAAATGGCGTCTCCTTGAGAAAGTGCGTAAGGTTTCCTTCAAGTAAAAGGAAACTAACCTGATAAATCGAATTACTTGGCTATCTCCCTACTTTTAAAAGATCATTGCTCTACAGGCAATGGGATAATGGGAAAATGGATACCAAATATTTTGAATCTTCTCCTAACCAATCATTGGCATTGACATGTGCGGTGAAGAATAGTTTCTTTCACATTCGCAGAGTCTCAACTCCGACAAAAATCGTTAGAGATGAGATGAAGCTTTATTACTTGCCTTCTTAATATACAATAAACTGTTCACACCGATACCCTTGCTTATGCTTTAGTTAAAGACGCTGACCGATCTGAATATTCTCTAATCTGAAGCGTCTTGTGCTCTGAGAAGAATTTTCTTATACCTAGGATTTCGTTAAGTAGGTATGATTAATAGCTTAAGTTTGACTATTTTTGCGTAATTATAAACACACGATAGCTAGAAAACCTAGGTTGCTGTTAGAGGCCATTAAGAGTTCAAGTACAAGTAGAAGAACCATGTCGCCTCAATAGGGTGGAATCACACATGGAATTGGGTTAAATTTATATATGCAATGAGATAGAGAAATAGATGGCAAAGTTTTTGAAAGTCCAAGAACGTTTGTATACAGCTTGTATTACAAAGCGATATTCATAACTTCAAAATTTCTTCGAATATGCTCGCAGTGTGATATAATATTCTTATTAAGTAACTTTTAACCTTCACCTATGTGAAAGAAATTTATAGCGTTCTTTTCATTCAGTAGACAATTAATCAAAAACGTTTTCATACAGAATGGAATAGAACCAATTGCGCACAATCATTCAACATTTACATATCAATGGAATTGAAACAAATCAAATCCAAATTGAAAATGTTAATTATGCATTTGGGATTGATTTTAAATCAATCAATTGTTCGGGAATTAATGATAAAGGTTATGACATTGTTTAACCTGATTGATAAGTGAAAGTGCGCGAGATTGTCAGAACCACAGATATATATTTCATGGTATATTTCAATTTTGTATGAATTATTGGGTAAAAAAAGATGTTAAGATGTATAACCGTAATTTAATGTAAGTTAATGATAATAATATTGTATGATATATCAGCTTCGAAAAATATGAAAATTCTAAAACTGATAGGATGTACGAGGTATATTTAATATATATAGCTCACCTTTAGTGGAAGTGAATATCAATGGCATTTACTGACAAAAATTATTGAAACGTCTTAAAAAATGTCTATGCTGTAAAACATGTTACTCACAGTTAGCCCTCTGCAACTATATCGTATTTTAAATCTAATACATCGGTAAGGGGATCTTGAGCCAGTTTCAGAAACTTTGCAGTTATGAAAGATATGTAAATCAGTGAGGCTCAAGTTTGGGTTATGCTCGTTTGGGTAATCTTTTAGTTGGTTTCTGTCACACGTTTGCGCTTTGTGCATACATTCAACTGCATAATTTAAAAATTGCAGCTTTATATTCTTGATAAAAAAAAGAAAATATTAATAAGTATTCATGAGAGATGTCTCAATTTACAACATAATCATCTTCACTGCCAATTTTAAAGTTTAATTTGACTATTTTATGTTCGAAATGTGAAAGGTTTATTATATTTGTGGAGAACTCTTCAAACTATCAATCATTTTTATCAAGAAGACTTGTGTAGTGCTGTTGTTTGGTGGCTAGCTCAGAGTAAGAGCTATAGTATTGATAAATTTAACAGAATTCAGAGGATCGCATGCCTTGGCGTTACAGGAGCTTTTAGGATGACCGCTTCGGACGCCCTAAACACGATGCTATACCTGCTACCTATTGATCTTCACATCAAAAATATTGTTTGTAATTGCGCTGTTAGACTGAAAGCAACAGCCGTCTGGTAGGAACGAACATATGGACATAGTCGGATTCTAGATACAGTTCTAAGTTGTCTGTATAGGATGACATCGTATTATCTGAATCCATGCCTAGACTTTGAAAGACGTTTTCAGATAATATTTTCTTTAAGAAATGAATGGAAAATAAAAATTTCCGAAACAAATTATGATATCTCAATGTACAGGAATGGCTCCAAAATGAACTGCATGGCAGAAGCAGAGTTCTTCGCGCCATCTGACAACATAAACAATACTCTTAGCTTCTTACCTAACAACGCCACAGTTTTTCAGGCAAAATTCTTAGCAATTAGAGAAGCTTATTGACAGCCAGGCAGCAATCAAGTCCCTTAAATCCTTCACAATAAAATCAAAGATAGTAAAAGAGTGTAGAAAGGCAATCGACGAGTTAAATCGGTGGGCTGACATCACACTCATCTCGGTTAAGCTGTCAGTTAAGCCCATTCTGGTGATTCCCTGGATAAGTTCCTGGCGGTACTGGTTTATATTATCCTAAAGACCATTAAGAGTAATATCTAGTTTACTTTCTTCAGCATGCCAATAACAGATGGAAAGCACTTAAGTCATGTGCAATTTTCAGGTTAACATGTCCCACTTCTAATAAAATTAGATCCTCGAAACTCATCAAAAGAGACCACGTGAACACTGCAAAGTTTACTGCAGTTCTTTCTGGTCATTGGTGTATAAGAACCTACGTAGAGAAATTGCGCATTCCTCATAATCTTCATTGCAGAAGTTGTGGAAAACCGCTGAAAAAAGAAACCAATAGGTTTCAATAGGTTTTTAGGAAGATAATCCTTTGATAATTTATCAGACTGTTCATCGGAGAATACGACAGATCTATTAAAATATCTAAATTCGACGGAATGGATTTAGTGGTAGCAAAACCGCTAATTAAGGTACATGGAAGTTATCTAATGGCCTGCCACTGCAACTAATCAACCAACCTACATCCATTTAGTACCAACGTCCTAAACCATATGCATAAGGATTCGTACTGTACGTGGGTTATAAATAGTTTTATTAATTTGTCAAAAAGAGCCTAGGTATTAATAAGTAGAAATTTCTATAAATTATAGTAGGTGTGAGTTGGATTATTTTGTTTTATGTGGCGAGATTGTGGGAAATTTTTTATAGTCAATTGCTTCATATCTGTTTCTTCCACTTTGATTGAAAATATTGAATAGATATAAATAAATGCTACTGATTTGTCTCATACATATGATTATATTAAAATAAAAATATTACTATTATCTATTTGATAGTAGAAAGTGAAAATATTTATTAAAAAAAAGTTAAGAGCTATATCATAAACCAAGCATTTGTTTAGAAAAATTATCATATAATATTAGAAATGAATAATTCATAGATAACCAATCATGGTGCAGTTGAGCTTTTTGTTTGCAGTGTATATCATATTTTTATGAGGTTTTTAGATAACAACTTAATATATTTAATTTGAACAATTAATATATTCCTCTAAAATTTGCTTTTTTTCCATCAATGTATAATTCTCTTTACTATTTAATAATTTTATTGCTTACTTTCATTTTTTTTTATTAATAATTAAGACCTGTAAACAAAAAAAACAGTAGTGACTCATTATTGCAACCTGTGAATCAACGCACAAATACGCAAACATTATTTCTACATAACATAAACGGGTAAACTTGAAATGACGTCACTAAACAAACAGAGCTATATGTACTGAAATAGTCAGAAGTCATATTTAATTTAATAATGATTACAAGATTACTGTGCAAAAATAAGTCGTAGTGTGGGTTGTAAGAAAAAGTATTTCAAAGATCTTAGCACAAACAGAGCGTAAGTGTTAAAAAAAACCGCAACAAAAGGTCACATTTCGGGTGCGCACACAAAATAGGAAAATCGATAATTGCAAAAATTTTTTATCTTGAGTTTTATATTTCTTTAATATAATTTAATAAATTTCTTGTTTAAACATAATTTATTTTTAAAAATGAAATCTTTATTTGACATATATTTTATTTTTTTGCTTTTTATATCAGATATAGGGCGTTTTTTCATAATAAAGCATTTGATATTTTTAGTGCTCTTATCATTTACATAATTTTTTCATTTTTTTGTTATTTTATGCATTCACTCACTTTGCCCAACTAAGACTTTCAAAGCCATTTTCACAAAATAGTTATTCTAAATGCTAAATTGTTACAAATATAATTTTATAATAATTTTCCACACGAATTTTAAGGAAACTTCCCCAAACAATATTAACTAATACGTCCGCAATGCAAAACACATACTGCAGAAACAAAATAAATTTCTATACAGTACAAATAAAAATGTTTCTAAATATTGAAAGCGGATAAGAGATAATAAGCAAAGAATAGTGTTACAGTGCAATGTTTGTGTAAAAAGTAGTAGCGAACACTTTTGGTAATAAGAAACAGTATGATATATAATTTTTAATTGAATTGAATATGTATATATAATAAGGGTATAAAGTTTTTAAATTTTTAAATATAGACAAAGAGATAATAAGCAAAGAACATGTTTGTTAATATTATCATTTTTATCACCTTTAACCTTTATCACCTATATATATATGTATAAAAGAGTAAAAATGGATGATAATTTGAAAAGTTCTTTACAAGTATAATAAAGCTTTCACATTTCGAACATAAAATAGTAAAACAGAGTGATTTTATAATATTAATTGAATAAAAATTAATTGTCAAGTCAAACTAAAAATCCTAGTTTTAATCCTAGTAATTTTTAAATTTTTAAGTAAGCTTACTTGGTTCGTTCTCTTTGCTCTTTCCTGATGATTTGAAACACTTCTAATTAATTTAAATTTTGTATGAAGCTTTTTAAAACTTTAAAATTGGCCGTGAAGATGATTTACGTTACTAAATTGAGACATCTCGCATGAATACTTATTAATATTTTTTTTGTGGTCTATTAAGAATATAAAGTCTTTCATTTAAATCTGCAATTTTTAAATTATACAGTCTGGATGTATCCACAAAGTACAAACGTGTGACATAAACTAGCAGATAAATTACCCAAACGAGCACAACACAAACGACCCCCATTGATTTGCGTATTTCTCACAACTGCACAATTTCTGAAACTGAAATCCCCTTCTAAAAATCTTCAGGTTTGGAGCAGGATATAGTTGCAGAGGGCTAACTGTGAATAACATGTTTCACAGCATAGATATTTTTTAAGATGTTCCAATAAGTCTTGTCAGTAAATGCCATTCATATTCACTTTGATTGATTGATCTATATATATTGCATATACCTCGTATATCCTATCAGTTTTAGAATTTTCATATTTTTCGGAGCTGATATTATATAGATATAATGAATATCTATAAGAATATAAATTTTAAAAATATTACATTTACCATATCTACCACAATTGTTGCATCTGGATACTGAAATGTAGTTCACAACAATTGGACCATCGCGATTTAATGCCTGCAGATTCTTATTATTCATTTCTAATAGAATTTTTTAGTGGATTTAAGTGTCATAAGTCTTTAGATGACTTCCACCAACCGTTAAAGTGATAATCATTAAAATATTAATTCCGATAATATTTAGCACAATTTATTGAATTTAGAAAAATAGCTAGTGTAATATAAAAATTACATTTAAAACTCTTTTTGATATTTATAGGAACCATAGGCACGAACATGTTCCCGTATGCGCACTGAATTGATAGCAATGAAACCGCTTGCATCTTTTGGTACATAGCCACCATGTACATCCATTGATACTAATTCTTTATTGTAAAGTGACCCGAGGCTTTTAGTCTCAGCACGTGCCACTGCACGACAATAACCAGGTGCTAGTTCAACTATAACTTGACCACTAACTTTTTGTTGTGACAATTCCAAACAGCCACGGACATAATCAGCTTCTGGACTAAACCAAAAACCATTATAAACATAATCTGCCATACGATCTCGTAATAAATGCTTCGTACGTAGAACTTCTCGATCAAGACAAAACACTTCAAGGTCTTGATGTGCTGTGAATAATATCGTACCCCCAGGAGTTTCATAAACACCTCTCGATTTTAAGCCAACAAACCGATTTTCAACAATATCAATACGTCCAATACCATAAGACCCACCAATTTCATTAAGAAATATTAATATTGTCAAAGGTGTATGGAATTCTTCATCATTTACCAGGTTCTTAACTATTTTTGGTAACCCATGATCGAAATGTATAACAATACGTGTACTTATTTTTGGAGCATTTGTAAGTGGATTAACAGTCATTTCATACAATGATTCCGGTGCTAATTGAAATGGATCTTCTAATATACCAGATTCATAGCTAATATGCATTATATTTGCATCAGTGCTCCAAGGTGCTGTAGGTTTTGCACTTACAGGTATATTATGGTGTTTAGCATATTCTATTAAATCAAGTCTACCCTGAAAACGTTCACAGAACTCCTCATCTCGCCAAGGTGCAATTATCTGGCAATATTATTACATTATTTAAAAATATTTCAAAAAAAATGTTCTTAATCATAATACCTTTATCTTTGGGTGGAGTGCATAAGCGCAAAGTTCAAAACGTACTTGATCATTGCCTTTACCTGTAGCTCCGTGAGCTAAATATTTTGCATCATATTTTTTTGCTACTTCGATTAAAGCAACGGTTATACATGGACGTGCTAGAGATGTACCAAGTAAATAGCGCTCTTCATATATTAAACCCATTTGAATTGAGGGCCAAATATAATTTTGAACAAAATCTTCTTTAACATCTTTTATAATTACCTTAATTTTTAATTTATGAATTGCTTTTTAGATGAAAACTTATTTTTAATAACTTACTTCAGTAGCTCCAATATTTATTGCCTTTTGACGTGCCACAGTAAAGTCTTCATTTTGGCCCACATCTGCCATAACACAAATAACCTCATAGCCTATTTAATTTTTTAATTAAAATTATTTATATTTTTTTTTTATTTAAACTACTTATTTATGTTTATATTTATTATAGGCAAAATCTTATATACCTTTTTCTAAAAGCCATTTAAGTATACAGCTAGTATCAAGACCTCCCGAATAAGCTAAAATTACTTTGTCAACCATTGCGCTAATCTAATAACACTAAGAATTACTAAAAAAAATTTGTTAATATATTAAAAAATATTATTAAATTAATTTGTTTAGTTCAGATAAGAATGAACGCATGCCTGTAGAAAGCTTTTACTGATAAGCCAAGAATATTCTGAAGATGCTGCAATATTGTGTAGAGGATAACACTAAATAAATATAAAAAGGTATAAAAGTAACAAGTAAGTAAGTTTTTTCAGAAATATTGAATTTTAAATTAAGTTTTTATTAGAAACTTAATTTACGTGAATAGTTTTATGTTTTTGTGTACTAAAATTATATATCAGAGAGTATTGTTTATAATAAATACAGCTTTTTCTCTTATATGAATTATTACTAAAAAATATATAAATTGATAAAATTAAATGAAAAAAAAAACTATAGTAAAATTAATTAAAATTAGGAGTTAATAAATAATTTCTTAATCAAATTTATGGAGCCTACATGCACCATAATTTGTGGTGTTATTATTTACTGTGCTTGCAGCAACAACAATGCGTTAATTAAATTAACAAATAATATACAAAATAATAAGAAAATTATAAAAAGCATGTAAAGTAAAATAAATTTTATTGGTTTTGTCTTTAATAACTAGTCGTCTACTCTGGCTAGACAGGCTAGGTTTTTATATTCAAATGAAAATACTTATTATTTAAGAATTTTGTTTGTAAACAAAGCTTTGTAGGGCTCAGTGAAAAAATGTTAGTGTATGCAAAAATCTCGACAAAAGTCAAACTAGTGTAGACGCAAAGTTAGGTGTGAAGTCATTTATCACTACGTTTCATATGATCAACATTGTATAAAATTTTCCTTCCCATTGATTTGCTTAGGGAAGTTTTTAGTCATGGAACTATTTGTTTATATACGTTTTTTAAATAAAGATTATAAAATTATAATGATCTTATTGACGATCATATTTTAGTACATTAATAAAACTGTGAAGTGTTTCTTATTATCATAACTTTTTATTTCTTATAAACTATTTATAAAAATTGCTTATGTTAATACATCGCTGTAAGTGAGTTAATACCGTTTTAGTGAATTGAATTTTAGTGTATTAATATTAAAATTTATTTAAATGATCTCTGAAATTTCATACAACTGGTTTAGATACGCTAAAAAGATTCCATAAATGTCAGATTTTAGCAAAAAAACACCCTTTTTATAATATACATATATAAACACAAAGATATTATTTAGCTGGAGGATTTTACTACGGCAATAGAGATCTATTCTACACATTTTACAGACAGACTATTCTACAAAAACCAGTTTGCTCAGTAAGTTGCTTAATAAACTGAGATAAAACCTTAAAACACTACAAAAACTTTAAGTACCATTAGAGTTACGTTCTAGTTTTAAAAGTTCAGAATTAAATGCCTTGTCAGAATTTCAGTAATGATACTTAAGTTGTTTTTATATAATATGCAATCCTTAAATCAAGTGTCAATTACGCTGTTTACACAGATTTTCATGGAACAGCTTAGTGTAAAGGTGAGAACACCAGTGACGCGCAAATAAACAATTCAAAAATTTAAAATCAAACCAAAACAGCTGATTCACACATTAATACAAATTTAACTTGAAATAAAATGTACAAAGTCTGTGTAGTATTTTCAAATTTTGACAGGGATGTTACGCTTTCTCAGATGCTCTTGAATTTACTTGAAAATTTGCTGGTGGAACGCATTTATGCATACACAGTGTTACTCGAAGTTACTACGAGTAGCTCGTGGTACAGACCTATTAGAACGCGTCGATTAAAAACACCTTGCAGCTATTGTTTTTATTTTACATAATCACTTTCTTGAAAGTAAAATTTATAAATAAAATGTAAAACTAATATATTTCACGCAGTTAGGTTTATTTTTATAATAGTTTTTTTATTCACTAAATTTTAATGCATTTTTTAAAAATTATTTTATTTCATGTAATTTAATTAATAGCTTCCTTTTTGCGATATTTGGTATTTTGTAGTTAGCCTCATTCTTATTATATTTGCGGCAGTGTAAACACTTGTGAAATTATCACTAAAGGAGGTTCATTACTTAGAAGTGTGCATATAGAATATAACAAAATACTAAAAAAATGTTCAAATCATTTATTTACTATTGTCCACGGCATAAAATTATATTAATATTTAATATACATTAATATGTACATATATAGGTCGTGTGCGAGTTAGGCTAAGTTGATGCTAAACCAAATGGGAGATTTTTTGGGATTTTTTGCACTGCACACATTTTGCCATTTATCAACACGTATCGACACATCAATACATTATCGACACAACTTAGAATTTCCCTCATTTAGAACGCAACTTAGCCTAACTCGCACACGACCATAATATTGTTATATGTGTCTATAACCTATCAAAATCTGTAGACTGCAAACACCCTGTAATGTTTTGTTGTTATTTTGCACGGGCAGGTTTTTGACAGCTGGTAAATGACTTTGCCACTGCCAATGAATAAAATTTGTTAGGAAAAATAGTTTTTGTGAAAAGTAAGTGCAAAAATTGTGACCAAAAGCAACAAATGTTAATTTTACCGAACACACAGTTTTTTTTTAATATATAACTAGAAGCAATCATTCCAAAACATAAAATTAATGAAAATATCGGTCAAACTTAGTTCTAACAGATTGTGATGTAACAGTTTCAGTAGCAATAATTTATATATATATTATTACGTTTTTTGGTATTAATAAAACATAATTTGATATGTTTTCCTTTCAGAATGACTGCCGTATTACGAGTGGGCATCGTAAGACTTTGCAGTAAAAATACTGCACCAAGTCTGTTGAATGTGCAATCAGCGCTGCCTGCGGCACTAAACCAGAAATGCTCCATATCGGGCAGAACAATGCGCGGTGGACCTCGCATACCAAAATGTAAGCCTTATCCATATAAGGAGAAGGATTATACTGTATGGAACCATTTCTTTGATAAAACATCAAAACGTTTAGATGAGAACTCAAAAATAATTTTGGTTGAAGGTCCGATCGGTGCAGGCAAATCGAAACTCGCAGCAGAGTTGGCAAAGGAGTTGGACATGTTGTACGTACCTGAAGCAAATATGGATACATATTATATAAATACATACGGCTATAATATGCGTAAATTGGATCCACAACTTCCAGAAAGTTGCCGCTCGTATGACGTGGTTAATTTTTGTAAAGAACCAAAGCATCAAAATACGGCCAGTTTTCAAATTCAAATGTACCGATTGCGTTTCATGCAATATGTGGATGCTCTAGCACATGTACTTTCCACTGGCCAAGGTGTTGTACTTGATCGTAGTTGTTATTCGGATTTTGTGTTTATGGAGGCAATGCATAAGCATGGTTACCTATCAGCTGGTGCGCGTTCCGTTTACAATGAAATTAAAGAGAATACAATTACTGAACTAATGCAGCCTCATTTAGTCATTTATTTGGATTGCCCTGTCGATGTTGTAAAAGTGAGATTCATTTTTGTTTTTTTTTTCCTTATAATGTTTTTATAAATATTTTGTTTTGGTTTTTAGCAACGTATTAAGGCTAGAAATTTAGATTATGAAGTAAATTCAAAAGTATTCACGGATGATTATTTGAAAGATATGGAATTTTATTATAAGCAACACTTTTTAAAAAAGATGAGTATACATGCAGAACTATTGATTTATGATTGGACTTCTGGCGGTGAATCTGAAGTAGTGGTTGAAGATATTGAACGTATTAATTTTGGTACTTTCGAAATTGATCGTCATAATAAGAAAATGAAGGATTGGCGTATTCCTTTGGAAACTGAATGGTGTGAGGCACGAACTAAATATACTCACGATAAACCTGATCTTCATCAGTACTTTAATATACCAAGATACGACGTACCAGAATTGTTGATTGATCCAGAGGACTGCAAAGTGTTCGATAAGGTCTGGTTTAGTGTAAGTATTACAATAAAATATTCTTAATTAGAAGAAATTATTAAGTTATATATGTTTTATATATGAATTTTAGGCACCTGGCATGAAATATCGTCCAGGCTATAACGAGGATATGGGTGATACTGGTCTACTTACTAAAGTGAAAGTTCCATATAATCAGCCTTACTAAATTATTATTTATGAACATCTAACAGTGTAAAAATATGTGTTAAATTTATAATTGGTTAACGAAATAAACACAACATAGTAAAAAAAAGCAAAATGTGTGAAAAATCTTTATCCTTTTTTTGACTTATGAAAAACATTGGACATCAAAACCGAGTTGAAGTCTGTGTGTTTAAAAAAGTTTTTTTGATTAGTATTTGAAAAATTTCGATTGAGATTAAATGAAAACAATTTTCATTCATATGTTACAAAGAGGTGATTGCCTGTTTGACAATTGCTCTTTAGATGTAGATGTTCTTGAAGTAGATGTAGATACAGCTGTTCTTGAATTTATGAATTTTGTTGAATTGTTATGGTTAGCCAAAAATTCAATTAATTAAAATAATATACAAAATAAAATTCACTACTGTTCGAAAAAACCTCTTGTTGAATCTTTACTAAATGTCGTTAAAAGAAATATTCTCATTCTTCAAATAAAAAGCAACCAGAAAAGAATTAATACCTTTTAGTAAAATTAACATATATCTAACCAAAAATAAAGTAGTTCCAGAATTGGGCGGATCTATTTCCCACAGTCACTTATCTTTTCAGAAGGCCAAAAGCGGTTTGGCACTGGTTACAACAATTGTATATCGGCTATATTAATGTTATAATTCGAAGATTCATTTGGTTTTCTTATTGAAGGAATATTATGAATACTGAAAGGGGTATGGTTGCAACTTACGATTCAAAAAACTGAATCACCTAGCAAGAAGGTGTACTTATTAGAAAACTCCAAATTTTTGGAAATATTTTCTGATGAAAACATAAACATAAACAATATTGTAATATAATATAAAATTATATTAGTTTAATAAAACACCGTGTACTTGATATAATATGATAGATATCTTGTGTATCTAATTCAATATTTTGATTTATGGTTTATAATTTCGAAAAAATATCTATTCATTTAGTTAAATTAAGCATGTGTGTACGGAATAGAAAGTAGATCCTATGCTCCACTGGCAGATGAGGATAAGAGAGAGGGGAAGGATATAGCCTGCTTTTTTAGGACCAAACGACCAATTTTTTATGGATAACTTAAATTGGTTTTGAAAGTTCATTTGAGTTTTCACAACTATTTAAAATCGGTTTCAACTAATATTTTCTATATGTTCTTATTTGAATAACTAAATATATATATTACTGTGTATATGTTTCAATAATAACACTAAAAAGATTATTATAATGTAATTATGCGGTTTAAGAATTAAAGTTACGTTTTATTAAATTAATATTTTTTAAAATATTAATATACATAATATAAATAATTGCATGTAAATAAGTTTACGTGTATTTTAATAGACCATACAGACCGCCTAGGTTCCATTGTGTTTCCTAGGTATTTTATTATTAAATGTTGTCCCTCTTATAATCACTAAGTGTCCTACTTAGTGTAAAAGTTATCTATTTAACAAATTTTTATTCTCTGAAAATTTTATGTGGTCTCTGATATTAATTTCCGATAGCTTGTTGATGTTCTCAAAGGAGAATGTTTCAAGAACAAATTGGCTACAAATGTTTTTAGTATTTCTCATGGTGTAGGCTGCAGAGATTGATGTGTGTAGAGGTTGGAAGATGTCCACTTAGAAGAAAGAAAGTACCGATTTTGGTCTTATGTAAGTTAACTAGTTTTATACTTTTAATTTGGTTACTTTGGTTAAGATAGTTTTATTTGGATGTTCTATTATTTATTTTAAATTTATTTTCGTAGGTCTTTAGTATCTATACACTTTAATATAAAAAAAAACAACATTTTGGATTATAATAATTTTTTATATTTATTAATCGAAACTTTTATTAAGTTTTAATTTTTAAATTAAAACAAAAAATATTTTACATATATAATTTTAACAATAATAAAATAGGAATAAACGATATTAATAAGTTACAGTAGATAAAAAGAAAAAAAGGGCCAAACAGGTTTCGATTAGACATAAACATATAATATATAAGAGGTTTTAATTTACAATTCGACTATATTATTATTTTTTATTTATATATAATATTTTACTTACATTTAACATATAATTTTAATAAAAATGTTTAATATTTTAATATTATAGTTATAATTGTTTTTTATATTGACGCATTTATTTTATAATTATGTTATTATATTATTTATACCTATATTATATTAAATTATGTTAATGCTTTTATTTGTATTATTTTAAATATTATTATTTATTGTATTATATTATAATAATATTATAAAACGCTTTTCCAGTTTTCTGTATATAACCAGTTTCGTTTCTTCCATACAATTAAGTAGACCAGTCCCATTTGTTAATATTTTCCATAAATAAAAAATAATGTAACTTAATAATATATTTAACATGTTTAAAATTCGGATAAATATTAAAAAACAAAAAATATATATTACAAATATTAAATAGAATTTAATTTTAAGCATTTCTTGGTAATATATAATTTTTAATATTGTGCTTGTGACTTTGTGCATAGACTACGTTTGGAACCAGACTAATGTACATTCTACAAGTCTATTTCAGGCTTTAATTTGTATGGTTTTAAGTTCTTCAGGTTCAAATGTAGGTTTATTAAGAGAATTCGATTTAACCTATAAATTTTAGAATTTCCAACTCTTCAGGTGCGTTTAAGTTCATCACGTTTAAAATTCCTTATCGCGGCGAGAAGTTGATCTCGTGGGTCACCATTTGCAGGTGTTGAGAATGATTTAATAGGTGTAGCTTTTAGAGGTGCCATTGGTGGTGGTGGTGGCGGTGTAGCATTCGTTGTTAGTATCGGTGCTGAATTGATTTGTGTTGTGCGTGAATTCGTTTGGTTAACAAAAACATTTGTTGACTTTTGAATTTTTAATTCTAATTTGGCACTTTGTAATGTTTTTGTTGGTGATACAGGGGTGTTATTCGCATTCATCTTAGTTGTGTTAACTGGTCTCGCTACACTTGTTATACTAATGACTTGGTTGGATTTTGTTGATTCATTTACTTTCTCTACCTTTTTTTCTTCATTTGCAAGTATTTTTTCTTTGAGTCCTGTTTTGCGCAATGTGTTTTGTCCAAAAGGACAAGTACTTTTATTCTCTTCCTCCGTTCTAGGTCTGTTTTCTTTTAACTGGTTAATGGAAGTTGTACGTAATAAAGCAGGACCAGGTGTGGCACTTTTGTTATCGTCCTCGGATTTTGGTCTATTTTCTTTTAACTGGTTAATAGAAGTTGTGCGTAATAAAGAAGGTCCTACGACTGGTGTACTAAATCGATTAGAATTGTTGCGTGGAAGTGTGGATGTTTTAGAAACTTGTGTAAATGTTCTTTTTACAACAGTATCTGTAGTGTCGGTGACGTCTGTATTGGTGTTAAGTGTTACTGTTGTAATACTTTTATTAAATTTTGTGTTTGTTTGTTTGTTTTCCGCATGTTGTGCATCTAATTGTGTGGTTTCCACTGTTACATCCTTAAGAGGCTTTACTGTGATCGGTACTTTAAAACTCTTTTCCGGTATGCCCATTCGCATTGTAAGCGTTACGGGTTTCGGTTCGATTGTTGGAGGTTCATTGGAATGTAGTTCTCTTGACTTTTGTAAGCTAAAGGTTCCTGCTGGTGTAGAGTTTCTATAATTACGTGGCATCGAATTTGTATTTATGCTCACTGCTGCCGTTGTAACTGCGGCGTTTTGACTGTTTGCATTTTTACCTCCAAAAATGTAGTCCCCTTCATTTTTAATGGATACTTGTGCTTTTGGACGTTCACTCCAAGTTGAGAAATTGATGCTTGGTGGACCTGAGTAACGATAAACTTTTGGTACCTCCTTTCTTTTGTAGTCATGTTCCACTTCTTCAACACTTGCGGGTTTTCGTGATGTGTCATTGCTGTTGTCATTCTTTGGTTTCAACTCTACAGTCGTAATTTTGCGACTTTCTGCACTGTTATGTGCATGATAAGATTCTATATTTTTTGACACTTCGCCAATGGCTGACTTGGATTCACCATCACTACTACTTGCTAAGCTGTTTTTGCGGGAATTGAGTATAGTTTTTATGACTTCTAAACTTTGGAGTGATGGTGATTCACCAATGCTTAATTCACTTGATGAACGTCTTCTGTTTAAAAGCGCACCATTTTGCTCAAGTTTGGTAAGTGATAAATATGATGAGCTGCGTGATTGAAGGCCATTGATATTTTCCATGGAATTTTCCACTTTTGTTGGGATCTGCGTTTGCATGACAGTTGTATGAAACGAGTCAGACCGTGTTACCGCCTTACGCTGGTTTGCTACATTACTTGAATTGGCGATGTTGTTATGTTTGCGATACAATTTTTCTTCATCAGTACATGATTCTGGTGTGCTGGAAGAACCTCTTTTCTCTATATCACTTGAATTAGAAATATTTGGTTTTTCTTCATACGATATAGTGGCAATTGTGAAATTGGATAATGTATTAGGTTTTGCTGTTTCTATTTCATTGGGTGTACTTGCTTTTTTGATAACTGAATCAATGCGATTTTCATTGATTATCATTGATAATTCATCGATTATTTCAGTAATCGGACTTGTAGGTGATGGTAAAACCTCATGAGTTTTTGTTGTCTTTTCAACCCTTAAAAGACTATGGTCTACAGTATCTGATGATTTCTTTTTTTCTAAATTCTCTTTCGTTACTGAATCGAAATTTAAGACGGGACGTTGTTTTATTTTTGGTGTAATAGGTGGATCAGGTATTTTTTCTGTAGAACCATGAATATTTTGTACATCATCAGCAAAATTGGCCGGTGGTGATATTGGTATTGAAAAGTTCCAAGATGATTTTTCAGACAAACCTGGAGTTGCAGATAGGGCTTGTGTTATGGGAGTAGCTTCATCACTATCGGTTTGAGTTGCTGTTATACTTGTGAGCTCTTCAAGTGTCTTATGCTCTATTGATGGTTTTATAACGGTTTTACCTAATTTAAAATTGTAGACTTTAATCATATCATCATCATCTGAGCTTGACTCAAATGTGGATTTACATTCGTGCGCTGAACCTTCTGAGGGTATGCTGTCTGGTATAGGAGAAGGTACTGGTTCACCAATACCTGAATCTGCTTGTTTTGATATATTATCGTCTTCATTGCAATTGCCATTAGATAATTGCGTTACGATTTCAGCAGTTAGTTCGGGAGGTTCAGATGATAATGAACGTGGTTCAGGTGTAGGCGTTCGATTGAGCATAACTTTTGAAATGTTTGAATGTATTGACTGATTATTTGTTGTTAGTGAGCTGTTTAAATTTTCATCTGTTTCGATATTAGTAGCGTTCAATAATGTTGTTGTTGTGAGACGAGGTACAGGTTTTGGTGTAGTTGGAGTGGTGGTACAGGTAGTCGAAGATTTTGAATCGGCAATAGAAAGCGGGGTGGATGAGTGCAACGATTTACTTATAGTAGTTTCTCGAACAGCAGGTGTCGGTAAATCACTTTTAGAATTATTATTAAGATTAGTTGTAGGTGCTGGTAGAATTGTTTCTGAAACTGCAGTTATTTCTTTTACGTCTGGAGTGACAGGAGTGACAGGAGTGCCAGGAATTGAAAAGTTAGCAGATGATATTGAAAGTGTATCATCCGATTGTGTAGAGTTTTTCGAGGGAGGTACTGGTGCACTTTTCTTCTTAATTTGAATTAAACGTTTTCGTGGTGATGGTTCTGGAAGGTTAAGTGTTTCTATTTGCTCTGTGGTAATATTTGTAAGATTTTGTACGCTGTTACTATAATTATTACGAGCATTTCTCTGTTGGACATCTAGCTCTATACTCTTTGTGGTCAAATTCAGCTCATCAATATGTTTAGTATTACCATTACAATCAGTACTGCTAATATCTTTGTTCAAAAAAGTAGGTGAACTTAAGTTTGGCGTTGAAACATAATAATCTTTACGTGGTAAGGGTTCATTTTTAAGTGATTCATTTGCATGTTCCACATCACCATTTGTAATAATTAATGCAGATTTCTCTGGTATTACTATCTGGCTGGGTGGGCGTGGTGCAGTACGTTTCTTACGTGGTGGTGCTGCAACTTTTGGTGTCGTGGTTGTAGATAGATTTGAAGGAGGAGTAACTGGTGTACGTACACAGTTCATTCCTGTTGAATCCATTGAATTCAGTGAATTACTAGAACTGTAAGGACTAGCTGTCTTTGCGGTATGCTTTGAGTTTCGACTACTGAATTCAGATGAAGAAAGAGAATCCCGCACTGAAGTGCGGTGTAATTTTAAAACTTCATCTGTATTAAATGTATCATAAGAGTCTGATTTTAAACACAGACGTATCTCGGAGAGTCCAACCGCGCCAATTGTTAGTTCACAGCTGTACACTTGACTAGGATCAACTACAAAAAGATTAAAAAAAGGAGACATTAAAATTTTATGTAGTTGGAGTCAATGAATATTAACAAACCCGGATTTCTAAACTCATATTTATCTGAATCCAACAGTTTGTTCTCGCACACCAACTCCAGTAATTTACTAAGTGGAACACGTGCGCCTAAACGTGACACGTACAGTTGGTCTTTTGGCAACAGCACTGTAATTCGAAAGGTTTGCTCGAAAGGTGCATTACTTGTTGCCGCGGGTAAAGGAGTTATACGATTGTACTCCAGTTGACTAGTCTCATTTATATTCGTTGTTGACACAGATAAGTTTGTGCTTGATTTTGAAAGTTTGCCATTTGGTACTGCTTTATCTAAATGTATAAAAAGAGTAATATTGATAAAAAAAAAATGAAATGCAAATATAGCTATTAGAGAATTACCTTTATTTTTACGCCCCAATAAACGATTGAGCGTAGAAAATCCATTTTTTATATTGCTCATATTTTAATTTGCTTATCGATTTTAATAAATGGATTTAATAATTTCCTTTAGATCGATTTTATCGAATTTGTTGCTAGACTATTTCAACCTAGATAAGACTTTTCGGAAATTTTTCAGCTGTAGATTGGATATTTAAAAGTTCAGTGCTATTATATTTCCACCCATAATTTCTTATTCAACTATTACATTCCCGTCTAAATCCACTTGGCCTTTTGATTTGTTGAATATTACAACAAAATTACGTTACGATATCTATAAATTTAAAGATAAGAAGTAAAAGTTAAGATTATTTTTATAATAAAGGAACTTATCATTGTATATACAATATATGGAAGTAAGAGATAATTGATTTCGTTATTTAAGTAAAATAAGATTATATTTAAAATGGTCTATTAAAGCTTAAATATTATTTACGTATACAAACATATATGCATATTATATAATTATTTATGCTAAATTTATGCTAAACCAGGAATAGAAAATTGGGATATATATTACATTCTGTTTGATGTATATTACATTCTGTGTGATATATATTAGTGATAAACTAAATTTAACAGATATAAGGGATATCTTTATATTCTATTTGTATTATTATATGTAAATTGTAGCTGTAATATGAGTTTTAAATAATAATTATATATTATAATAAATTTAATATGAATAGAAATTATTATATCTAATTTTGATAAGAATAAATCACAAATTTAAAATTAATATGCATTAAATATTTTTTTATTGTTATGATTTTACATATAATACTTTACATATAATTAAATTTTATTCTTCATAAATTCAGTAAAATAATGAAGTCACTGGCATTAAAATAATAATTATTTTTAATATGATAATAATTAAAATTACTAAAGTAATATAAATTTTGAAATAAAATATTTTCTAATATTAAAAAAGCTAAAGTTGCCTTTACCAGTCATTTAAATAAATTTAAAAAAAATGTACGTTATTGTATAAAATAAATGTACGATTGTATATAGTTAGAAGTAGTTTTGTAAGTATAAACATTAAAATTATATTCATATCTTGCAAATTTTTTTTTTTTTTAAAAACTTGGATATATGAATAACTCATTTGCAAATGTAAATACACTTTGTGAACAAATTTCTGATAAATTTCTGATAAATATGTTATTCAAATGAAGTGTGTGGAGTCATTAATGTATGTAAATTTAATTTTTAGTTAACATTATTAAAGATAAATTATAATAAAATGTTAATTTGTTGAGGACCGCAGGCAAAGGTTTTTTCTAATCTTTAGCAATAGAGAATATTTGTCACAAACAGCTATGAAATAAAAATAAAAGTAAATAAAAAATGCGGTTTTGTATATTAAAATGAGTAATATTATTATTTTAAAGTAGTTTGTAAAAATATACTTAAAAAATCTTAATATTAATATAGTGATATTAATATTAGTATATATCTCAATATAAACGGATGGCTCGAAAATGAACTGTGAGTCAGGAACAAACATCTTCGCCCCATCTGAAAACATAAACAATTCTCTTAGGCTACCAAATGAGGCCACGGTTTTCCAGGCTGAAAGCGTAGCAATTAGAGAAGCCTGTCGGCAAATTGCAAGTCACATCGAGGACATATGTAATGTTGACATTTTCATTGACAGCCAGGTAGCAATCAAAGCCCTTGAATTTTTCATAACAAAATTAAAGATAGTAAAGGAATGTAGAGAAGCAATCGACGAGCTAAATATGTCGGCTGATATCACTCTCAGTTGACAGTTTAGCCCGTTTTGGTGCTTCTATGGATGTGTCACAGGCGGTATCGGTTTATATTACCCTAGAGACCATTAAGAGAAGTACCTTGCTCTACTTTCTGCAACTTGCCAATAACAGATGGAAAGCACTTAAGTCATGTGCAACTTCCAGGTTAACATGGTCCACCTATAATAAACTGCGCATTTCTCATAATCTACTCTTAATGAGGTTGTGGAAACCCACAGGAAAAAGAAACCATAATACATTTTCTCTGTGAATGCCCGGTTTTAGCGTCCAGAAGATATAGGTTCTTCGGAAGATAATTCTTTGACAGTTTATTGGACTATTCATTGGTGAAGATGAAAGACCTATTAAATTATCTAAATTTGGAATGGATTTAGTCTCTACTCTTCTATACTAGGGTTCTTGCGAGAAATGTGATAGCAAAACGGTGAAAAATCGCTAATTGAGGTACATGGAAGTTATTTACTAAACAGCCAATATAGTGAAATTATATTTTTCTTAATACAACATACGTTTTCGAATTAATTACTGACATTAAAGCAACATCTAGTTGTAATTAATTTATATATTCATGGGACAATGGGAAAAGTAGTGTACGAAAATTGTGCAGTATATAATATATTTCTACTACTATTTTTTTTATTATTATTAATAATTGTAAATTTTTCTAATAACAACTAACTGCAAGTCCTTCAGTTTTGAGTAATTTTTTCCTATATTTTATAAGAGTATCAAATTTGTATGAATAATCAATAAATAAAAAAGTATGGAAATATTTATGTATGTCCAAATAAATTAAAAATTTTTGATATTGATAAAAATATTAATATTTATGGCATAATTAAGAGAATATAAAAAAACAAAAAAAATTAAATAAATAAAAAAATTTAGACTCTAATGCCTGCTTGAATATTCTAATTGCGTCAATGTCAAATATTATCTTCAAGTTATTATGACTTATCTTAAAATTTTAAATAATGATATAAATAACAATTTATATCTGAGCAAAGTTTAATGTTTATCCATTCAAAATTCTTTTATATAAAATTTTAAGTACAATAATAAAATTGTATTTGAAATTTGTATTCATTTTTTAAAAATTCAAGAGATAATTTATCTACAATATTATCATTTATCATACTATCTATATGCGTAATATATATTTATATTATATTATATTAATTATTATATGTAATATATTATATATACATATAAAAATTAATATAATATATTATTAAAAGTAGTTAGGATTAAAATTATAGAAAATTTACTAAAAAGTCGTTTATTAGACTAAAACGATATATATTAAAGGCTTGTAACTTAGTGGATGAGGACTCAATGCAAAATCGTTGATATACATTGGATTAGAATTACGTACGGGGTGTTATTTATTCAAAATAAACATTAGTTTAAAGTCTGTTTTTTTTTTTCTAAGAATATTAAGTTTTATTTCGAGCATTAATTTTAGTACATTTTATTCGTATATCAGTAAATTCGCTTTTGCCGCTATCAGGAGAATTCCTAATGTTAAAAACATCTATACATAAATAGATCTATCTATCTATCTAGATAGATAAATAGATTTTTAGAATACTTAATAGCACTTTTAAAAAAAATCATTCTTCTAGAAAAACTCTCAAAGAATGAACACATAATAATAGCAATAATAATTTATTTTTAATTTTATATTTTTAATAATTTATTTCTTTATTCTGTATGCAGATTATGCAGAAGTTGCCACGATGAAGAAGAGGTAAAATCTATCATCCATTTTCTGTGTCTCTGCCCAGGACTGCAGACAAGGCGACTTCAATGTATTGGGGATCGCTTTTTCACTGGCTTGAAAGAGATAACGAAAGTAAACTTATCGGATTTCCTCAACTTCATCTGGAAAACCAAAAAGTTTAACAAGAATAACAAATATTAGCAACTCGCCTCTCCCGGCAAAATGTTTGAGGGGATCACAATGGTCAATATATGCATCCGAATGGAAGTGCTAACAACTGTCAGCACTCGCTTTCTGAACCTAACCTAACCTATTCTGTATTATTTATTAAGGCATATCTTTTATTTAGATATTTTAAGGTTTAAGAGCGAATTTGCATGTCAGACTTCATTAGACCACATTTGGGTCAAAATTTTTTCAGATAATTTTAAGCTATTAGGTTAATTTTATAATTATTATGTTGTTATTATATTTTATTACTTTATTATAATTATAGTATAATGGTTTCAAAAAGTAGTGAACTTCAACAACAAAAATTTTTTTATACGATTTTAATTAATTGAATACCCATCATTATTGGTCTCGGAATTATTTCTTGTATTTAATTATTCGTAAATAATTTTTTGAAACTGCAAGTACCAGTCTATAGTAGTATATATATATTGTACTAATCAAAACAAAAAAAAAATTAAAACGAAGTCCAGATAAACACTGAAAATTTATCAACTTAATACCGATTTTGGCCAATACGAAGTTACTTCGGTACCTATAGGAAATTATATTCCTATTAAAACCAAAGTAAAATTTATTGATGAAAGTGCAGTTTAGTCATCAATGTATTTAATTTGAAATAGATTTATGAGACAATATTAAATGATAGTCATGTCGGTAGCATAGCACCTGGTTTAAGTATTAAATGAAATTACTTAAATCGATAATAGACTTCAGTCCAATTAATTCAAAATATATTTATGACAAAATAATAATAAATATCCAGATTGGTGGAATAGCACATGTTTTTTATTTCGAACTTAAAAACTTATTTTGATAATGTTAACCCAGTTGACTAATTCTACTGGCGCTAATACTTTCCAAAAAACCCAGTTTATTATTTGATAAGATTGTTTTCGTTAATATTTACACAAAATCAAAACTAGCATAAATATTTTGATAATTTTCAACTAGTTAGTACTATATGCTAATAAGTTAAAAATGATAAAAAACCCTTATTAACAAATAAATAATGTGGAAATTATAAAAATCCGGTGAATTTTTCAGTTGGGTGCTAATAATGGAGTTTGTGTCTTTTAATTAAATTAAATAGATCAGATAAACAGAGATGGTTATTTATCTTAGATATTTGATAACATTCGATTTTAAACTAATCCAGGCCACTTCTGTCCGGTTCTAATTCTGAAAGATACATCCTACAATTTTGACTACATCTTTAATATATGAAGCTAAATATGTCGTGTGAAGTGCAGTGCTATTAATGTAGTCTGCATACTTCGACAGCAATAAAAAAGATAAAAATTATGACAAAAGAGCATCTACAAAGCTGTCCATATTGTCCACTTTACTATGGTATATGCATATATGGAGTTCACATTTTTAGGTTAAGAGAATACTTTTTATCTTTAAATTCGATGGTTGTTGTGTTTTGTATTTATATTTATTTATGTTGTGGTTTTTCTATGTTATATATATATTTTCAGACAATACATACTTGTATGTAGTAATTAATTATGAGTAGCGTATTTAATTTTAATAAATCATTATTAAACAGTGATGTATAAAGACTCATGCACATGTATATCTTTACAGGTGGTAACAGTTAGTAAAATGGTATTTGTCATCTATGTAAGTAGTTTATTTCTTTACAAATAAAGTCTCTTTATCATTAGTCATTAAATAATTTAATAATCTAGAAGAAATTAATTTATTACAGGATTAATATAATCATATATGTATAACAATTTTACAATGATCTAATAAAATAAAAGTACTTTAAGTAATGTAATTAATAATAATACAATTTAAAATTATAATATATATTATTAATACATTCAATATAGTACATAGTATATATAAAATTATTGCTTATAAGAAATATTCACCATTTCTTAATATTTATTTTCATCACATTTGCATTGCATGCTTACTAATATGTATAAATTAGTTACTTATTTTACAGTAAGTTGCTTATATGCTAATATTTATATATACAAATACTGTTTATTTATTTTTTTTAATTATTTTATAATAATATAAAATGTTATTTTAAAATTTAATTTTTTTTAAGATATTAATTTTGATATTAAATTTTATTGTCAGCGTGATAGAAGAAATTTTTTCGTACTATAAATAACATAATGAATCAATGACTAGACATTTTAATAATCATGAGATATTCTGTTTAGGATTAAAATCATAAAAATGTGAGAATTTTATCAATGTTTTATCTGCGAATACTCATTGTTCAGCATTCTAAATATTTAATTATTTTCATGATAAAAAAAAGCTTATGTAGATGACATTGATGTACAATGATGCAAGTAATTTTATTAAAAAACTAATTAAAGACATATTTTGTGTTGAAATATAGTAAGTATTTCTATTCATATAAGTTTGATTTTATAGGAGTAATTTTCTTAATACTTACTAATTCGGAACTATAAAAATTTACACATCAAATTGGAATAATTAATTTTTCAAGTATGTTGAACTGAACTAAAAAAAAAAATAAAGAATGTAATTTGACAACACTATCTAATTCACATTTTTGGATTAACTTTATTCAAAAATTTATAATTGATCAAATTAAAAATAAAATATGTACGTTGCAACAAACTTGGTATTTACATATATTTATCCTAGTGCATAGTATATGCATATTCATTTACAGACTTTATAAGATTCGTAGATACTAGACAAAATCGAGAGACACTAATTGGTGAAGCCAGCCCTTCTACTATGGTAATGCAGATGTTGGTAAGCATTGCAGAATGGAGCCTTTACAAGTACATAATTTCCAGAACAATAAACATTGTTAAAGCGGACGAAATACTTAGTACACAATCGGAAAGAAACCATGCTAAGTGCTCTTTTAACCTGTCCTGTGAAGAAATACCTTAACTGATCATACTGCAGGGATTTCCAAGGTTTTGAGCTGAGAATGTTGGGACTTTTTAGCATGAATTCTTTCTCCAGGATCGATACCACACAAAAATATATATTCATTTACAATAACAACATTAAAATCAATAAGAACTACAGCAGTGACAGTAGAAAAGAAGGTGAAAACCGGTGGCCAAAGCCAAAGCAGAAAAAAAAACCATATTGTGTGAATAAAAATAAATAATTGGAAAAAATTTTATTAATCCACAAAAGGTAGTTTACATATTCAGAGGGTACAGAATGACACATATCGTTGAATTTATTGTATTTTTTTAAGGAAACTTCTTTCATGGAAATTTTATAAGAAAGTATAAATAAAATAATATACATATTAATAATTTGTACTTAATTATATATATATAGTTAATTCAACAAAAATATATTGATCAAAATTTAGTTATAGCAGTTAGTAGTCGTCTCCCTATTATACACATTACATTTTCATTTTATTAGGTTGAATTATATCGGAGGGATGCCCTTAAACCTCGTTTTGCCGGTTGGAACTCTTTATCTTATCATTATTTATCTATATGCATATAGTTAGTTCAACAGAAATATATTGATCAAAATTTAGTTATGGCAGTTAGCAGTCGTCTCCCTATTACACACATTACATTTTCATTTATTTAGGCTGGGTTAATCGGTGATCCTAGGCATACGCTTAAACCTCGTCTTGCTGGGTGGAACTCAAAAGGTTTAAGATCATTATTTAATTTCTTTTTTAAGATATTTGACATGATTTTTTATGAGTTGATATATTTATATATTTTTGAACGGGTTAATGGGTCAACGTTAAAAAATACACAAGTTTTTAATACGTTTTAAAAAAAATATTTTATTTTAATTTACTTCCACTATTCTTTCAACAACACTATAAATGACTATAAAGCATCTTAAGGATAGATTAATATATTAAAATCAATCAATTAATATTAATTGATTTTATTAACATTTATTTTATATATGCATCTCTCTTAAATTTTGATCTCTTCAATTTAATATATAAAATTTTATTTTATTAATTAAAATTTATTTTATATATGCATCTCCCTTAAATTTTGATCTTTTTAATTTAATAAATTTTTGGTAAGTGTGCATTATTTTATACACTAATTTAAAATATATCTTTAATACATTAATTTCACTAAAACTTTTTTATTATCGTTCCTTACCCAAAGTAAACAATATTTTAACACTACAAAATATACGTCGAAACCCCGATTATAAAACAATTCTTTAAAATTCTATAAGCAATTCAGTAAAATATTTGAATCCGCACACAATTCTAATACTAAAATAACAATAACAAAAAAAAACAGCACGTCCGCAACGCTGAAGCAAATCAATAAAACTAATTATCAATAAAAACTATTTTTTATGCCAGAATCGTAGTAGGCAAAAAACAGAAACAATTCAGCACAACAATAACAACAACGACAGAAACGACAACAACAAAAAGAAAAGCAATAACAATAACAGAAAAAAAACAGTAAGAAAAATGTTAATCCAACTTGAAGATATTATAATGAAAGCAGAAAACCAAAAAAAAACAAAAAAAATGAGTAGCTACGCTCTGACTGAAGTGTGTGTGTTTGCTTATATATCATGCACATATGCATCATTCTCGATTACACAGAAACATACACACACACATACTTATAAAAACATTCTATAGAAATGTCGGCAAAAGCTTTAAAAAGCTTACGAAGTGCTGTGCTCTTACCTTTTCTTCGTTGTATTTTGTGGTGTGCCATGACGTGTGAGTAATTAAATTAATTTCTACTAAACTTAGAAGATGATACAATTGCCGAGCTTGTTCAGCCGCAAAACGATCGCTTATGGTCAACACCGCATAACACCGATCACCAATGAAAACGACTTGAGTACGGAATTCCAGCGTAGTATGGAATTTTAATTAGTAGTGTATTTTACAATGCTGCTTTAGGTGCACATATGACTCCTCCAAATGCTTATACGAGCCAATAATTTGTAATTATTTTACCATAAAAATGTGATGAAACATTGACATTCATCACGTTCACTAACCACAGATACTGAGCAACAACATTATTACTCTACTGCATAGAATTTTTGATGATCATGTAATTTTATATAATTTTTTAAAGAAATAATTACTGAGTTTGCTAAGAGTCATAAAAGTATTTATGTTAGCATGACTTATAATTATTTTAAAAACATATATATAGTTATGTAGTGTAAAATTTATAATTATAATTATTTATTTTCATAAAGTATTTATCTTTAGAAATTGATGATCACGATGGGATCTAATAGAATAAATAAATATAACAGTCAAGTTTTTAGCACCGATCTTTTAAATATTTTGAAGTGATCTGAATCGACGAGACAAATGCTAATTGGTTTACAAAATATGTTATATGGATGAGTCAGAACTTTTTTGTGATAGATAGAAAGCAAGAGACTTGTTTTGGAAAATAATTTTAATTTTTAATCTTTAAAATCATTTATTGTTAGTAGGAACACTGATACGACGCAACACATAATATTCTTGGAGAGTTTCTTGAGTTCAACTAAACTCAAGAACTGGACTTTGAATTAAGTTAGTGTTATACTAACTTCAAAGTAAAATATCCGCCTATCTCTTTTGTTCTTTTACTGCAATTATCAGAAAAAAGGTTTGGTGCTTTCATTTGGTTTTAAAATAATATTATTTCTTGGTTGACAACTGCAAACGTTATTTGATTTAATGAAAGACGAACCCTTTTTCTGACTGTATTGAACCCTTTTCTGACATGTTTTGATTTTGAATTTCATAAAATCTCAACTGACAAAAAGTGTTAATTAACAGGAGCGTGTCCAGTCCAGAAATAAACTTCATTAATACTTATTTTGAATGAATTGCTATGAAGTTAATTTTAATTAACTTTCATTAATAAAATAATTTTATGTAATTATGCAAACACAAAGCTTTTTAATGCATTGTAATGTTATGGCAATCACTGTAATATTGAAATCAGTTTAACCAAAACTATATATATGGTATATAGGTATATATAATAAAAATATCCGCTCTAGTTGAACTAACAATAAATATATATATATATATATAGATCCGTTCAAATAGAGCGGATATTTTTATTGAAAAGAAATTTACATTAAGTCCTAATTAAAATTATATAAATAAAATGTATCTGAACAATGTATAAGACTATGGAAGGTCATATCATAAGTATTGCATAAAAAAATATTCAAGTATAATAATTTCGCTTCATAATAACTTAATCGAATCCGACAAAAAAGATAACACAGCATTAGGGAACATAAGGAAGACTGTCAAGTAAATATTACAAATTATTAAGTGAAGTATTAAAGTATTTTTAAGTGAAGTACAATAATGCTTACTCTAATGTAAAGAGTCAGACTTCTAGTAATACAACTTCTATAATTTTTCTACTGCAGTATAAAATTTAAATAGAAAATAAAAACATATTTTTTATATGTATTTGGATGTCTGATATATCGGCATCTGTATATTTACTATTAAGCAGGAAAGAATAGATCGAAATGGTTCTATAATATTCTAAGATAAATTATTATTGCACTTGTTTCAATAAAATATATGGTAATGGAATTATTAATTATTAAATAATTTTTTCAAGAACTCACGTATGCATTCTCATAAGCAAACAATTCTTTAGAAAGTGCAAATTCTAATAGATTAAAGTGCAAAGTGTGCCTATCTAAAGTATTTTTATATGACTAATATAGTAATTACGAGTACACTGAGAACGTAAATCGGAAAAGTAATCTGAAATAAGTAAGGATAGACAAAAATAAATAACAAATGCTATTTTCGCAACCATTTTAAGCATTTTTTATACTTGAAAATAAAAATGTTTTTAGTTACTAATTATTTTTTATGATGTCGTCTAATCTGCTCTTGATATATAAATACAAATATCAGTTATATCAATTCATTTTGAAAATTGGAAATGCCCCCATAAAACATTGGTTTTCTATTAAAAATATATATTTTATAGAATTTTTATGGCAGTTTTATTTTCCATCTAGTTTTATGTTCCAATCTTTTACTGCTGATAGTTCTCCTGTTTGAATTTTGCTATTGCTGTTGCTCTCTTGTTTTATTTTTATTGCTATGTAACATATGAGTACGTAGAAGCCTAAGTATGAATGTAAGTAAATAAATTTGGGCACTTCGAACTTTAATTTAAATAAATAATACTAACCAAGTAATTACATTTTGATTCTATCATATATATTTGCAGTTTTAAGTACTGATTATTATAAGATAGTTAATTAATGCCAAGATATTTTAATTATTTATTTAGATTATAGATTCATTTTATCGAAAGTTAATTTATTAATAATTGGTGTAAAAAATTTTGTGTAAATATTTATATAATACAATAGGAAATTTAAAAAATATAATAAAATTTAAGATAAATTAATTAATTCCAGAATCTGGTATTAATTGTTTTAGGTCATAAATTTAAATTTATTTATTAACAAATACACAGAAACTGCTACATACAAAATAGAGAATGTTTCAAATTAAAATTCTTTTAATTTATGTATTATTTTAAGTCTACCAGTTTTTTATTGATCAATTCCGATAACTGAAACAAATCACGTATTAAAGTATACAAAATTACGTTTTATCTAAGCATTTTCAAGGTCTAACAGATAGATGAAACGTTTTTAAATTACATAAATGATATGTAACACACAATGAATGTATCTTACACTCGTATGTAGTATCTAAATATGTGTATGACATTTAATGGAAGTTAAAAAAAATACTCAATTTCAATGCGAAATTCCCTTATTGTGTTTATATTTTGTAATTACAGAATATTTGATTAGATTAATTGAAAAAGGAATGTATCGACATTGTTAGCTATCTGAATCTAAATTGTTTTATGCTTGTAGATATAGTAAAAATGATTATACCAATACATATGTGTATAAAATTAATATATGTGTGTATGTAATGTTCATTTGCGAGTTTAAGAGAACTTAAAAAATTATAATTCGCCTTAAGGTATCTATCATCATTTTAATAGTTTCAAAACTAAAATAGTGGATCTATTTTTAAGTCAATTATTTCAATCTTAAGTAGACTGATTAATAATTAAATTTTCGAATAGTAAGTATTTTTCAATATATTGCACACGTGCCATTTTTTTTAGTTTTAGTTTGTATTTGTAAAGTAGAACTAAGGCACTGTAGTAATTGTATCTGCAATTATAGATTTTTGTTTATACGAGTATGTCAATAGAGGATTAGTTTTATCACACTTGTTATATTTGACTTTTGTTGTTTTTTATTATTATACTTTATATTATACGTTATAGTATTTGGAGTGTCAAGTTTTTATAGCAGATATACAAGGTTAAGTGCGTAATTTGTTAAGTTTCCATATTTTGATTAAGTATTAAAAATATAAACACTGTCGAGTTCGTTTAGTGAGTGAGTTAGAGAACACTTAAAAATCAAACTTTACTTAATTTAGTAAATAATTAGTTAGAAATATTTCATTAGAAATATTTAAATTAAACAATTTAAAACAAAAAGTAGAAAGTTTTTTCATTGAATATATGAATTACTCGTAGTTGTAAATACTTTTTAAAGTAGTTTAAAATTAAGTAATGAAACAAATCCAGGGGTCTTAACTCAACACCTTTTTTTTTATAATTGTTAAATTAAGTTTTTGATTTATTATTGATTGATGTCTTGACTGATTGATTTACAGTATAATTGAATGTAAATTCATAAAAAGTAAATTCAATTAAACCGTCAGAGATCATGGCTTCATAAAAATGCCCAACCTTGGCACACATATTTTTAGGAAATTTAAATTCTGAAGTAAATTTTAGAAATTTAAGTAAATAAATTATGTTGTTATAAGTATTTTATATTTGAATGATGCAATTAAAAAGGGGTGTGGGTTATAGCCAAATGTGTGGTCAATAGTGGTAAATAGGAGAAAAATTTAAGTAGTTAGTGGTTTGAAGAATCAAGAGACGGTATTCACTTGCAACAGTCTATCTATAAAATTGAACAGAAGAGACTAGTCACTTTTTTTCAGTATAAACAATTCTACACAGATTTCATAAGTCCATAAGGTGAAGATTAAGTTGTTAAGCTTCAACTTGCGATTGAGTTTACAAATAAAAATGCATAATAAATAATAAAAAATTATGAATAGTTAAAAATTTAAAAAAAAATTTTAAAATTCTTTTAAAT